CTGGTGATGAAAAACCACACTTCAAATTCAACAGCCAGAACAGAAAGTGAACTGAAGGACGAAACCACAAAGGATATCTTCACGTCAGCCACCAAGACAAAATGGGAGATATCGAGCAACATCCCTGAAGAAACCTGTATGGAAGAACACTGGAAGTCTTTGAAAGCTATGTGGAATGAAACCTGCATAACCGTATTAGGAAGGAAGAAGAAGGAAGATAAGGAATGGATCTTCACGGACAAATTGAGAAGATTATTCGGGGATATCACGCGCCAGGCCATGCACTCGAGTGGAACCCAGATAAGCGTCCGAAGGTGACATGGAGGAGAAGGTGTGAGGAAGAAATGAGAGCTTGTGGGCTGTCATGGAGCCAGGTTGAAAAGATTGCAGAGAACAGAGAGAAATGGAGGCGTGCTACTGAAGCCCTGTGTTCCACTAGGAACCCGAGGGACATATAATAATGATGATCAGTTAGACAAATGTTTTGCCATGTCTTAGATTTGGTTTAACGAATTGGAATTATGCTGTATTCATGAGTTAATCAATGAGAAGTATAATGTATGTTTTCAAGATTTATCATGTTGACTTAGCGATGTAAATGCATATTTTGAAGTCTTCCTGAAGAAACTTCTTATGGAATAGTGTCGCCAAAGTGTATCTTTCTCTCTATTCGATGTTTGATACGCCTAGTGGAAGGGCTTGACTAAGCTGTCTTCTCTGGTGGTTAGGTATCTAACTTTGACACTGAGTGAGTCCTCCAAGGAATACCACTTTAAGCCATCCTGAAGAGTCGTAACACGTACGAAACTGAAGTCAAGCAGAATTTATTACCAACTGCTTCCAACTAATCAAAAGTAATAGTTGTCTTATCCCAGATATTTCTCATTAATGTGCATAACTGTTAATATTATTCAAGTTATGGGAAAAGTCAACGGGATCGACGAATTCACTACTACGATGTCCTTTTCATGTATAAAATGAAGTTATCTATGGCTAGAAAAGATTATTGATACTTTCCACAAATGCTAATTTGTAAGTTACAAGTATGACTGGCTTAAAGCACAGTAGTTCAGTGAATATTCGAAATACAACAAACTGATGAGTACAGGTGAGGACGAAATCTTTGGTCTATCCAATACTGGAGAGAAACCTTCCTGACAAATGCCTACAGGTACTCCAAGCTTCAACGTTCACTTTTGGACGTTTTATCACCAGGCTAGGCGACCTTATCAGTATTTACTTCACACAGAGATGTGCAGCAGTTTCGGCTTGCTTGAATGTTTATATAGTAAATTTACTGACCTTGACAGCCATTGGCTTGTGAGTAGAGGTAACTTGTTCTTCTTTACCATCAAAGGTTGACCTTTATGATTCTTGTTATCGTCTGACCTTTACTTTGTACCTAATGCTACTGATTATTGATCCTCTTGACTGATTTCCAGTTTATAAACTTCTTCCTTGCGTCTGTTGAATAACATTTGATTACAGCACAATGGTTTCAAGAATTATTTTGTAGTATCTTAGCATAGTTTTTGAATCATTTCCACGTTGCTTCGATTAAGGTTGTGGTTATGAACATCTACAGGCATCTATATATCATGTGATTCGACAACAAGTTGGTGGTCATAAAATCTTTGGCCTATTCGACGACTGGATTAATCACCATAGTGATGTTAACAGTCTTCTGTCATCATTATCAACACAGGGCCAGGCATTACTCCGTAACAGTCCAAGTTGCCACACCTCATATCACTACATCAAGTACAAAGGTAGTTAGGGGCAAGTTGAAGATTAGAAAACTCAGTCAGATGAGATTTGAAGTACTCAAAGAGAGGAATGAAGGATGAGGAAATGATGAGATTCGGTGTGGCTTCGTCAAGATGAGGATAATGTGTGTGTGTGTGTGGGCGGGGGGGGATACACCTGAGCCACTGACATCGGTTGTCAGTCATGTCGTCACCTACACTCAGTCTCCAACCATTGGTTTCTTTTGTCCCGTGGACCCCAACCACCTGGTCTCCATCACCCCACATTACACGGCTCAAACCAACAGTCAGCCACTTCATACATTGGTGTCATGTTTTAGTCTAGATGCCTCTAGGCAACAGCCCTTTTCCAGCTTCAACCTACTTTGGCTAACATTGTGATGAGTTAGACGGTGACTAGGCATACGTAATACGCGTCCCACCCATCTGAGTCGATGAAAGTTGACGACCTCATCAACTGATTTAACTTTTCTCCCTCCTTAAAACTCAACATCCGACTTCTGCGTTACTCACGTGGTGTGGTGTGGTGACACCACGAAATACTGCCGACAATACGAATGCAGCAGTGGTCAAACACTTGAAGCCTTCTCATGTCTTCCACTTTCGTGGGCATACTGTGCAACAGAGCAGGCTGCTGCGTAGTACACGTGACCCTTACTATACAGTCGGATACCACGGTGGTTGTGCCATAGGTGGCGTAATATGGCCGAAGCCAGCCGAGCTTTTTGTATTCGTGCAGAGAATTCATTAGCCACTGAGCCACCAGGGAAGGGGAGGACAGGGCTGATCCTACTTCCAGGTAAGTGAAGTAAGTAGTCGACACACTGAACCACTTCACTGACTCTATATTGTTAACCGCGGTGGACCACCGTTGAACACCAATTGTGGAGCAACAATTTGCATTTTGGTGATGGAAAACCCATCACAAACACTCTCAAATTGCTACTCCAATTGTCGAGGAGACTGTGCATCTTTTTGGCGTCTTTACTTAACAGGACAATGTCATCTGGATATTCTAGGTCTAGCGAAAATTCTCCTGAGATTAGGTCAATTTCTGTGTAATCAGGTGACGAGAGGGAGACCTCCACAAGGATATCGATAATAAAGTTCAGTAAGAATGGAGTGAGTCAGTATGCTGGATGGACATTACTGGATGAGGATAGCTCCCTGGACATCTCATCATAGGCTCTAACACATCCACAAGTGTTTGAGTAGAGAGCCTTCAATAAGGTGATGTACTCACTCGACACGCCTTTCAGTGAGACACATTTCCATAAGACTTCTTGATGAATAGAGTTGAATGCAGCCTTCAGGTGGAGAAATACAGCTATTATTGGACGTCGGTAAGCGTTTCTATGTTCCGGAACCTGGTGGAATGTGAATATTGGATGGATACACGCATGACTGTTTCTAAATCGTGAGTGGTTTTCTCGGACTTTGTTGTTCCCGAGCTCCACTCAGGCGTCGAAGAATTATAGCATCTGTGATGTTGGATAGTATGTTCGTCAGTTTGATTCCTCTGTATTTATCACAAGAGAACCTCTACTTTCTTGAAATAGTCTTCTATAGTTTACATTCGTTTTTCGCTTCTTTTGGTAATCCATCCGATAGGTAACTGACATAATATGTTCTCTAGGGATTTGGTTGGTTTGTGTACCACATTCATATCAAACAGATGATGTAATTGACTGGCAGTTGAGGTAATTCTTCTTATATGTGTTCTGTTCATAGTCATTGGTTGTGAACACAGGTTTTCAAAAGCAATTAACTGCTGGAATGAGTTTTGGCACTTGGAGATAATTCTTGTACGCAATTCACCAGTTTCTTTAAGGTTATTTTTAGATCATTCTGTTAAATAAAAAATTGTAGAAGTAACTTTCATACACTTTTTAAGATTATGGTCATTTCAAAGACGGAGACTGATTATCAATTTCATGAGATCGTGGATGATCAATGTACAAAGTGTCTATCATGAAATCTTCAATTCTTCCTGGGAATGGAGTTTCCGCATTGACCAAGTAAAAAGTACAAGAAAACACGGTACAATTAAAGGTTAGGATAGATTTACAGCACCAGAAAGTTGTTATCATCTTGACTGATTGGGATTGTCTGAATCACGTGATTCTATCCATTCGGTCTTAACACTGACCTTGCACGTGATTGGTTACATTTATGCTTGTCCAATCACGTACACTCAATCCACCTACACATATGAGTCACAAAATTCATCTCTGCCTTGCAACTCCAGATTGAATAACTGTCTAGTATACATTAGTAACTGATGAATTCAAGGAAGTCGGAACTGAAGATATATGCTCATCCACAGTTCCACGATATCTTTCACGAACTGACGGAAGTAGAAAAATGTTGACGATTGGATTCCAATTTAGTCAGTGAGTAGTAACATACTGGCAGCGGGACAGATAGGTCTTAGGTTGAACCCTTAAAGTGTGAGGTCATGGATCCGTACTACTGACGAGCTTCATGCTAGGACGAAATACCACTTCAGTACTCTCAGCTTTCAAATGATTCACCAACTGGTGTGACTCCATGATGAAAACCAACTCGCCTCAAACGTTCACTTCTCAAATAACCCTCATCATTTCCACCAACGTCAACTCAGTTCTTCTGCATGGTTCAGAAACTTTCCGCGTTACAAAAGGCATTTCCAACAAACTATAGATATTCATCAACAACTGCCACCAACGCCGGCTCGTTACCGAAGCTCAGATGGTCAGAATATTAAGAATAAGCAAGGAGGAACTCTGCCCGGCAACCAACCAACGAAGCAAGAACCTATCACTCAACAAGTATGCAGGAGAAGAGAGTGGAGATGGATTGGTCATACACTGAGAAGACCGATTGAGGACATCACGAGTCAGGCCAGTTGCTCGAGTGGAACCCAGATGGAAAGCGACGGGTTGGGCGTCCGAGGGTGACATGCAGGAAGTCGTGCGAGGAGGAAATGAGAGCTTGTGGGCTGTCGTGGAGCCAGGTTCAAAAGATTTCAGTAAAGACGTGCTACTGAAGCCCTATCTTCCATTAGGAATCCAAGGGACAAATAATTATAATATATATAGTTTCCAATATAATGTAGACATTTCTTAGAGTATACTTATCAACAAATTGTCCCCCTTGTATAAAGTTTTCATTGACTATTTGTATATACCTAAAAATCTTTCCTATTTATGCAATGAAACAATTTCATAATCTAATTTTCTATTTTCTATTCAGTGGTCCATTCCATTATGAATTATTACTCAAACCTGATTTGTATACAAAACGACATGTTCAATGGTATTTCTTCTGTATACGTAATACTTTACCTGGTTTCACATACACCTTCTTGATTATAAATTTCACAAAACCAACTAGTCTATATTCACAAGGTTAGTTATATTATCAAACTTATGATTTTCAAGTTGAATACATTGAACATTGAATGTTTGAAGTTCATTAAAACAAATCACTGAATGATTTTTTGTCAATCATGTATTCTATTACCATGACACATTTACAAACAATCTGATCATACTTGTTAATCGTTATAAAGAGCTGAAGAGAGAGGGTTTTGTGAAGACATTAATGAATTCACCAAAGGGAGAGATTTGATGCGATAACCAGTTGTTTTCGAACTCATAAAGGTGTCTTAAACTTGCTGAAAGTTGAAAGCTTTCAAAGAAGCCAGTGATAGACGACTACAGTTCAAGTTCAACAAGCAGAACAGAAACTGAAACGCAAAACTACAAGGGACACCTTCACATCAGCCATCAAGACAAAATGGGAGACATTGAGCAATATCCCTGAAGAAACCTGTGTGGTAGAACACTAGAAGGAAACCTGGACAATCATGTCAAGAAAGAAGAAGAAACAGGACAAAGAATGGATCTTGACGGACACATGGAAGTTGATACAGGACAGGAAGATGGTGAAGCAGAAGATGAAACAGCACAGTGTAAGGATACACAACGAAAAAACGAACTGAGTACTACGTATAAAACACTGGGCAAAGTAGTGAAGGAGATTGAATGGAAAGACAAAAGAGACTTCTGTGACTTGCAAGTGAAGCAGAACAAACTGCTAGAAGGAGAGACCTGACCACTCTCTTTACTGCAGTCTTTCCAACCTGGCTTCACGATTGCCCACAACCTTTTATTTCTTCCTCAAATCATCTCCTCCACGTCAAGCTAAACTCGTCGTTTCCGATTTGGATTCCACTCGACGACCTGGTCTAACGCGTGACTTCCCCAAACCATCTTCTCCATCTATGTCCAGTCCATCTCCACTATCTTCTTCTGCATTTTTTTTGGACGATAGATTCTTGCCTTATTGGTTTGTTGCTAACCAGAGTTCATCCTTGCTTTTTCTTATTATTCTGGCCATCTGATCTCCATCTTCAGTATCCAGTGAGCGTAGGCAGCAGCTGTTCATGTATGATGTCCGTAGTCTGTTGGAAATGCTTTTCGTAAGGCGCCAAGTCCCTCAACCATGACATAGAAGCACTGACTGACGACTGATTTAGTGCAGAAAATCCGGATGTTGTTCGCGCTATATACCGAGTATAGTGCAGTGCTGGGTAGTAGATCTTCACACTGATTTCAGATTGACGAAGGAAGGCCTGTCTTGCTGTCTTTACGATCCTGGTTGGGTTTGACATAGTCATCTGTACCTGGGCCACCTGTAGTTGGAACGATGCTGCCTCCTAGGTGGGTAGTTAGGCGAAAGAGACAACTTTCTCTAGATTTTTCTCGTTTACCGTGATCGGTGCTTGTTGTTGTTGGCTGTATATCTTCATCATCTGTGTCTTCTCTACATTCACCTGAACAAAGTTTCGCCTTCACCGCCTCTTCTGCCAACTTGTTAGTTTGTGCGGTTTGTGCGACATAAGACAGCAGATATAAATCATCATTGGCGAAATCCAAATCTTCTAGGGTCTTTTCATCGGTCAAAAAGCAAGCGTATGTCCCTCTTCTAGCTCCTTACAGTTTGTTGCAAGATCCAGTCCAATCGGGTTGACCACAGTCAAGAAGATCATCATCGGTGATAGTAGGCAACAACCTTGTTTTACTCGTGTCTTCATTTTAAGGGCATGACTGAGCTTTCCATTGTGAATCACTTGGCGTGTAGCATTCTCATATAGCTGGTGTTGAATGAGGTTGATAAAGGTTGATAAAGGCACTAAAACCGTAGTGTGGAAGCAGCTGACAGATTACTTCTCAGTTGACGCTGTCGAAGGCCTTTTCAAAGTCGATGAAGTTGAGGTTGATTTGAGTTGACTGCCATTCTATACTCTGTTCTATTATGATGTTCAGAGTGGAGTTTCAATTTGATCCGTACATGATTTGTTCTTTCTGAAGCCAGACAGCCTGTTCTGGCCGTAATTTTGGACGTAGAGCATCTTTTAGTCTCTCCAGGATGATGTGGCTTGGTATTCTGCTTGGGGTGGACAGGAGTATGATTTCAAGCCACATACTTGGAAGTTTGGCAAGGTAGCTCTTCTTCCAGTCGGCAGGTAGCTTTCCTTCCTTCTTCCATTTCAAACCTTCTGCAGTAGTGGTGTGAACATGTTTGCCGATGTCTCCTTGTCAGTTTTCCCTGATTCTGGAGGAATTCCACCTGTTGCGAACTGATGATATTGACAAGTAAGAGGGAAACTTTGGAATCGAGTTACCCAGGGAATAATAAATTAATGGCGGCTTCTTTTCGAAATTTTACATAAGGTTCCAACCTCCAGTTTACAAGAATCTTAGACCAGTTTGTTTGTCAGTTATCTTCAAAGACGTCAAAACGTCATCTACTCACAACAGTCAACATTAAGCACTTTACACTAGATAATCACTATGGTTATCCACCATGTACCTAAATCAGCTCAAAAGAGAGTCAGGGGTAGCCTGAGACATTAGTTCTTCGTGAGTTGTCAGTTTCATGTACCTACCACTTAGTTAATAATGTTATTCCCACTAGAAGTCGAGCTGAGAACTAATCTCCTCAAACACCAGACCGCTATCCAATAGACTAACGGGTCACAATACCAACTACTTGTACAACTTGAATTAACTCAGCCTTGATCAGACCAATTTGATCGGTGACTACTGGCACATGTGCTCCTGTATCGATATCTTGACATTCACAATACTTTCGTTTCAATATTAACAATGAATAATAGCTGACTGTGTAAGGTCAAGACACGTGTTTCGTTCTTTCGGGTCTCATCAGCCGGATGCACCTGCCTCCCAGTGTAAGATATAGTTACTGTTGTTTCCTGGTTTGACGACAACTTGAAAGGGTAAGATAAACTCGATGCTTGCCGACTAAAAGTTAACAAGCCATATCTGGCACCTCAGGGGAACTGATGTCTGGTCTGCGGTTCGAACCCGCGCCAGCCAATTCTACACTTAGAGATACACTACTACTGAGTTATTGAGAACGCGACTGACCTATAGTCAAGCTGGATCACGTTAATTGTTTAGTCACTTGGGAGCAACCAATTTCATGTTCTCTAGTGGTGAATGCGAACCCTGACTGACCAAGGTTTCGTGGTTGTTGGTACTCTTCAGCAAAAGGCGTATCTTTGACCTCTACGGAATTGATGTCTTGCCAGAGATTCAAACCAACATCAGTAGGAGCTAAATTCAGAGACACTATGAGTGAGCTATTCAAGCCGCGATTGTTTCATTGTGACACACTGATACTATGTTACCGAGTTTTCTAACCGAAATAGCTTGATGCAGCATTCGTCATTTATTACCAGCTGTATCCATATGAATTCTGCGTAAGAGTCAGAAATTCCAATGATTAGATTGGGACTCCTCAGCAGTGCGCACCCACGACCCCACCAGCAGGGATCGAACCCTCGACCTTCAGGTTCCGCGACCAGCGCGTTACCATTGAGCCACTGGGTCAGAAGTTGGAAATATGGAGCATTGGATTATGACCCAGTGGCTCAATGGTAACGCGCTGGTCGCGGAACCTGAAGGTCGCGGGAATGATTAGATTGTTTAACAATAGGATTGCAAAAATAAAAGTAGGTTTTTATTCAGTTGAAAACTTAGATGAGTGAATGAGTGAGTGACTCGTCTACACTGTCCGATAGATGGAATCAGGTCACCTTTTCTATCATAAGTCATATCATGGAGAAAAGTGAATTTTTTTATTTGGTTACAACAAATGGATAATTATTTCATCGTCTACTTTGGTGATGGTTAGTGTTTTTTTCCCTTCGAATTTCTCTTCGATTTAATCATGACGCATGTCGAATGTAAGTTTAACAGGAGAAGGAATAAAGAAAATGCGATGAAACTTCGTAATCTTCGGATATCTGATTTCTACACTGCTAAGACTAATAATCCTAGCAGTTCTTACGGTACTAGTAAGATCCATAAATCAGGTTATCCTATTAGACGCATAGTTGACTTTAGAAGTAACCCCAACATATGAACCAGCATAGTACTTAGAATCGATATTATGTCCTAGTAGGAACCGTTCAAATTCCACACTGGGAAACTCTTACGAGTTAAACTCAAGACTTAATGACCCACATGTGGAAAAAGATGAAGAAATGGTTAGTCACGATGTAACAAGTCTGTATACTAAGATACCAACCAATATGTCATTGGAGACAGCCAGAAATCGACTAAATATTGACTCAGAACTTACAGAACTGAGATATCGGTGGATGAAGTAATATTAGGCGTGCAGCTGTGCCTGACCCCCACAGTCTTCAAGTTTCAAGACAAAATATACAGATAAACAGAAGGAGTAGCAATGGGATCAACAATATCCCCAATGGTAGCATATATATTTATGGGTAGTTGGGAAAAAAATGATGTGACAAACGTTTAATCCTGCATCTAAGATATGATGGCGATAAGTGGATGACACATTTACTACTGTGTTGAAATCTGAATATATCGACAATCTCCTCACTCTTATAAACTCAGTGGTAGGTGCAATCCAATTCATGTATGGGTAGAAAATGAACAAGGGGAATGTTGGACTGTAGAATAAAACGAAGGACAGACGTCGGTGGTTTGAATACAACCATCTACAGAAAACTGACACATTCTGAGAGGTATCTAGATTTCAATCATCTCATCCAATGTCAGTCAGTGAAGGCAGGTGTATCAGATGTCAGAATGACAGAGCTAGAAAACTGAATAGTTAGTGGAACGACGGAAATAAGGAACTGAAGCACGTAAAAGAAGCGTTAATAGTTAATAATTATCCTCCACACTTTAAGAAATTCTTACGAACACACAAAAACTGGAATACTAACAATGACACGAGTAGAAAGGAGTTTACAGTCTCCATTGTGCTACCCTATCGAGAATGTACATAAGAAACTTTACTTGAGATCCTCAACAAATCTGGAATTATGGTAGCATTTTACAACCTACTAACTTACTCAGAGATAAGCTTTGTCGGCTGGCTTGATGATCCGATATACAACCGATCAAGCAAAATAATCTAATCTATCGAATTTCATATGATGACTGCGAGGTCAAGTGTGTAGATCAGACTAACCAATCGGAGTCAGTTAGGAATTTTAGCTAAATATAGAATGATAGACCCCAACAATACATGGATTAACACACACACACACACACAACCAGACAATAGGGTGGGTGGGGTAAAACCATTGTACTCAAGCTCAATATAATTAGGTGGAGAGAGAGAGATAATGATTGATTACTGAATCTTTGTTCATCGAATCAACATCCACTTAACACATGTAATCGGAATGACGCTATATATCAGAGATATGGGAAGTTGTACTACAATTGCAAACAAAGAACATGAAGTGGTTGATACGCCTATAAAAATCAGGTGTTGAAAGTAGTATGTGATCACACTGATATGATTATGAGGTCAAAAGGTCATCAAGTAAATAGGTAATACTGTATCACTCAATGTGCGTTATAGATCAAATAAACAAATCTATTAGTCATGGGTGATGATTGGAGGTGAGATAGAAGTCTGAACCTCTGCCGGATTCGAACCAGCGACCACCGGTTTCCTGCACGGTGTCCTACCAACTGACATACGAGGTCCGACTACTGACCAGAATTTTATGTCACTTCAATCGCCATCAGTGTTTTGCCCGACTACCATATGCATTCGTGAAGGTTTACTACCGCTTGACGGTATTCACACTGGCTGCCCACCAGTCAGGACTTCTCATCCCCATCGAAATGTAACTGAATCAGAGAAGAGAGCAGTATACTGATTACCATTTGCCTATCTGAGACGGTGGCCGTAGTTAGGCAGACTAGTAGTATTTATACTGTATGATGATTAGAGATGATATGGAAATCTGGATCGCTAACGAATTCAAACCTCATCACCCAGTACAAATACTAGTCTGCCAAATTACGGCGATCTTGAATAGTTTTACACTTATACTGTTGATCTTTAATTATAAAAATTGTTTTACAAAACAAGATATTGACCAGAGAAATAAAATTATTTACCAATTTGTTTTTTCTTATCTAGGCTTGCAACCTTTATTGTATTCCAAAATCAATACTCAGCAAAACGGTAAAAAATGGATACGTATTGGAAAAAATATCAAGTAGGTTTGATGACAGGACATTCATTGATATGACAAGAAAAACTTAAGTATAAATATTCCTATGGACTGATGAATGAAGTAAGAAATCAGAGGGAACAAATTCCTTCTCGACCATCGATACGACGACTACCAAGAAAGAGTCGACTGTCTGCATTATAGCTCAATCCTACACTAGAACAAAACAGCTATCCAATACTCATAGACTTCCAATGATCTTCAACATCATGCCTATTCAACTTAAACTCAATCAATCACCACAAATTATCAATTTCATTCTCTTCTCCTACACAAATATCACACTCAAAACATCCACAACCACCTTCATAAAAACAATCAATCTCCACAATGATTAGTAAAGTTGTCAGTGTTTGTCAGTTACCTGTGTCCAACAAAATCATATGAGAATGTAAGTTATGTGACAAACATGCAGGAAGGAATAAGTGTGCACGAACTACCATCAATCAATGACTTGATGAATTCGTCAGACAGTTATGAATCGAGTTTAAATGATCAGTGTAAGGTTTAATAATTGGAAAGGATGAGCATAATAGTGATGGAATAGACCTTGTAGTCATGAGGACAAATACTCAACAATGACACTGGATGACAGTCGTGTTATCCATTTGTATTAATTTATTAGATGCATCACATAGTGGAGGAACAGTATTGTTTACTGGATAACGCGTTTCGGACATAATTTATGTTGGCCATAGTCAGCATGCTTTTGAAGTGAAGACAGGAGTGAAACAAGGTTGCCTACTATCCCCCATGATCTTCCTAATTGTGGTCGACTGGATCATGCAACAAACAGTGGGGAGCTGTGAGAAGAGGGGGATACGCTGGACTGCGGAAAATAACCTAGAAGATCTGGATTTCGCCAGTGATGACTTGTGCCTGGTGTCACACAAACTTGAAGATCTACAGGCGAAAACTAACAAGTTGGCAGAAGAGGCAAGGCAGCGAAGACGGGACTTCAGGTGAATATAGAGAAGACAGAAGTGATGAAGATACCGTACCACTACCACCAACAACAAGCTCCAATCACCATCAGCGAAAGAAACTTAAAGGAAGTAACCTCCTTCACCTATCTAGGAAGCACTGTTTCAACTACAGGCGGCGGTGGCACAGACGAGGATGTCAAAGTCAGAATAGGAAAAGCAAGACAGGCGTTCATTACCCTGAAAACAGTGTGGAGATCTTCTGCACTCAGCATGTGGAACAACATCCGGATTTTCAACACCAACGTCAGTCAAGTCAATGCTTGTGTATGGTTCAGAGACTTGGCGCGTCACGAAAGGGATTTTCAATAAACTACAGACATTCGTCAACAATTGCTTACGCTGGCTCGCTACTGAAGCTCAGATGGATTGCCAGAAAGAATAAGCAACAAGGAGCTCTGAGAACGAACTAACCAAGAACCTATCACGCAACAAATATGCAGAAGGAAGTGGAGATGGATTGGGCATGCACTGAGAAGGCCGACTGAGGACATCACGCGTCAGGCCCTCGAGTGGAATCCCCACGGGAAGCGACGAGTTGGACGTCCGGGGTGCGGGTGACATGGAGGAGGTCGTGCGAGCAGGAAATGAGAGCTTGTGGGCTGTTGTGGAACCAGGTTCAAAAGATCTCAAAGAACAGAGTTCACTGGAGACGTGCTACTGAAGCCCTATGTTCCACTAGGAACCCAAGGGACTACTACTACTAATAATAATAGTCAGCATATCAAGATAACTATATAACTTATGAGATATTCTTTATATAGTCCTAATTTCCTCATCTCTTTGTGAGATGGGTAGTAAAATTCTCTATATATCCGAATTAGGTGCTGCCTGTGTGAAGTGTTGATTCGATAAACAAAGATTCACTTATCAATCTCTCCCTACATCCTGTTATCTTATTTTCAAGAATTTTCACCCTGTCCCATCGATCCCATTGTATGGTTGTATGCAATCGCATTTATAGCTATGAGGCTGAGCTTTTCTCTAAATTCCTCACGTTACTAGGATCTACCAATTTTGACCTAGTTAAGTTTTTGTGTTCCAATAGCCTAATTGACCGACCCTGGTCGACTACTTTCACCTATGTATTTGACCTCGGAATCGTTGCAAGGGACTTGGTAAACTAAGTTATTCTACTGATTGGGTCAACAGGATCTCCTTAACCTAAAAAGCCTATTTCGAAGTGAGTTTGTAGGTAGAAATACCACTCTAATCTCAGCCAGCCTTAATGAGAATTCCGCATAGTGTTTCTGAGATGCCTTCTTTATATGGTGGATAATACTGTAGAGATTTTGAATTCTCTATTCATAGTATTGCGGCTACTATTATTAACATCATTATGAACACCATTATTACTGTTATTGTTGTTATGTCATGAGCCAACAGAAGTTAGGAATATGAACCATTGGATTCTGGCGATGCAGTGGCTAGCTCAATGATAACGTGGTGGACATGGAACTGGAATGTCATGGGTTCGACGCGTACTGACGTACAGTCATAAGTATCCCCTGTAGAGGTTTCCCATACTAGGGTGAAACAGCTAATGTCCAGTGACTCCAAATTTTTTAATATTCCTCAAACTCATATCACTCCATGATGATTACCAACTTAAAGTTAAGAAACGAATAAGGACACCGAATGGTAAACTTCCTTCTGAACACAGGAATGCGGTGTCAATTTTTTTATTCCTGGATATGAATGCTTGCATTTCAATCTCTTAGCAACACTATGGAGTATTTTTTTTGACTTCTGTATATGAATCATTTCGAACTGTATGTCTACAACCGATTAAATGGTGTAATGTGGAGCTACTGATTGATTTCAAGTGGACTTTGATAAGTGTCTCTACAAGGTGACAGTGTCAACTTATGCTTTATGTACCCAGCTCAATAGAAAGGAGCTAGCAGATGGTTAACCATTCAACAGGCAGTGTAGATGATTTTTCTTTGAATACCTTCATTACTCTCCTTCTTCATAACTGTACTATTCAAAATTAGCTAGTCTCTCTTATCAACACTGATAAGAGACTAATGTGTAACGATCAGATGTGAAGGTTTTACTTAGGCATCTCATTGTGTATGGAATTTAGATGAACATTGAACTGTGTTTAAACAAGAATACTTGACAAGTATTCAACTTTATACGATTTTAAGGTGACATGAAATACAATTTCGTAATAAACATTTTCCTAATCATCCTGCTATTCACCGTTTCTATCAATAAATGTTCACAACTTAGCAGTTGGTTACCGCTAATTTGCCAGCTACTGCTTCAATACTACACAGTGAGTGCCAAAACGTGGACTTTATCAACTTCATTCAACAGCACCTTTATACTATATGATGTTATATGCCAAGTGATTGACAATGAAAAGCTCACTGATCTCTTTGAAGTGAAGACAGGTTGATAGGTAAGACAAGGTTGTCACTTACATCACCGATGATCTTGCTGATTGTCGTTGACTGGACTTGACTGGATCATGCAACAAACTAGAGGAGAAAACTAACAAGTTGGCAGAAGAGACAGGGCACCAAAGACGGGACTTCCTTCAGGTGATTACAGAGAAAATAGATAGAATTGATGAGGATACCCAACCAGCAACAAAACCAGCAACCACCAATCACCATCAGTGAGAGAAATCTGAAGGAAGTTGTATCTTTTACCTACTCACCTAACTAGAAGGTAGCATCGTTCCAACCACAGGTGGCACAGGCACAGATGACCATGTCAAAGCAGCGAGACTCGGAAAGACAGCAAGACAGGCCTTCCTGCATTAGTCTGAAATCTCTCAAGTAAGTCAGTGCTTCTATGTTATGGTTGAAAAACTTGGCGCATTACAAAAAGCATTTCTAACAAACTACAGACATACATGAATAGCTGTCGCCTACACTTGCTGTATATTGAAGATCAGATAGTCACAAAGAGTAAGCAACAAGGAACTCTGGCTAGCAAAAAACCAACAAGTCAGTAACCTAACGTTCAACAAATATGCAGATATGTTGGACATGAACTGACAAGACGGTTTGGGGACATCACGTGTCAGACCAGGTCGTCGAGTAGAAACCAAATGGAAAACGATGAGTTGGGGGTGACATGGAGGAGATGGTGTGAAGGAGAGATGAAAGGTTATCGGTAGTCATGGAGGTAGGTGAAAGAGATTGCAGAGAAGTGCAGAGTGTAATGGAGACGTACTACAGAAGTCCTATATTCTACTAGGAACCCAAGGGAGGCCATCTTTTATTTCAATTTACTAATTTCGCACCTTTTTTCTATTCCCATGATCATTGGATCATTCTTTTCATCATCTTTATGGTCACTGTGTTAATGGTCAAGTTGTTTTTCGATATCCTTCATTCAAGATAAGATTATAATTACAGTTTGTGTACTTATGTCTTATAAAATGTGATTTTTGTTTACTGATAAAGAAGGACTTCGTATATATACGATCATTTTTCAGAATTATTACTGCTTACTATCCAGTGAATTGCAGTAAACACTCGAACGAGTTGTATCTACTCTCAGAGTATTTATTGAAAGGTGTATCTGTCTATCTGTCTACCTGTCTGTGTGTCTGTCTGTCTGTCTGTGTCACTATCCTTCTCCAGTACTATATTCCGTGTTGTTGATAATTGTTTCGATTTGCCTTTATCGCATTCCTGTTAGACGTGGATTCAGTTAACAGTGTTTCTTTCCGTTTGTTCATCTTAGACTTTAAGATGCCAACATTGTACTAATCATTAATAATTATCTTTCTTAAGATGAATGGGATTTTTAATTTAGAAGTAGTATTCATCATGGACTGATATCATTTGGGGAACCATTGAAAATCTGGGAGCATTAGACAGCTGTTTCATCCTAGTATGGGACTCCTCAGCAGTACGCACCCACAACCCAGCTAGGGATCGAAGTCAGGACCTGCAGGTTTCACAATCAACGCGTTAAGCATTCAGCCACTGAGTCGGTGATTCTAATGAGAAGCCGTGACCTGAAGGGTCAACGAGTTGGAAGTGAAGTGGGTGCTAACTGAAAACCTTGAGTGATAGTCAAGATATGTCGTGAATTGACAGAAGTTGGAAATTGTGAACCACTGGAAACCGACTTACAGAGTGGCTGAATGGTTAACGCGTTCACCGTGAAACCTGAACGTCCTCACTTGCATTCCTAGCCGGGTTGTGGGTGCGTACTGCTGAGGAGTCGCATACTAGAACAAGACAGCTGTTCAGTGCTCCCAGATTTTCAATGGTTCCCTAACTGATGTCAGTCCATGATGAATACTACTTCTAAATTATCTTTCTGATTTTATGTGTATGTGCTATTATTGATGAATACTTTAACTGATGTCTATATTCTTGTGTCTCTGTCAATTGACCTTCAATAGTTAATCGTCTACAGACTGATATTGAGTTGGTAATCGTTATGGAGTGATATAAGTATGAGAAATATAAGAAATCTGGAATCACTGGACAGTAGCTGTTTTATTCTAGTAAGTGAAACCTCAGCAGTGCATACACATCACCATAACCTTCCAGTTCCGTGTCCACCACCTTATCATTGAGCTAGCCACTGCATCGCCAGAATCCAATGGTTCATATTCCCAACTTCTGTCAGTTCACGGCATAACACGACTGTCATCCAGTGTCATTGTTGAGTATTTGTACTCATGACTACAAGGTCTATTCAATCACTATTATGCTCATCCTTTCCAATTATTAAACCTTACACTGATCATTTAAACTCGATTCATCACTGTCTGACGAATTCATCAAGTCATTGATGGTAGTTCGTGTGCACTTATTCCTTCCTGCATGTTTGTCACATAACTTACATTCTCATATGATTTTGTTGGACACAGGTAACTGACAAACACTCACAACTTTACTAATCATTGTGGAGATTGATTGTTTTTATGAAGGTGGTTGTGGATGTTTTGAGTGTGATATTTGTGTAGGAGAAGAGAATGAAATTGATAATTTGTGGTGATTGATTGAGTTTAAGTTGAATAGGCATGATGTTGAAGATCATTGGAAGTCTATGAGTATTGAATAGCTGCTTTCTCATTCTAGGTTATTCGGAAAGTTATTCTTTCGACAGTGCACGATTTTTGATGATTTTGTTCTCTGTATGTGTAAATGTATGTGTTTGTGCATGTTTTTTGATATGTAATATCCCCTGTACATCCAACAAAATGCTCGAAATTCTTGAAGCTTTGTCGTTTTGCTATTGTTCATCACAATTTTGTATACTCCAGAGTTCTGAAGGCAATACTTCTTAGCTCTCCACAGTCAACGTTGGTTAGCTCGATTGTCATAATATTTGAAAGTAGGATGATAGGTCCTGTAAAATCCTCAAAGGCAATCTATGCGTATTCACGACAGACAATAGTCAATGGAGATAGAAGTCGGAATGGATTGAAGTATGCTGTATTTCCACCTTTTATGGCAATAGAAAAGCTGATTATTACCGCCAAAACCAAAAGTGTGTACAGATAAACATAATTTCATGCAGTATCCATAACCCATTGTAACAGAAAGTTGAAAATCTTAATGTCCAATTACATAAGTTTTGTGAGACGGAACTCAACACTAGCTAATATGTTTGAATGGATTTGAATAGCAGCACAGTCTCTATTCAACAGAAAACTATATCCAAGTTAGAGTAAATGTTTTCTGACTTTCCTGTAAACAAGATTTTTGCCTATCCATTTGAGACTACAACTTTATCCCCTTCATAACAGTATAATTGATTGGATAACGACATTTCGGACACTATTTATTGTCCATAACCATATCAAAGTAACTTGGATATGATGAAACCTTAAAGTGGAGAGTATTCGAACTAAACCTTGAGTACTAGCTAATGACAATGAGTCAGTCTTTAACGGTTTATCAACTTTGAAGTAATGAGGACTCGAAGGTTGGATGTCTGCATTGTTGACAACGTTGAAAAGTGGAGAATATGAGTGTCAGATAAGTGTCATTAGGCGTGTAGTATTTTATTTATCTTAAAAGTTATTCTCCTCATGACTCCATTACTAACTTGATTCCATAGCCCACTGGGTACAACAGCTATCCATTACTTCCTCATTCATTTATGCATGACTTCTAGTTGGGAAACAATTACAGCATACTGGTTGATATTCATTATATTATGTATTCGAAAGGAATTGGTTGTTTCATCTCTAGACATTCTGGTACGTTGTGGTCAAGTTATTTAGTTGTGTTATACACAGATGAATCAGGTGGTCTGACCTCGTGTTTTATGATAATAGACGGTGGCAGAGCAGAGGCAAATTGTATGACTCATGGCGTGTGCGTGGTGTATTGAGTATACGAGACTGGACAAGTATGGATGTGACCACTCACGTGCAAGGTCAGTTTGACTGGATAGAATCATATGCTTAAGACAATTGCGACCACAGCTAAAACAGCCTTGCTCTCCTTCAGCTTACCACGATTTGTTACACGCATGAGTAAACGAATGTATCTTTAAGGATATTAACCGTTTAAAACAGATCCATCTTTTCTGTTCTCATAGATACACGCGTAATACAACAAATCTTACAAATCATTTGCTTGATACAAGTGGAGAATATTATCAATTGGAATGGGATATGGTAAGTTTCTTCTGGATTTATTTGTGATATGGCATATAAGAAGCTTCTTAAGATGACTGAACTGCAAGATATCGGACTATATCAGTGGCTGATACCTTTTCGAACAGTATAAACAATACTATGGATTTTCGAAGGTGCAGCAATAAGCGACATGAAATCATTACAGGGAAAGGAGGATTAAAAAAATGCGGACCAATAGAGGAAGGAAGCTTTCAGTGTTGTGTAACAGCTGTACGCTTGTGTCATGACCATCACGATTTGAAGACTTTAATAGCCGCTATCGATACTTCACTACCTGGTGTCAACCACCAACGTTCAACAATTTCCAAATCGACTCCCAATCCCACGAACCAAACAGACAACACACAATGAAACGAGTAAGAAACGTCAATCTGAGACGAAAGTCAAACGAAAATACATCGAAATATATACATAGTTGGGCGTTTAAAATAACGACTTTGATTGGTTGATCGATCGTGTGTCTGTGTAACTGTAGATGAGATTAGGATAAACTACATTTTGATTGGTCCATTATCAGACCAATCTTTTCTCTCTCTATCCCCTCATTATAAACTATATACAAATTGGTAATCTTATTTTAGGCACATCAGCATAAAATTCTATGACTCACCTAGTTAGATTTAAGTGAACTGAGCTACTCCAGCCCAGTGAGCTGAATTTGTCCGAGTACACTGCTGATGATGCGCTGGATTCAAAACTACGACCGGAACAGGCTGAATTCAGGAAGTAGAAATCATGTGCCGACCAAATTGCAACGATACGCTACGCATCATCATAGAACAGAGCGTAGAATGGCAGTCAACTCAACCTCAATTTCATCGACTTTGAAAAGACCTTCGACAGCGTCGACAGAGAAGTAATTTGTCAACTGCTACGACAGTACGGAATACCACAAACCTTTATCAGCCTCATTCAACAGCAGCTATATGAAGACGCCACATGCCAAGTGATTCACAAGGGGAAGCTCAGTGATGCTTTTGAAGTGAAGACAGGAGTGAAACAAGGCTGCCACCTACTATCACCCATGATCTTCCTGATTGTGATCGACTGGGTCATGCAACAAACAGTGAGGAGCCAAAAGATGGGCATCACTGACTGGAACCATGAAAAGACCCTGAAACATTTGGATTTCGCCGGTGTTGATTTATGTCCAATGTCACACAAACACGAAGATGTACAGGCAAAAACTAACAAGTTGACAGAAGAGGCAGAGAAGCAAAGATGGGACTTCAAGTGAATGCAGAGAAGACACAGGTGATGAAGATACCCAACCAACACCACCACCAGCAACAACAAACTCCAGTCACCATCAGCGGAGGAACTTAAAGGAAGAAGCCTCTTCCACCTACCTAGGCAGCGTCGTTTCAACTACAGGCAGTGGTGGCACAGACGAGAACGTCAAAACCAGCCAGGATCAGAAAAGCAAGGCAGGCATTTATTAGTCTGAAACCAGTGTGGAGATCTTCTGCACTCAGCATTAAGAACATGATCCGGATTTTCAGCACAATCAAGTCAAGTCAGTGCTTCTATGTGATGGTTCGGAGACTTGGCGCCTTAAGAAGAGCATTTCAGACAATTTACAGACATTCATCAACAGCTGCCTACGCTGGTTCGTTACTCAAGGTCAGATGGCTAGAATAATAAGAATAAGCAAGTAGGAACTCTGACCTGGCAACGAACCAACCAAGAACCTATCATCCAACAAATATGCACTGGAAGGAAGTGGAGACAGATTGAGTATACACTGAGATGACTATTCGGGGACATCACGCGTTTCTGGGAAGTCGTGGAGCCAGGTCAAAGAGATTGCAGAGAACAGAATAGAATGGAGGTGTGCTACTGAAGCCCTATGTTCGACTAGGAACCCAATGGACAAATAATGTAATAATAATACACTGCTGGTGAGCTGGTTAGACCATCCGGTGTTTAGATCATTCTGAACTGGTTGGCTGGCTGGCTACCGAAGTCTACAGACCAGCCAGAGTATTTTCTAAATGATCAGGTTGTTCAAAAGTATATTTCCTAAGAATGGATGTTGAAAATGCTGAGAAGCTACATAGTAATCAGGAAACAGGTTAGTAGTGGGATCTATGATGTACGTCTTGTATTATCTGAGGCATATTGGTTGAATGTTTGCTATCAGTGTCTGTGCTCAAAACTGGGACTGCGAACTCATTACCCATTACTTCAAATTTCAGTGTTTTTTTCATCTGATTACTGAGGCATAACGCTGAAATTTCGCTCAGTTAACATTTATATATTTCTACAGTAATTTTCAATCGTTTTAATTGGTCAGACGAATTCTTTGTACGAACATTCACGTCTTAATTAGATCACTAGTCAATAAAGATGCGCGTACATCTAACTATAGAATTTCCAATTGGATGTAGTTCACATCTTGTATCCTGTTGTTAGTGGAATGACTAACAATATCGATACCATTGGATAATGGTGACCAGCCAATTCGATGTAAATAAATCAATATTGAGACACTGTCAGCTGGTCTCACTTCTCAGATCTCTAGCTTGAACTGATAGAAGTAGGAAACTGCCGATCACTGAACCCTGAATCACTGACTGAATGGTTAACGAGTTTTCCATGAAACCTGAAGCTGCTGAGTTCCAGCCCTGGTGGTCTGTTGGTTGGGAGGGGGAAGGGCGTACTGTTGAGGAAGAAACAGGTTTCCAGTGCTCACAGGTTTTCAATGGTTCTTCAAATGATGTCAGTCCGTGATGAATACTGCCATTAGAAATATAAGTTCCTCATTAAACCATTAAGCTATTGCAATTTATTAGTTCCCTCTTCCACTTTGTTATTCTACAGATTGATCTACTCAAAAGATCCATCACGTCGCCTGGTTATTAGCACAACGTAATTGTTCAGTGTTTGTCATTTAGACCAGTCTGATAATGGACCAATCAAAATGTAGTTTATCCTAATCTCATCTACAGTTACACAGACACACGATCGATCAACCAATCAAAGTCGTTATTTTAAACGCCCAACTATGTATATATTTCGATGTATTTTCGTTTGACTTTCGTCTCAGATTGACGTTTCTTACTCGTTTCATTGTATGTTGTCCATTTGGTTCTTGAGGTTGGGAGTCAACTTTGAAATTGTTGAACGTTGGTGGTTGACAGCAGATATCTACCCACTTTCAAATCATAACAGTTTAAATCACCTGTTCGGTTGAGGTGAAGTTTAGACGTCAGACTGAGTGGTTTCTAACTTCATGAGTAGTATATTTTGCCAGTTTATGTCAATTCATAGACAGTACCAAGTACTATGAACTAGTCAGTAACATATGGTTACCATCCAGTGAACAATTCATGAGTCAACAAAGCTTTACGGAAAAATGTTATCAGTTTCTCACAATACGGACGAGTCTGATATTGATAAATAGCTGCACAAAATTAGTTGCTTACAGACTTTATACAGAACAGCAAAAAAACAGGCTGAAATACAACAGGTTTATAGAGGAAGGAAGAAAATTACCTGAACTTCATCCTGAAGAAGAATGGTTACTCGCAAAACTTCACCATCAGAAGATGCCTATTCCACTCATCCTTAAGTGGAAAGTCGTCGAACGGAAATCAGAAAACGAATCATCCTACCGCTTAAAAAAAAGTAACAGAGATCAAGACAGGACTACTGATATCTCTTAGAAATGACGTTACTCATGAACTAACAGATTCCCTTTCAACCATACTGCTCAGACAAAGCGACACCACAGTCAAAGAGGACAAACCAAATATCATTTAAATAAGAAGACGTAAATTGTCTGAACCATGTAATGTGTATTTGCGCAACACATTTCGAACTATCTGATCAGACACGTACTTGTCATAGGTATTTCTATAAAAACTCATGAAGATAAGGGGTGAGAAAATAAAAAGGGGGTCAGATAGGAAGGCTGACTTAAAGACCGAATAACAATGAAAATCAATAAAGCGAAAAAATATGTCACACGTTGAGAACTCGGCCGAGAACTTAATAGACCAAGCCCATCTGTATCGAAGATATGTTGGTGATATCCTGATTATTTGTGAAAACTCAAATCAGTCTACTTCAATTCTAAACCGACTGAATGAAGTACAGAACAGCATATCTTTGACATGTGTAAGAGAGGAAGATGACTGCTTGCCGTTCCTGGATATATTAATTAGTCGAAGGCAGGATGGATCCATAAAACGATCTATCTACAGAAAACTTACATGGATAGGGCAATATCTGAATTACCATAGCTTTTGCCCAGTTCAGTACAAGCGAAAGTGAGTAAGGTGCTTATTCAGCAGAATTCAACGAATATGCACCGAGGATACTTTAGAAGATGAAAGAGGAACACTGACCGATATTTTGTTGGAAGGCAGAACAAAATTAGCAGAGGGTCTAAACTAGAACTGCAGTCAGTCCCAAAGAAGGATGTCTTCATCAGCCTTCCGTACAAAGGTGACTCTCAGAGTGCAATCCTTAAGCAGAGACTTAACGCTGCTGTTAGAAGGACTTACTATGCAGGCAGGGTTCGAGTAATCGAAACCACGAAGCCCCTATATTCCCCAAACCCTCACAGCATGTGAACGATAATGTCACATCCCATTGTATCTACCAATTCAAATGTACGTGTGGTGACACATACATAGGGAGGACTAATAGATCCATGCAAGTAAGGGCCTCGGAACATATTCCAAAGTGGCTTCAGAAGCAAATTAAATCACCTGAACCTATAAATGTTGGTAGCAGACGTCCAAGTTCTTCTATCGCTAAACATATCGTTGAGACAAGTCACAAGAGTGATGTGGCTACTTTTTTTACACCTATTTATAAAACATGTTGGGGATGGATCCTGAAATTTGTTAAAGCCTTAGCTATTAGGAAGTTGAAACCACCTTTATGTGTTCATAAACAATTTGTTGTCACATTAAACCTTCGTTGGTAAATTCAACTATTGAAAAACCAAGTTCGATGTACTATTATTTTTTCGCTCTATTGATTTTCATTGTTATTCGGCCTTTAAGTCAGCCTTCATCAGCCTTCATCACTCCCATTAATGCTTGTCGATAACTGTAGACATAAATTTAACTTTGGAAATGTAACAATCTTTAACAGAGGAAACAAAAAGAATATGATAAAATTCCTAAGAGCTGAGCATTCTTGTCAATCAGCAATCAATAGATGTGTAGACATAGACCCAATCTATTAACCAATCAGAAAAGTGACTAACGTCTGAAAGGGCAGAAGTCGGGCAGAGAAATAGGCAATAAGAAAATTTATGTAGAGATTGACAGAAAAGCAATGGAAACAACCAATCACATACCAGCTGGTCAGTACAAGCCAGTGAATCAGTCAGGGAGAGATACTGACAACTGATTTCATTTGGACGTTAGTGATGATGATGTCGCTGTCTAGAAAGACGATGAAAGCTTTACGCTCAAACCATCCAACTAAAAGAAGGTAACATAATCACGATAAGATAAATTCGATGGCCGAGCGCCATTACTTCTGCATCTACATGAATCATTGACAACCGACTGTCATTATTACAGGCGTACAGCACTTCAGTAATTGATTTACGTAGCAATAACATATAAGATACAATTTGACTGGTGATCATTATTTGAAAACTGATTCTCATATGAGTAGATGCAGAGCAGGCGAGTCAGCATTATCTAAATATCAAAATGATGTTTCGCTCATTTCGGTAAGAGCTCATCAGCTGTTTATCCAAAGCGGTTCAACCCATTAAACTGAACCATTCAAACTATCCATCGAAGTGCATAGCGGTAGTGAGCCTCCAAGCTTGGTGACCACATTGGAAATATGATGCACAGAATTCGATCAGGACTACAGGATATGAAGTTGGTTAATCTCCAGTGACTAGTCAATGTATGTAGTCTAGTCTTACAAGAAATCAATCATGGAGCAAATAGCTCGATAGTAACGTCACTTACTGTAACACTCAGTGACACAAGTTCTTATCTTACAGAAGATATCAGTTCCCTTGCTGATGAGTGTCAAAATACTCGAAATCTTGTTTGAGCAGGGCTTCTTTCCAATAGCTTCCAACCAACTAATATATTATTAGTGTTTACTGTAATCATCAGACTGAATGGTAGGATACTTGGACCAGAGTTGAGTTAGTCACCACACTAAACAAGTCAAGTGGTTACATCACATGATACTTAGTCGTTCTTTTCGCTTCAATTATGTCTTATGATTTGAGTGGAGAACAAATGGTTTTGAGAAAATACATTTACGAACTCACTAGCACCCGACCTCATCAAGGATTAAACTCACAATACTTGGAACACAATGGCAACGCGCTAACCACTCTCAATATAGCACCCCTATCCACTAAGGTCTTCACCTGCCATCTACTTCACTTCCGAAAGGGTGACCCACTATAGAACATGATTTCACACACCTATCCAGTGCAGTCAGCTCCTGAATGATTCTCTGCAGTAGATGTCAGCTTTCTAGACAGCAGATTGTCTCGGCATACTAATTCTGAGTTTGACTTAAAATGAGTTGTGACGTGATCGTTAGGTGTTAAAATTACTATGGTAACTAGTCAACCTATCTGCACTGTTAGTTGGGAATTGTGTCAATGCGGTGAATAGTACAGTTTTATAAATATTTGTCCCTTGGGTTCCCAGTGGAACATGCAGCTCAAGTAGTAAGTCTCCATTTCACTCTCTTCTCTCCAGTACCCTTAACCTCACACCACCACTGCAAAAAAGCCTTCATTTCTTCCTCACAGGATCCCCTCCATATCATCCCCGCCTCTCATTTCAGTTCCAATCCACGGCATAGTCTGGTCTCGAGCGTGATATCCACATTCCGCCTGCTCAGTGCATGCCTAATCCAATCAATGTCCAATTCCTCCTTATTCTGAATATTTGGTGGGCGATGAGTTCTTGCTCGATTGGTTTGTTACCAGCCAGTCACAGTTCCTTGTTCTTTATTCGTATTATTCTAACTATCTGACCTTCATTAACCAGTGAGCGTAGACAGTTGTTGATGAATGTCTGTAGATTGTTGGAAATGCTTTTCGAGACACATCAAGTTTTCCAACCATCACATAGAAGCACTGACTTAGTTGACTAAATTGGTGTTGAGAATCCGGATGTTGTTCACGCTTTATGCTGAATGGAGTGCAGTAGATCTCCACACTGATTTCAGATTGATGAAGGAAGGCCTTTTCCATCCTGGTTTTGACATCTTCATTTGTCCCTATGCCGCCTATAGTTGAAATGATGCTGCCTAGGCAGGTAGATGAAAGAGACTACTTCGTTTAGATTTCCCCCATTGATTGTGATTGGTGCTTGTTGTTGTTGGTTGTGTATGTTTATCCCCTCTGTCTTCTCTACATTCATTTGAAGTTCTGTCTTCATATATTACAATTAAAATGGGTAAATTAGGTTGTATATCCTTCTTTAATCATATGATTTATCCTTCATTATTCTTTACATCTTCAGGAATTCCCATATGCTGATGATATATGCTATTTAGCCTATTCCTATCCTTATACATACACACAATTAAAATATGATTTGAATGAATTACTGCTGGAGGTGAAAAAAGATGAAACTCTGGAGAAAACAATAAAATGTGAAGTTCTCTGTCAAACTAGAGCTGGAAATTCATGTTTCCTGATTACAATAACTGATGAAAGTATGTTAATTAGGTTGGAAAAATTAAATTTTTCTCAAATTTCTCTCTCTCTATATGATCCCGTCTTTGATATGATTGCGTTGGGGATATGACATAGGTTCTAATAACAAGCGAAACAAGATACTTCGACTGGATATGAGTAGGGTGACTGTTCTCTCCCATACTCTATACTTCACCAAGCTGTTAAAATCACAAGACGAAAGATGCACCTATCACTGACTTAATGAAGACTGTCTTATTTGATAAAAACCATAGTTTAAACAGCGTAATGAGAAGACGAAGATTAGCCACTTAGGTACATGTTCAACCTTCCTTAACTGCATATCACGATTATTCCTCCCTATATGTGTGTATCCACACATACATGTAAATTGATAAACACAGTGGGATGTGTGATGTAATCGTTTATATATTGTTTCGGTTTGTGCTGTAACATCGACTTGGTCATCTCTACTATGATGACCTTAGCTGCATAATACGTTTTACAGATGGCCAATCTAAGCAACGGAACACTGTGTACTTTTCAATGGTAGATAACTTTTGCACCGGTCGATAAATCTCAGCAGGTATCCATTCTGTGTCGGAGTTACAGTCAGTAAGTTGGTTTCTTCCTCCCTGGTGTCATTGGTGCAGATGTGGTTTAGCCTATTGAATAAGCATCTAACTAAACCACGTTTACATTGGACTGAGCAATAGTTATGGAAATTAAGATATTACTCTGTCCATGTAGGTTTCCCTTTAGATCGACCTCCTGATCGAGCCATCCACCCGTCGACTGAGCAATACATCTAGGAACGGTAACTGGTTGTTCATCTCTTGTTCACAAGTCAGGCTAATGTGATTTTGAGCCGTGTTCATTATCTCTACCATGCATATCTCATTGTTTTCAATATATGACATGTATATATCAGGTAGCAACGGTCTTAATGGACTACCCATCGCGACACCATCAATCTGTTGAAAGTGTTCACCCTCGAATATGAATGCAACTTTATCACTGCATAATAATAATAATCAATCTTTCAAGAAATTAATAGGGATAGGGAATATAAGACCGTTATGAGAGATATAGTCACATAAAATATCATTAGTTTTTACCAGTGGTACATTAGTACATGAGTACATAGTCTTATCCTTGATATTATTATCATTCAAACAGTCAATAAGGTCAAATGTATCTTTCAATGAGGAGTTACATAAATGGCTTCTGAGAGGACTCAAGAGCTTTGCCAACCATTTGGCTAGATTATGTGTGGGTCATCGACACATAGACAATATTGGACACAGTGTGTTGTCAGGTTTATGAGTTTTAGGTAACCCATATACATGTGGATGTTCAGATCCTATAGGTTTTAGATGATTAAATTCATACCAAGCATTTTCACAAGTTTAGAATTTACTCTGCCTTCCAATTTACGTATTCCCTCACAGGGGAGCATCTAACGTAAATTTGCTTTCATCATTGAGTCCATGTTGTATGTGATCAGATTGTTCAAAATGTATAGCGCTAATATATCATAACATGTTTCAGATAATCTTCGTCTTCTCATTACGCTGTTGAAATTTATCAAAGGGACCAGTTGCTTTAAAAAAACCATCGCATTTATATACAACTGTTACTGAGAAAATGAAGCCAGTAGACCACCAATCAACTACAAGGACAACATTGTTCAATAAAATTAATCTGACCAATGAAAGTGTGGAACGAAAATATTTCTACTCGAAACGGTGAATGATCTTGAATGATAATTTTCATTCTAAGGCATTTCCTAACAGCTTCCTCTGTGAACAGTGCATGACTTCTTTTTAGGGTCCAGTTGGAAAGGGTTTGGTTTTCTACATTGTCCACGACAGTGAATGATGCATTCTTTTGAAATAGCTATTCTGACTGACACTTATCTAGTATATGAGATGAAACCTCATTATCACAAAGTGATGTTATATGAGAATATATTGCATTCAATGGAACATTCAAGAGATCAAGTTTATGAATGAAGATTTGTTAGGTAACAGACATCATTGAATTCATGATCACCAAATTGAATATGGCAACTAATCTTACCAATCAGTTTTAGCACATCTTCAGAAATATTTTTAGCAATATAGTCAGTTGGCTGGATCTATGAGCATCCAAATGTGTGACATACACTGAGAGAAATCATAGTGACATCAGATGGTGTATTCAAGCTGCAGACGAATAGGTTTAACGTTGGTAATCACAGGAATGCCTTGAATTTCATTGAATAAGTTGGGCTTGACAAACGGATGTTCATTCTTTATGCGAGCATTTTTATTTAGAAGATACTAATCTTTTTTATGTTCAAAACAATGACATCATCGGCATTTGTTTGAACAAAATGCCATAGACCACAAGGCGAACAAATTGAAGGAGGTTTACCTGACAATTTTGATTGATGTTGAATGTGCTTGGCTGTAAAGTTAGAAGTCAAATAACTGAAATGTTTGCTGTACCATTATGCTTCAAATTGATTAAGTACTGATATTCTGTTGTCATGATGTGAAGTGTCACTTTTGCATCCTCTTCGACACATGACAAATGTCTCGTTCGGATATCACCATCATCAGCGTTAATTTAAATTGGTTAACAGTCATTTCATTCACTTTGAATTGTTCATATTCATGATTCACCTTTGCCAGTATATGTCAAGTAAATGTAGAGAAGACAGAGGGGATAAACATACACAACCAACAACAACAAGCACCAATCACAATCAATGGGGAAATCTAAACGAAGTTGTCTCTTTCATCTACCTGCCTACGTAGCATCGTTTCAACTATAGGCGGCATAGGGACAAATGAAGATGTCAAAACCAGGATGGAAAATGCCTTCCTTCATCAATCTGAAATCAGTGTGGAGATCTACTGCAATCCATTCAGCATAAAGCGTGAACAACATCCGGATTCTCAACACTCAGTTAGTCAAGTAAGTCAGCACTTCTATGTGATGGTTGGGAAGTTCAGATGCCCAGAATAATACGAATAAAGAACAAGGAACTGTGACTGGCTGGTAACAAACCAATGGAGCAAGAACTCATCGCCCACCAAATATTCAGAATAAGGAGGAATTGGACATTGATTGGATTAGGCATGCACTGAGCAGGCGGAATGTGGATATCACGCTCGAGACCAGACTATGCCGTGGATTGGAACTGAAATGTGAGGCGGGGATGATATAGAGGAGATCCTGTGAGGAAGAAATGAAGGCTTTTTTGCAGTGGTGGAGTGAGGTTAAGGGTACTGGAGAGAAGAGAGTGAAATGGAGACTTGCTACTTAAGCTGTATGTTCCACTAGGGACCAAAGGGACAAATAATAATTATAGTATATGTCACATAATCATAAGAAGGTAACTTGGACAAAGAGGACTGTTCACTAAAAATCTCTCATAGGATACATATAGTTTCATTGAAGGATATAATTAGATATGGTTTCGTGAGATGCTGACGTTGACTGATTAGATAACCTATGAGCTACTTCATTCGAAGCTTATTGAAGTAGTAAAATGGATTTGATGTCTTTCAGGGAAATAGACATTGTAATATAATTTAAACACCCGTCACTGAATGATGTAACTGAATTCGGAGTAAGACGTAGGTTCTAGTGATAAGTGAAACGAGATACTTCAACTGGATACGAGTAGGGCGACTGTTCTCCCCTACACCCTTTACTTCACTAAGCCATGAAAATCAGAAGATAATGGATGTGCCTGTCACTGACTTAAGGAAGACAGTCTTATTTGATATAAACCATAGTTTTTATATACAATTGTTACTGAGAAAATGAAGCCAGTAGACCACCAATCAAGTACAAGGACAACATTGTTCAATAAAATTAATCTGATCAATGAAAGTGTGGAACGAAAATATTTTTACTCCAAACGGCGAATGACCTTGAACGATAATTTCCATTCTTAATAGTCTTTCTAAATGTATTCATCATGATGTTAATCGTCATGTTGGCAAATATTTGAAAGATGCGGTAGTACAAACACATAGTTTGCATACACCTGTGGTGAAATATACACTTGGAGGATATATTGTTCTATGCAAATAAGCATCAAAGAGCATATTTGAAAATGGTAACCAAACAAGAAAACGATAAGTCAGTGATAAGTATAACTCCAGCTACGTCTGTAGTTCAATGAATCATTGATACAAGGCATAGGGTGGATGCTCAGACAGTTTACAGAAAACCTTTTTTAGATAAAAACAAGATATTCAGTAGAGTGGACTCTTTTCCATGAATTCATTTACTGACTGTACATTCGTATATGTTATTATCTATCCGTTGGGTTCCTGGTGGAACATAAGGCTTCAGTAGCACATTACCATTTCATCTTCGTCTCTGCAGTCTTTCGAATCTAACTCCACGACCTCTTCCATGTCACCCTCGGACACCCAACTTATCCTTTCTCATCTGGGTTCCACTCGACGACTTGACTTGGCCTGACACGTGATGTCTCCAAACCATATTCTCAGTGTATGTACAATTCAAACCATCACCACATTCTTCTGTAAACTTGTTTGGCGATAGGTTCTTGGTTGGTTGGTTCGTTGTTAGCCAGACTTGCTCATTGCTTATTCGTATTATTCTCGCTATCTGATCTTCAACTTCAGTATCGAGCGAGTGTAGGCGGTAGCTGTTGATGAATGTCTGTAGATTGTTGGAAATGCTTTTCGTAAAGCGCCAAGTCTCTCAAGCATCACATAGAAGTGTTGACTTACTCGACTAACTGAGTGTTGAAAATCCGGATGTTGTCCACGCTTTATGCTGAGTGCAGTGCAGTACAGTGCATTTTATTTCCACACTGATTTCAGATTGATGAAGAAAGACCTGTCTTGCTGTTTTTATGATCCTGGCTAGCTTCGACATCGTCGTCTGTACCTGTACCGCTTGTAGTTGAAACGATGCTGCCTCCTAGGTAGGTAGTTAGGTGAAAGAGACAACTTCGTCTAGATTTCTCCCACTGATGGCGGTTGGTGTTTCTTGCTGTTGTTGCTAGTTGAGTATCTTCATCACTTGTGTCTTCTCTACGTCCACCTGAATGAAGCTCTATCTTCTCTGCTCTGCCTCTTCTACCAACTTGTTAGTTTTCACCTATAGATCTTCGAGTTTGTGCGACATAAGATAGCAGACATAAATCATCATGGGGGAAATGCAAATCTCCTAGGATCTTTTCGTCGGTCAAACAGCCAGCGTATGCTCATCTTCTCGCTCCTCACAGTTGTTTGTTGCATGATCCAGTCGACCAGATTCAAGAAGATCATGAGTGACAGTAGGCGGCAACCTTATCTTACTCCTATCTTCATTACACTTCGAAGGCATCACTGACTTTCCATTGTGAATCACTTGGCATGTAACATTCTCATATAGGTGCTACTGAATTAGGTTGATAAAGGTTCGTGGCACTATAACCGTAGTGTTGAAGCACCAGCTGGCAAATTAATTCTCGGTCGACACTGTCGAAAGTCTTTTCAAAGTCGATGAAATTGAGGTGAAGACCCAGCTGACTGCTATTCTATGCTTTGTTCTGTGATGATGGGTAGTGTTACAATTTGATGTGCACATGACTTATTCTTCCTGAAGCCAGTCAGCTTGTTCTGACCGTAATTTTGAATCCAGCGCATCCTTTAGTCTCTCCGGGATGATGCGGCTCAGTATTTTGCTTGGAGTGGACAGCAGGATGATTCTGTTTCGTATGTATACATATATGATATTTAAAAACTGTAATACGTGATCAAGATTTAGCTTAACTAGTCAGAGATTGAAATAACAATGATGATGGTTACAGTTATAATAATCTTCCTATTTGATGACGTAACAATAAAGGGTTACGTAAGATCATTAAATCATGTAATTGGACTCACTTACATCGCAGAGTTATAAAGAGATGGTATCCATCATGAACTGAAATTAATTAAAGGAACATTGGTAACTTGTGAGTACTAGATGGCAGCTGTTTCATCCCGGCATGAGACTCATCATCATCTGTGGGCACCTGTTTTCCAGCCCTTCAGAGATGGAACCAAGGATCCACAGGTGTAGCATGGCCAACACGTTACCATTAAGCCAGCCACTGGGTCTCCAGAATCCAGTGACCCATATCCCCAACTTCTACTGCTCATTGGTCATTAGATTTAAGTGTTCATTCATGAACTTCGAATGAGAAGTCCTCACCAGTGGGACAAATCTGGTGGACGTGAGAATAAATAGTCAGTCATGACACTGGATGACGGTTGTGCTTGTATCGTGAACTGATAGAAGTTGAAATTTTCAATCATTCGATTCTGGCAAACGTGCTGGAGACTGAACTGGAAGGTCCTGGGTGGGGTCACAGGTGTGAGCTGCTGAAGAGTTCCATAGCAGGACGAAACAGTTGTCCAGTTCTCGTATATGTCAGTCCATGAATAATACTACTTTCAAGTGTGTTTATGTTTTATCAGATTGTTCGAAATGTATTTATACTGAGTAGTGATTGAAGGTGAATTCGAAGCAGGCATCACAGTGTTTCAGATCGTCTATCAATTGAACTGTGATATCCTTCAAAATTGCAATGAAATATTTCACATAAATACACTTATATATATGTTGTATTTCCAAGATAATTTCTTAAAACCAACTTTTTCTTTTTCCCCTCTCTACCTAAACAAGATATATCCAATAAAGAGAAGTATGCAGTTGTTATCACTGGACGTGTACATCCTGGTGAAACGAATTCCAGTTGGATGATTCTTGGATTCATTCGATTTCTTATGGATAATAATAAAGTTGCTAATGAATTGAAACAATACTATACCTTCTATATTATTCCAATGATGAATCCTGATGGTGTAATTGTTGGCAATTACAGGTAAAATAAAACGTATAAATGGAGTATTTCATAAGCTCAGCTCAGTATTCTACTCACCATCTCCATGGTCAATATTTTCTTCAGTTGATGTGTTCAACAAACTTTCTAACGTTGTTTTATCGGAGATCTATCTTAGTCTGAATAACATACTGACCAGAATAGTGTGAATCAATGATACTCTACTATGACTGGTAACACTACCTAACAAACCTAGTAAACTACAAACGATACAAACATAACGCAAATCAGAACGTCAACCAACACCACCACTACAACATCAACAACGACGACAATACCACTGACACATGAAGATAAGAAGAGAAGATATATCGTTGACAGAGTGCTTTTCACTCTCTCAACAACAATCAATACAGTTGAGAACGATGCTGAATATATACACCTCGAAATGACCTTTACAACACAATCCACATCATAAGTTAAAAGTGTTAACCAACCAATCAGATTTCAGCCTTGAGAGTAAAAGGAAGAAAAACTAGCAACAATGTAAAAACAGCTATATAGGTTATTTTAAGGTCATTGGCAAAACATCAGGCAAAAGCCATGCACACACACACACACACCCCATATTTGCTTTTGTGTCAGTGATTAACGCGAATTAGTAAAGCACTTCAATGTTTTACAACAGAATAACTTGTAACAATAGATACTGTTAAGTATGAAAGTGTAGTTTGAGGTTAGTGAGGATTATACCACGAAATGATTGATATCAGAAGCAGTAAGAATCTGGAAGTACTGGAGAGCTGTTTCGTCGTAATTTGAGAGTCGTCAGCTTTACACATCCACCACTCCACCTCACCAGGGATTGAACTCAGGAACGTGTTAACCACTTAGCCATCATATCCGCAGTTTCCTACTTCCATCAACTTACAGTATAGCACGACTATGTGCCAACACTTTATTTCAAACTGGTTGACCCCACCACAGGTCACGGTTTCTCTCACAAGAACTTTAGGATATCTCTGTGTAGGAATGTCACCAATGCCCCGATGAGAGTGATAACATTGTGAATTCATCTCATTTGTAAGGTCAGTAGGATAGACAAGAATAGTGATGGTGTAGTGGGCGTCGCTGATATGGATGAATATAAGTTGTATATGTCGAAAAGGTAGCAAAATTTATAGGGAATTACCATCAATGGGTTAGGATTCTGCCAAGAGCAACACAAGGGATAGAGCAGGCGTATTACAGTGGGTGTTACTGATAAGAATGTATGAAGAGTAAATCAAGAGAGAAACAGAAGAGGAAACGAAGCACATTTTGCAAATGACGGGTTGAGTGCAAGGTGTACCATATGTAACGAGTGCCGTTCCAATCCAGTGGTAGTTAATCATTGAGGTTGGATGCACCGACGAATATCTGTGATCATAAATGATTGAGGGATGTCCCCAGACTTTCTACGGTTTCGCCATATTCTTCGCCGTCTTACTTATCAGTGTTTTCTTTAAACATCCTCCTCAACTTTGCCTGGAATTCTCTTAGCCTTCCATTGTACTACTTTTCTCCTTCTGTCTTTTCATTTCCGCGTCTTTTGTTTATAGCGATTGTCTTTCAATTCTATTCATCACCAGTTTGAACAGTTATAGGGTGACATGACATTTGAGAAAGTCATCTACATTAGAATCCCAGGACAAATCATCTATCTGGCTACTAAGTTAATCAACATTCAACTAGCATCTCATAATCCACTAATCACCTGGAAGGGTTTCGGAGATCCTAGATGTGAGCTCGAAGAAATCATCTGGTCTGTAAAGAGCTCGTAAAATTGTTGGTCGACGTACTATTGCAGAACCAACCCTGTACAATGATACAATTCGACAACTAAACCACTTGGTTGTATTGTTTTCTCTGAGATGCTGGGTTGTTTAGTCGTGAAGATGCTTTCATCGTCTTTCTAGACAGCGACATCATCACCACTAACTTCAGTATGAAGTGAGCTAGCTGACAGTACATTTCCGTGAGTGATTTAGTGGCTTGCTCTGACGATGTGGTCTGTGACTGGTTGTTTCCATCGATTGTGTCATTGATTGCATGGATTTTCCTGTTGGCTGTCCCTGGGCTTGACCTCTGACCTTGCTGTCGTTTATAATTTTTCTCATTGGTTGATAGATCGGGTCCACGTCTATGTATCTATTAATTGCTGACTGACTGATTGACATGAATACCAAGCTTCTAGAAATTCTCTGATGATATTCTTTGTGTTTCCTCTCTCCGTCCAGTATCGCCACATTGTCAAAATTCAATTCATCTCCATAGTTGTGACCCACGTGCTATGAGCGATGAGTGATGAAATGTCGTGTGTGACATTTAATAGCCAATTGGTGCTCATGTAGACGAAGATGAAGGTGGGGAGACCACTTTGTCTAATGTAGTGTTGATCGCAGTTATTCCAGTTGATTTTGTAAATGATATTCAGTTTGTCTTCTTGGCTTGTTGCATCCTTTCGTCTGGATAATAGTGTTTTCAGGGAATTTGTTGGTTTATGAGGCACCACACCAATCCCACCAAGTGGTCTGTCGATGACTTTGTAGTTGATGATGCACGAGAATTCTTAGAAGCTTGACATTCACGTCATTCAGTCAGCAATCAATAGATGTATAGACATAGACCCAATCTATCAACCAATAAGGCAGATGACGACACAAAGGTCAGAGGTCAAGCAGAGGCACAGCCAACAGGAAAATCCATGCAATCAATGACACAACAGTCGAAGGAAACAACCAATCATAGACCACATCGTCAGAGCAAGCCACTAAATCACTCACGGAAATGTACTGTCAGCTAGCTCACTTCATACTGAAGTTAGTGTTGATGATGTCGCTGTCTAGCAAGACGATGAAAGCATCTTCACAATTAAACAACCCAGCATCTTAGAGAACACAATACAACCAAGACCGTCAACTTGAGCTACAAATATTCTCCATTATTTCAACATCTTAAGCTATTGAAGATGTTTCCAGAAGTATTTATCAATATCTTCTTCTGAAGCGGAAGGTTAATCAAATAGTCTTCTTCAGCATACCGACCAATTTGTACTCTCATTAGCAATTTTTATATATAAAATTTAGTCGTTTCAAACTATGTCAAGGCAAAGGTTCTGCAGGAAAATATCAGAAAATAGTTTTTCACAATCAAGCAAAAGGTTAGTGATCCCTCAAAGCATACCTCTTTTTCAACAGGGAAGGGGGGGTGTTAGGGTCTACGAGATAAAATTATCCACATCCTCATATACAGCCTTGCATCTCTGAGGCCTTCGATAACCAATCATATTGCTTTAAAGTCTCGATAACAAACACATAAATCAACGAGCAAATATCTGATTGGTTGAAAAGATAAAATCAATACTATAGGCCTAGACATAGTCAAGGTCATTGTGAAAATGTATATAAACCGTTATATTCTGTACCTATACATATACATATATAGACTAATTTAGAAAGCCTGGTCCTCATCTGTTTCTTCTTTTCTTTTGTAAAAAGATGCTCATTGACAGGCAGAGATTTAAATCGTAATTATCGTCAGCCAAGAAAAGATGTTTTCCCAACTGTATGGACGGTGAAACAACTTGTGAAATGGTGTAAAAAGATGTACAAGGTAGGTGAACAAGAGAGATAGACAACTGTTATGTAACGTCATTATGAACTTTTATTGAAAATTGAATACTAGAATAAGGTGAGTTATTCACCAGACTCAAAACTTGTGGAGTTATATTGTGTTTTACATGGCCAAAAGTGTGATCAAGGACAAGGGTCCCGTCCTGTTTTGCGCTTCGTCAGCTAGACATACATTCCATGAAGAGGTAGTGTTGTCACCTGGAATCGAATCCAACACTCATGGCTTCAAATCCATAGCATTATACACTAGCCTACACAGTTATACCAACAGAAGTTGATCATTGAGATCTAGTTTAAGAATGAGAAATCACAAGTATTAATAAATAGTAATAATAGTTGATAACCATCATATAAGAGTAACCAATTGGACAACGAGTTGGCCTTTGAAGATCGTTTCTCACTAGGAGACAAGCTTATCGAGCTGATGACGCTGAGGTAGAACGAAACGTGTATTCTGGATTTCACTGCTAGCCAGCATCAAACAATTTATTACTATGGATCATCATTATTTTAGTGTATCATATCAGTTGGTAAGATTTCAAACAGCGTTCTCATTCGCGTTGATTAATTTCGAAAACCTTTATCAAGCTCATTAACTAACTATATGACGACGTCACATGCCAAGTTATTCACAATGAGAAGCTCACTGATGCTTTTGAAGTGAAGACAGGAATGAAACAAGGCTGTCTACTATCACCCATGACCTTCCTGATTGTGATGGACTGGGTCATGCAACGAACAGTGAGAAGCGAGAAGAAAGGGATATGCTGGACCGCTGAAAAGAACCTACAAGAGCTGGATTTTGCCAGTGACTTGTGTTTGATGTCGCACAAACTTGAAGATCTACAGGCGAAAACTAACAAGTTGACAGAAGAGGCGAGGTAGGGCAGCGAAGACGGGACTTCAAGTGAACATAGAGAAAACAGAGGTGATGAAGATACCCAACCAACACCACCATTACCAACAACAACAACAACAAGCTCGAATCACCATCAATGGGAGAAACTTGAAGTAAGTAGCCTCTTTCACCCATCTGTGTAAGCAGCATCGTTTCAACTACAGGCGGCGGCAAAGGCACAGACGAGGACGTCAAAGCCAGACATGATCGGAAAGCGTTCATTAATCTGAAACTAGTGTCAGAAGAGGCAGTGAAGACAGAACTTCAAGTGAACATATAGAAGACGGAGGTGATGAAGATACCCAACCAATAGCTCCAACAACAACAACAAACTGCAATCAACATCAACGAGAAACTCAAAGGAGGTAGCCTCCTTCACCTACCTGCCTAGGCAGCACTGTTTCAACTACAGGCGGCACAGACGAGGATGTCAAAGTCAGAATCGGAAAAGCAAGACAAGCGTTCATTAACCTGAAACCAGTGTGGTGATCTTCTGTACTCAACATGTAGAATAACATACGGATTTACAACACGAATTCAGTTAAATCAGTGCTTCTATGTGATGGTTGGGAGACTTGGCGCGTTACGAAAGGCATTTCCAACAAACTATAGATATTCATCAACAACTGCTACATACGCTGGCTCATTATCGAAGCTTAGATGGCGGGGAAGAATAAGCAATGAGGAACTCTGGCTGGCTGTCTGGCAACGGACCAACGAAGCAAGAACCTATCGCTCAACAAGTATGCAGGAGAAGAGAGTGGAGATAGATTGGGCATACACTGAGAAGGCCGATTGGGGACATCACACGTCAGGCCAGTCCCTCGAGTGGAACCCAGATGGAAGCGACGAGTTGGGCGTCTGTGGTGTGGGTGCCATGGAGGAAGTCGTGTGAGGAAGAAATGAGAGCTTGTGGGCTGTCGTGGAGCCAGGTTCAAAAGTTTTCAGAGAAGAGAGTGTAATGGAGATGTGCTACTGAATCCCTATGTTCCACTAGGAACCCAAGGGACAAATAATAATAATATATAATAAACTTTGAAAATCAGACCATAATTTTACACTACAGTTAGGTTCATTAAGTAGCACTAATTCTTGTTTCTTGAAACCTAAAGAAATTTCTCCTCATAATGTTCACAACATGAAATAGTTGTTATTGCTGTATTTGTCGATTTCTCATAAATTTTATTCGAGAAGACAACAGAACAAAACTTCAATGACAAAAAACCTTGGGGATAACCAATCAGGTCATAGGTATCTTATTCAAGGTCATTCGTTACATCCACTTACCGCGTTATATACGCTACATAAACTGATAGATTATGATGAAGATTAAATTGCTGGTTAGATAAAAAATTTGATACGGGTAGGTAATGTAGTTGAAATCGGTGAATGACTCTATCACAGACGGAAATATAACCAAGGAAGACGATTTAAACCGGACTAAAGTACCTTATACTTATATGTGTCTTGAAAAAATGGCGAATTCCTGGTATATACGACAGAAATAATGAAGAAGAGGCATTTCCAGTGGGTAAAGGATGGATTAGAAACATTTATTCTACCATCGTTGACTGGACCGAATTGATCAGTCTCTGTTGGCATATGGGCTCCTATGTGGATGCCTCGATATTGCCTATGTTTCAGTTATGTGTAGTAATAATGGATAGTGGCTAGCAGTGGAAGGCAGGATGTGCATTTCGTCCTATTTTGAACTTGTCAGCTGGATGTACCTGCCTCCCAGTGCCGAGTGATGTTGCTCTCACCGGGACTCGGATTCGGGATTCCACTGCTAGCCACTACCCATCATTACCAGACATAATTTATCCTACCAGTTATAATTGGTAGCATCGAGTTCTAAAATATACGTCTATCCGAAATGGATTGCCTCATCAAGCTTTTGTTCACAAGAAACACTTCGTTGATACAACAACCGGAGTGGGCATAAACAGCACTGAAAATATATGAAGTCATCATAGAAATTTACTAAAACCTTTAATGAGCTCATAATAAGGTCACTTCGATCACTTAGCATGTGGCGTCTTCATATATCTGTTGAATGAGATTGATAAAGATTGTGGAACTCCCTAGTGTTGAAGCACCAGCTGCCAAGTTACTTCTCGGTCGACGCTGTCAAAGACCCTTTCAAACTCGACATACTCTATACTCTGTTCTATGATGATGCTTGGCGTTGCAATTTGGTCGGCACATGAGTTATTCTTCCTGAAGCCAGGTAGCGTATTCCAGTAGTAGTTTCGAATCCCAAGCATCCTTTAGTCTCTCCAGGATGATGCGGCTTAATATTTTGCTTGAGATGGGCAGGAGCGTGATTCCGCGTCAGTTCTTGCAAAGACTTAGGTCGCCCTTCTTCGGGAGTTTCACAAGGTAACCCTTCTTCCAACCAATTGGTAGGTACCTTTCCTTCCTTCAAGACCTTTTGCAAGAGTGGTTTGAGCATTTCCGCTGTTGTCTCTGCGTCTGTTTACAGTGCTTCTGGCGGACTAGGATGCCTTGCTGGGTTTAAACATGGTGCGGACATTCCATGTACCCATGTTTACTTTCGCTTTCATCGACTGAAGCGAAGACATATCGGCCAATTGGCTTCCCGAAGGCTTTCACCAACTGGCGTCATTTCGCCTCTCCGATTCCAGAGAGGAATAATTTTGTTATTGTTTTTTATATATCGTTTGTGCTTTGAAGTTTGTTTAGCGGTTAGATTTGTTTTACGGGGTAGGGTTGCTAGCCCTATGGCTAACCTTCCCTCTTTACCCGGGCTTAGGAAGGGCTAGTATCTAGTGAAGTAGTTAACCAGGCGAGGTTGTAGAGTTGTGTACTTTAAACATAATTATGGTTTAGAATAAAGCAGATATGTTATTACTATGATTATTGTGACAGCTTCATCTTTGTAGAATAGGAGTTGGCAAGCTACACTTGGTAATGTTTTTAACACCCTAGACGTCATATTGAAAGAATTATTAGCCCACCTATATGTTGCCCTCCATGTTTACTACTTTAAAATTCATCTCTTCCAATATCTCTATATCTGAAATCTCTACTCGAACACTTGTGGGCATGTTAGAGCCTATGGCGAGTTGTCCAGGGAGCTATACTCATCAAGTGGTGTCCGTCAAGGATGCCCACTATCCCCATTCTTATTTAATTTTATCATAGATATTCTTATGGAGGTTTCCCTCTCCTCACCTTATTACACAGACGTTGACCCAATCACAGGTGAATTTTCTTTAGATCTAAAATATGCAGATGACATAGTCAATCCTGTTAGGTGAAGACACTGACAAGGTGCAGAGTCTTCTGAACACTTTGAGTGGGAATTTGAGAATGTTTGAGATGCGATTTTCACCACCCAAATGCAAATTTTTGCTCCAGGACTGGTCTTCAGCGGTGCCCCACCGCGGCTAACAATGGAGAGTGAAGTGGTTGAGTATGTTGACCACTTCACTTACCTGGGAAGTAGGATCAGTCGTTACCTGGTGGGTTAGTTGCCGATGAGATTTCTGCACAAATACAAAAGGCTCGATTGGCTTTTGTCAATTTACACCACCTATGGCGCCGCCGTGATATCCAGTTGTCTATTAAGGGTGGCGTGTACTGCACAGCAGTCCGCTCTGTTCTACTGTATGGCGGTGAAACATGGCCATTGAGAGTGGAGGATACAAAAAGGCTTCAGGTGTTTGACCACCGTTGCCTTCGAAGTATATGCCGTATTCCATGGTGTCACCATGTGAGTAATGCAGAAGTTAGGTGTAGAGTTTTAGGGAGGGAGAAGAGGTAAGTCAGTTGACGAGGTTGTGAACCTTCATCGACTGAGATGGTTGGCTGTGACACGTACTACGTATGCCTAGTCACCGATTGCCTCGTCACATAATGTTGGCTGAGGTGGGTCCAGGCTGGAAAAAGGCCCACCGAGGGGGCCAGACTAAAACATGGCACCAATGTATGAAGTCTCTGACTGTTGGTTTAAGCCATGTAGGACGATGTAGACTAGGTGGTTGGGGTCGGTGGGACAAGAGGAACCAGTGGTTGGAGACCCTAGGTGATATGGCTCAGAACCGATGTCAGTGGCGTAGATGTATACACACATTATCCTCATCTTAACGATGCTATACCGAATCTCACTATTTTGTCACTCCTCTTTCCTTTCTTCTCGTACTTTATATTTCTTTTGACTGCATTCACTTATCTCCATCCTTCGCCTCACTACCTTTTTACTTGATGTGCTGATATGAGGTGTGGCAACTCGGAGTGTTACGCAGTAATGCCTGGTCCTATGCTGATAATGATGATGATGAAATCACACCAATCTAATCGCATGCCTTATATAACTTGTCCCATAGGATGTTGTACCACATACGTTATGCTGAGTGTAGATTCTCACACTGGTTTCAGGCTAAGTAACGCTTGTCTTGCTTTTCCGATTCTGACTTTGACATCCTCGTCTGTGCCTTTGCCGCCGCCTGTAGTTGAAACGATGCTGCTTACACAGATGGGTGAAAGAGGCTACTTACTTCAAGTTTCTCCCATTGATGGTGATTCGAGCTTGTTGTTGTTGTTGTTGGTAATGGTGGTGTTGGTTGGGTATCTTCATCACCTCTGTTTTCTCTATGTTCACTTGAAGTCCCGTCTTCGCTGCCCTACCTCGCCTCTTCTGTCAACTTGTTAGTTTTCGCCTGTAGATCTTCAAGTTTATGTGACATGAGACACAAGTCATCATGGACGAAATCCAGCTCTCCTAGGATCGTTTCCTCGGTCTTCTATCTCATATAGTCAAATGATAATCAATATGATGTTCCTACTCTCTGATTCAGTTAGATTTCGATTTGGATTAGAAGTCCTGACTAGGCAGCCAGTGTGACTGTTATGAAGCGGTAGTAGTGTGTCACGAATGCACATGGTAGTCGGTCGAAACCCTTGGTGAGTGAAGTAAAATAAAATTCTGGTCAGAAAGTCAGACTTCGTAAGTGAGTTGGTAGGGCATCAGGCCTGGTAACCCGGTGGTCGTTGGTTCGAATCCGCCAGCCGTCCAGATTTCCATCTCACCTTCAATCATCATACAGTACAAATCAGATGTTTATTCATTGATTTACGTGTTTGTTATCGAAACTTTATGGTAATGTGATTGGTTATCCAAGGCTTCAGAGATTTACGGGGGGTGTCGGTAATCTTATTGTAAATCTATTTTATAACTGTAGAACCTGATCTATTTCGAATGGAGTATCAGTATAAAGTATGATTAAATCCCAGAGTATAAAACATATGATGTTGTGTTTCTTTTCGTCAACAGGATGTCATTTATTGTGATATGCATGGACATAGTCGACGTAACAACATATTTATGTATGGTTGTGATCCATCGAATAGATATTCGAAAATTTTTAATACTACTGAAAAGAGTCTGCAGGAAAGAATCTTACCCTATATTATATCACAACAGGTAAGGATTATGTGTTATTCTTCCCTGACATTTTCATCTTCATGGGCTATTGTTTAACGAAACAGTAAAGTCTGTAACCCGGTATATTTCCATAGACGTTTCTTCAAGCTATGCTTATACAGCGTACTTTGATAAGAGCTAGCAGTGGAATCTAGAGGGGTGAGTTTCCGCCACATTAGGACTCATCAGCTGGAACTTCAATCCACCACTTATCACTTCAAGAGCTACATCGTTATGTAGTGAGTGGGCTACTGAATCACGAGAAGCGTTTCACTCATTTGTGGCCTAGCTTAGCAACGATACATCTGAACTGGTTCATTTCAAACTACTCTGGGTAAACGACTGATTAGCTAGTTCTCAGAGGGGTGAAATAATAGTCTGTTTAGTGAGCCTTTGTTGAACAACTAACTACCCTATGTCAGTCAATGGTATATATCACAATTTTTTTTAATCATAACAATTCTCGCCTTCTATTTCTCCTTCATTATTATTATTACCTAGGCATCTAGATATTTTTCATTCGCCAATTGTCGTTTCACTATTCATCCATGCAAAGAAGCCACTAGTCGAGTTGTTTTCTGGCGAGAATTTGAAGTTGTTAACAGTTTCACATTAGAAGCAACCTTCAATGGATCAACTTTAGAAAAGTTAGTCAATAACTTGTGAATATTTCAACATTTTTTTCCCTACAAGCTCTATACAACTGTTATTTCATTCATTTGCATCAAGTTGTATATTTAAACGGAATGTGATTGAACAATTGAACAATGGCTAATGACTAGTAGTCCTTCTAGCCTCAGTGATTGATGGCGTTCTGACCGGGAATCGAAACCAGCATGCATTACCTTAAAACTTACATTGTTATACACTGTGTTACTGGTTGGCAGACATTCTAACAATTTAGTTAGTTGGAGTAAGAGCAACTTTTGATCTCATACGTCTTGTAAACTACAACTCCTATGAAGAAGTGTATAGTGTATTTTGTCGTAGGGTTAATATATATATAATATTTGTGCTTTGCTTTCCTAGTGGAATATAGGACTTCAGTAGCACGTCTCTATCCCACTCTATTCTCTGCAATCTTTTGAACCTGGCTCCTTAACAGCTCACAACCTCTCATTTCTTCCTCGCACGATCTCCTCCATATCACCCTCGGATGCCCAACTCCTCGTTTCCCCTTCGGCTTCCACTCGACGATCAGGTCCGACGTGTGATGTCCCCAATTGGCATTCTCAGTGTATGACCAATCCATCACCACTCTCTTCTCCTGCATACTTGTTGAACGATAGGTTTTTGCCTCGTTGGTTGGTTGCTGGGCAGAGTTCCTTGTTGCTTATTCTTTCCCGCCATCTGAGCTTGAGTAACGAGCCAGCGTATGTGGCAGTTGTTGATGAATATCTATAGTTTGTTGGAAATGCCTTTCGTAACGCGGAAAGTTTCTGAACCATACAGAAGAACTGACTTGACTGAATTAGTGTTGAAAGTCTAGATCTTGTCCACGCTTTATGCTGAGTGAAGTGCAGTAGATCTCCACACTGATTTCAGGTTAATGAAAGCCTGTCTTGCTTCCCCAATCTTGGCTTTGAAGTCCTCACCTGTGTATGTGCAGCCTGCAGTTGAAATGATGTTGCCTAGATAGATGATGGTGATTGCAGCTTGTTGCGGTTGTTGGTTGCGTTGGTTGGGTATCTTCATCACCTCTGTCTTCTCCATGTTTACTTGAGGTCCCGTCTTCGCTGCCTCTTCTGTCAGCTTGTTAGTTTTCCCTTGTAGATCTTCAAGTTTGTGTGACATTAGACACAAGTCATCATGGGCGAAATCCAAATCTTCTAGGCTCTTTTCATCGGTCCAGCCAGCGTATACCCATCTTATCGCTCCTCACTGTTTTGCTGCATGGTCCAGTCGACCACAATCGGGAAGATCATCATAGGTGATAGTAGGCAACTTTATCTTGTCTCACTCCTGTTGCCAAATTACTTCTCGGTCGACACTGTCGAAGGCCTTTTCAAAGTCAATGAGGTCGAGTTGCCTGCCATTCTATGCTCTGTTCTCTGATGATGCTTAACGTAGCTTTGCAATTTGAGCCGCACATGACTTGTACTTCCTGAAACCCGCCAACCAGCCTGTTCCGGTCGTAATTTTGAATCCAGTGCATCTTTTAGTGTCTCCAGGATGACACGGCTTAATATTTTGTTTGGAGTGGACAAGAACATGATTCCGCGCCAGTTCTTGCAATGACTTAGGTCACCCTTCTTCGGGAGTTTCATAAGGTTTCCTTTCTTCCAATCAATTGGCAGGTGCCTTTCCTTCCTTCAAGACCTTTTGCAAGAGTGGTTTGAGCATGTCCGCTGTTGTCTGTGAGTCTGTTTTCAGTGCTTCTGGTGGAATTCCATCTGGTTCTGCTGCTTTCCTGGATTTTAGTAGTTTTCTGGCTTTTAGGACTTCTGCTTTAGTCGGAGGGCCTGTGTTCACTGGCAGTTTTGTGGCTATGCTGCTGGTGGTATTTCTGGACGAAGTGCAGGTGGTGGCCGATTCAAGAGTTTTTTGAAGTAGTCAGCCCATCGTTTCTTTTGTTTCTCCTCTTTGGTAACTAAGTTCCCTTCACTATCTTTAACTGGTTTCATCTGTGTTGATCACTTCCCTTTCAGATATTATTATTATTATTATTATTATTAGTCCCTTGGGTTCCTAGTGGAACATAGGGCTTCAGTAGCACGCCTCCAGTGACCTCTGTTCTCTGAGATCTTTTGAACCTGGTCCCACGACAGCCCAGAAGCTCTCATTTCCTCCTCGCACGACCTCCTCCATGTCACCCTCGGACGTCCAACTCGTCGCTTCCCATGGGGATTCCACTAGAGGGCCTGGCGTGTGATGTCCTCAGTCGGCCTTCTCAGTGCATGGCCAATCCATCTCCACTTCTTCCTGCATATTTGTTGCGTGATAGGTTCTTGGTTGGTTCGTTCCCAGAGTTCCTTGTTGCTTATTTTTTCTGGCCATCTGATCTTCAGCAGCGAGCGTAAGCAGTTGTTGATGAATGTCTGTAGTTTATTGGAAATCCCTTTCGTGACGCGCCAAGTCTCTGAGCCATACAAGAGCACTGACTTGACGTTGGTGTTGAAAATCCGTATCTTGTTCCACATGCTGAGTGCAGAAGATCTCCACACTGGTTTCAGGCTAATGAACACCTGTCTTGCTTTTCCGATTCTGACTTTGACGTCCTCGTCCGTCCCGCCTGTAGTTGAAACAGTGCTTCCTAGATAAGTGAAGGAGGTTACTTCCTTCAAGTTTCTCCCGTTGACGGTGATTGGAGTTTGTTGTTGTTGTTGATGGTGGTGGTGCGGTATCTTCATCACTTCTGTCTTCTCTATATTCACCTGAAGTCCCGTCTTCGCTGCCTCTTCTATCAACTTGTTAGTTTTTGCCTGCAGATCTTCAAGTTTGTGTGACATTAGGCATAAGTCATCGGCGAAATCCAAGTCTTCTAGGTTCTTTTCCGTCGTCCAGTGTATCCCCCTCTTCTCGCTGCCTACTGTTTGCTGCATGATCCAGTCCACCACAATAAGGAATATCATGGGGGATAGTAGGCAACCTTGTTTCACTCCTGTCTTCACTTCAAAGGCATCACTGAGCTTCCCATTGTGAATTACTTGGCATGTGGCATCTTCATATAGTTGTTGAATGAGGCGGATAAAGGTTTGCGGTACTCCGTAGTATTGAAGCAGTTTCCAAATTACTTCTCGGTCGACGCTGTCAAAGGCCTTCTCAAAGTCGATGAAGTTGAGGTAGAGAGCTGATTGCCATTCTATGCTCTGTTCTATGATGATGCGAAGCGTTGCAATTTGGTCTGCACATGATTTGTACTTCCTGAAGCCTGCCTGTTCCGGTCGCAGTTTTGAATCCAGTGCGTCTTTAAGCCTCTCTAGGATGATGCGGCTTAATATTTTACTTGGGGTGGACAGGAGAGTGATTCCGCGCCAGTTCTTGCAAGCACTGAGGTCTCCTTTCTTCGGCAGTTTGACAAGGTAACCCTTCTTCCAATCGTCAGGTACCTTCTCTTCCTTCCACACCTTCTGCAATAGTGGTGTGAGCATGTCCGCTGTTGTCTCTGCATCTGTTCTCAGTGCTTCTGGCGGTATCCCATCTGGTCCTGCTGCTTTCCCGCATTTCAGTAGCTTTATGGCGTTCAGGACTTCCATTTTCGTTGGGGGATTTATGTTCACTTGTAATTCAGCGGCTGCAGGTGGTATTTCTGGACGAAGTGCAGGTGGTGGTCGATTCAAGAGCTTCTTGAAGTGGTCGGCCCATCGTTTCCTCTGTTTCTCTTCTTTTGTAATTAAATTTCCTTCTTCATCTTTTATTGGTTTCATCTGTGTTGGTCTCTTCCCTGATAGCAACCTGGTTATTTGATACAATGTCGTCAGGTCTCTCTTGCCCTGCAGCCTGTTCTGCTTCACTTGCCAGTGTTTCGTAGAAGTGTCTTTTGTCTTTCCGTGCACTCTTCTTCACTTCTTTGTCCAGTGTTTTATACATTGTGCTCAGTTCCTCTTGTCGTTGAGCATCCTTGCACTGGTTTATCTTCTGCTTCACCATCCTCCTCTCCTCTATCAGCTTCCAGGTATCCGTCGAGATCCATTCCTTGTCTTCTTTCTTCTTCCTTCCTAATACTGTTGTGCAGGTTTCTTTCCACATAGCTTTCAAAGACTTCCAGTGTTCTTCCACACAGGTTTCTTCAGGGATGTTGCTCGCTGTCTCCCATTTTGTCTTGATGGCTGCAGTGAAGATCTCCTTTGTAGTTTCATCCTTCAGTTTCCGAGTGTTGTACTTGAATTGAGGTCTATCACCAGCTTCCTTGAAGGCTTTTAACTTGATTTCGAAGGTTCCTTGCACTAGACAGTGAGTGGTGTGAACCTACATCTGCTCCTCTTCTTGACCTTGTGTTAAGTAGACTGCGTCTCCATTTTCTTGAGATTGAGATAAAGTCGATTTGATTTTTAGTGTGTCCATCTGGTGAAATCCATGTCGCTTTGTGGATATCTTTGTGCCTGAACACACTGCCTCCAATCACCAAATCGTTGAATGCACAGAATTCTGCAAACAATTCTCCATTCTCATTCATCTCACCTAGCGCTTCTCGACCCATGGTTAGTTCTCTTCCTGTGTTGTCCCCTCCCAGTTTGGCATTCATGTCGCCCATTAGAATTTTGATATCGCCAACTGAGGTCTTGTCCAGTGTTGATTGAAGTTGTCTGTAGAAATCCTCCTTTTTCTCTTGCTCTGCATTATTTGTAGGTGCATAACATTGTATGATTGTGACCTTTCTTCCTTTTGAGTTGAATCTTGCTGTCATGATCCTGGAGGAGATTGGTTCCCACTGCATGAGAGCCTTCGATGCTCTTGAGGACATCATGATAGCCACTCCCTCAGTGTGCTCGTGGTTGGCGTCTGGGTGACCGGAGTAGATTATTGATTCTCCAGTTGACAGTTTGGAGAGTCCACTCCCATTCCATCTGCTTTCGCAAATCCCAAGCACTTCGATGTTATACCTTCTCATCTCCTTTGCAATCTGGGCTGCCTTACTGGGTTCAAACATCGTGCGGACATTCCATGTCCCCACGTTTACTTTCGCTTTCATCGAGAGAAGACACATCGGCCAATTGGCTTCCCGAAGACTTTCACCAACTGGCGTCATTTCGCCTCTCCGATTCCAGCGGGGAATGAGTTTGTTTTCATTTTTTATATTTTGTTTGTGCTTTGAAGTTTGTTTAGAGGTTAGATTTGTTTTACGGGGTAGGGTTGCTAGCCGTATGCCCAACCTTCCCTCTTTACCCGGGCTTAGGACCGGCTAGTAACTAGTAAACTAGTTAACCAGGCGAGGTTTCCCTTTCAGATAGTAACCTGGTTATTTGATACAATGTTGTCAGGTATCTCCTACCAGCAGCCTGTTCTGCTTTACTTGGAATTATGTCACAGAAGTGTCTTTTGTCTTTCCGTGCACTCTTCTTCACTTCTTTGTCCAGTGTAGTGTCTTTTACGTTTTACTTAGTCCCCCTTCTCGTTGTTCATCCTTGTACTGGTTTATCTTCTGCTTCACCATCCTCCTCTCCTCTGTCAGCTTCCTTATGTCCGTCGTGATCCATTCCTTGTCTTCTTTCTTCTTCCTTCTTAACACGGTTATGCAGGTTTCTTTCCATATCGAATACAACGTCGTTTGTTTTTTAAGTTAAACGTTCGACTTGTGTTAGAGTTGTTCAATTTTTTTGTGAAGCAATGACTGTCATTTAAGGCGCCTAAGCTGGAGATAATCTTAACTAAAGTCTTAGTGGATCCTGGGAAGATTTTACTCTAGGAAGAGGCCCACTGGAAAATGAATCATCTGAAACCGTCATAGTTACTATTTTGTAAGTTTCACTGCTCAAATAAAAATAGACTGATTCCCAGTGTCTTCAGGCTCCCAATACTTCACCAAGTGATTTCAATCCATGGTGAAGGAGATTTAGTGGACACAAATAATAGTCGATATACTTGCCCATATCACAGATAGCCTTCGTCATTGGTTAAACATCAGAATAACCTCATCAATTGAACGGAGAAGTAGTGAATTATACCTGACGGTAAACTTGTTGAACCGAAAAGCGTTTGAAACCTCACAATACAGTTAGCTATCTGACAGACAGACAGATATACAGGTAGATAAAGACAACATAGAACCTCACACAGAAGTACATCAGCTCAATTTGCCAGAATTCATAGTAGTACATCAAGAAGAGGTGGATAGAAAAAAGCTGATGTAAACACCTTTAGAAGATATTGGAGAGTGAATACATCTACATCGTTGTGATCAACTTCCAGCAATATTACGAATAATCGTCAACCACTGATTTCTGTCGTTCCAGCGATCCCAACCAGGCCCAGTTCAACAGTCAGAAACTTCATGCAGTAGTGATACATATTGCTTCGCAAGTCGACGTAGACGGTGGATCACTAAACATATACAGTACATGTTCATGCCATCACATTCACTGAAGGTACACACAACCTCATCATCTTGTACAGTACTCTTAGCCTAACCACAACATTCACCACATACTGATTCCACAATACACCAGTAATGCTACCAACATACCAATCTTCAAAACTCTACAATCACTCAATGTCCTCTACTTTTAACAACCATGTCCCATGGTCGTATAATAAGATAGAATAGATGGCAGCGTAGTGTATGTACACGGAGACAAAGGTTACGCCGGTTGGCCTTCTTTATCCGAGCTCAAACTGTGTCATCAACAAGCCTCTTGTTCACTGGGTTGATGCAACTCCTCCATGTAAGTGAAACAGTCGACACATCCAACCACTTCACTCTGTATCATTAGACCCTAAGTACTTACACCAGACCAGTCCTGGAACATCGTCTTACATTTCACAAGTGCCCATGACAGTAGGTGCTACCTTAGCCCGTCGTTCTACTAATTTACACTTCTCTACTTACTTTTTTTCATTCCAACAGTAAAACTTTAGTGAAATTTGATGTGACAGACTTTTTGGAAATGGGTGAAAAATTGGGTCATTCATTGTATACATTCCATGAGACAATATCAAATCCAGGGTAAGTCAATTTCGCTTGATCAATATGGTGTAAATCTTATCAGTTGGCTATTCTTTATCACATTAAATGTTGCTTAGTCCTATTCTCCTCCATATTACTCTCGCCACCGACGCCCAACTCATCATTTCCGTTTTGAATTCCACTTGAGTACCTGGTCTGGCACATGATGTCCCCAATCCGTCTTCTCAGCGTATGTCCAATCCATCTCCACTTTCTTCTCCTCCATGTTTGTTGGGTGATAGGTTGTTGGTTGGTTCGTTCCCAGGATTCCTCCTTGCAGATTCTTTCTGGCCATCTGATCTTCAGTATCGAGCGAGTGTAGGTGGCAGTTGTTAATGAATGTCTGTAGTTTGTTGGAAGTGCTTTTCATGACACGCGAAGTTTCTGAACCATCGCCTGGCAGAACTGACTTGACTGACGTTGGTGTTGAAAATCCGGATGTTGTTTACACTTTATACTGAGTGCATTGCAGTAGACCTCCATACTGATTTCAAATTAATCAAAGCCTGTGTTGCTGTCTTTCCGATCCTGGTTTTGACATCGTCATGTGTGTCTGTGCCGCTGTATGTAGTTGAAACGATGGTGCCCTGGCTTGGTACATGAATGAGACCACTTCGTTTAAGTTTCTTCCGGTGATTGGTGCTTGTTGTTCGTGCTGTTGCTGGTTGGGTGTCTTCATCACCTCTGTCTTCTCTCCGCCTTCGAAGTTTCTTTAGCGATTGGATTAGTTTTAAGGGGTAGGGTTGCTTACCGTATGCAGGACCTTCCTTGTTTATCCGGGATTAAGACGGCCTAGTAACTAATGAACTAGTTAACCAAGCTAGGTTGTCTTTAATATAAATGATTCTCTTTAGAGAGGGTTGTGGAGAGTTGGAAATATTTTAAGTTGTTATTCATCATAGACTGACGTCAGTTGGAGGAACAATGGAAATCTGGGAGCACTGGACCCTACTACAGGTCAAACCCACGACCTTCAGGTTCCGTGGCCAGCCACTAAATCGGAATCCATTGGTCCATATCTCCAACTTCTCTTACCTCACGATTTAGTGCAACCGCTACCCAATATCAACGTTGAGTAACTGTCTTCACAACCATCAGGCTTTGCCCCCACCGGTAATGACTTCTCATTGGAACTTCGGGAATCACCTCTCGAAGTTAGTCACCAATGAGCACCAGTTCAATTGAATTTTGAGGGAGTTGTGGGGATTTGAAAATATTCCAAGTTGTTATTCATCGTAGACTGACATCAAGTGGTTTATTAGATGCATCACACACAACAGTTAGTCAGGATTCCCTCATCCCTTTAATGGTTTGGGTAGTAGGATTCTCCATATATCCGGAACAGGTGCTTAGTCGTTTCAATAAACAAAGATTCAGTTATTATTCTCTTCCTCTACCCTGTTATATTACTTACTTTTAAGGATTTTCACCCTATCTCATCCTATTATGTCGTTATGTATGATCATATGCATAGTTATGGCTGAGCTTTTCTCTAAATTCCTTAACTTAAAAGGTAGGATCTAGCAATTTTGACCTAGCTAAGTTTTTGTGTTCAGATAGTCTAATTGACCCTAGCTGGTTGATCACTTTCATCTGTGCATTTAATCTCGCAGTGGTTGCAAGGAATTTCGATAAACTACGTTATTCTGCTAAATCGGAAGTTTTAACCTACAAAGCTTATTTTCTAAATGAGCCACTCTAATGGTATCCAGCGTTATTGAAAATCAGACGTCATGTCTGTGAAGTGCCTTCCTTGTATAGTGGGTAATACTGTAGATGTTTGGAATACTATGTTCATAGTATACCCATCATTAATTAACATCTGTGTTGGAATACCTGGGTACCGCCCTCTGACAGTGATAACGAAGGGGATAAGTACTAGTTTACTACTCAGTGTGAGATGTGGTAGCCTTTAGCGGGATAACCCACACTGGGCACTCGATGCCCTCCTCGCTAAAGACGTACAGGTAGATTCCTGAGACAATGTTGGTAGGACTGCATGTCCTGTTGTGCTCACCATCTTGAAGCTTATGTACCTATTAGGAAGTGATGTTGAACTGACATGAAAACACAGAGATGACTTGTCAAAGTGAAATATCCTAGTAATGTTATCTAAGCTGTAGCTTAAATCAGCTTGACTATTCAAGTTATGCGGTGTAATGTATTTCAAGAAAACTGTAAACTAGTACACATATACCAACGAACCAGTTGATCAACATAACTGCACAACGTTTAGAGATTCTTTCCGTGGTCCTAATTGTACTCATCCCCTTTGTGATATGCTTTGAATGATTTTCCATATATTCAAAACAGATGCTGAATCATTCCTGTTGATGCATGTTGTATTTGATGTTGATTCGATTAAAAGAATATTCAGCTATCAATCTCCGTCCCTCCCCCCTTCACCCACCTATCCTGCGGTCCTTATCCCATCCTATTGTATAATCGCATGCATAGTTACATAGTGTTCATGAGGTGCCTTCTCTGTATTGTAATACTGTACAAGTTTTGACTTCTCTTCACAGTATTGTCACTATTACTAATGACATTATTATTAGTCCTTTGGGTTCCTAATGGAACATAGGGCTTCAGTAGCACGTCTCCAGTGAACTCTGTTTTCTGACATCTTTCCAACCTGGCTCCACGACAGCCCACAAGCTCTCATTTCCCCCTCGCACCATCTCCTCCATGTCACCCTAGCCTCGGACACCCAACTCGTCGCTTCCTATGGGGGTTCCCCTCTAGGGCCTGGCGCGTGATGCCCCAGTCGGCCTTCTCAGTGTATGTCCAATCCATCTCCACTTTCTTCTCCTCCATGTTTGTTGGGTGATAGGTTGTTGGTTGCTTCGTTCCCAGAGCTCCTTGTTGCTTATTCTTTCTGGCCATCTGATCTTCAGTAGCGAGCGTAAACAGTACTATCATATTTTTCATACGATTCCTAAGCGGCTTATCAATTAATTTGGGAGAGTAATTGTTGATGAGTAAGAGTGTCCTTAATGTATCTGATTTCTTGGGTTAGATCTTCTGTTTTACTGGTGTAATTTTTCTTGCCCCGTCACTTGGACACTTTACTAAGACAACTTTAACTGACATAACGTGAGATGATTTGAATGTGAAGGTTTTCTGTAAATGACATTAGTCCATCTATACTTCCACCTGGTTTCCGTCTTATTCAGAAATCCAACATCTCTAATTCGCCTTCACGTGAATTGGACTGCATTGACTACTGAATTTATATGTATGAAGAAACTAGGCATGTGCTCCAATTTCAACATTGCCAACGGATCATCTACATATCGAAATCATACTTTTGTAGAAGGATTAAACGTTCCTACAGCCATCCATATCCAACTATCGACAGCTACAATAGGGGATATTGGTGATCCCATAGGAACTCCTTCTGTTTGTTTGTATATTTTATTTTGAAAGACCTAAAGATTGTGGAGGTTCAGCCGAGCTGTACTCTTGGCATGATGTCATCTACTCGTACCTTGGTTTGGAGTGTAACCTCATGATCAGTGTTCAGCTTGTTTCTAACTGCTTCGAGAGCCATCCCAATCGGTATGTAAGGATATATCGTCATGATGTCCAAGAAATCTAATTCAGTTGATGAAGGTTGACAATCTCATCATCAATCCACCTGCCTTCACTTGATCTCAACATTATCCACATTGTGATTCCATTCTACGCCAGTGATCATATGAAGACGTCTACGATTGAATTTCTGAAACACCTACATATCATCTACCTTTTCATGGGCACATCTCTCAGGAGTGTACAACAGGACGAAACGAACTGCAGTGAAGTACACTTGTCCCTTTGATAGATAATCGGACATATTCCACCACTTCACTCCCTAACAACAGCAGACCAGTACTAGGGCGTCATCTAGTATTTCATAGGTGCCAGCGAAATGGATGCGAAAAATGCTGAAATTTTTGGTCAACGCGTTTAGAAGACTCTGGATTCTATCAGCGTCATCATCTACTACCCTACCAGGACAAATTTGTCCGTCTGCTCCAAGTCATCTAAATGACCCCAAGAGACTAGATCAATCTTGATGAAGTCAGAAGTATCTAAGGTTATTTCCACTACTATATTTATAATGAAGTTAAACAGGAAATGATAACGGTGGGCATCCTTGGCAGATACCACCAGTGATTGTCCATTCACTTGACAACTCTGCATTACCTCTGATACGGTTGTATAAGTTAGAGTAGGTAATCGATTCACAGTTAGACAATACCATTACAACTCACAGTCAACAGATGCCTTCAGACCAACAAATATGACAATTTTTACCCACCAGTAGAAATGTCCGTATTCTATAACCTTTCGTAGAGTAAAAATATGATTGATGAACCCTTATCGAGGTCTCAAAGCTGACTAATTTACTCAAGTTTGTTGCTCTCAAGCTCCTTGTACGTGTCACATATATATAGACCCCAAGATGTCGAACTAACATGGATAATGAGCAAAGTAGATCATTCTGACGAAGACTGTTCCTGACTGCCAAAAGGAATCCATAGTTAATCTTCGGTTACCGTGGTAACTTAATTTCTTACTCTTTCAGTTATTTGATCACTTCGTCATTAGATTGTTGAGTTCACTCCAAAACCATTGTTGGCATTTGGCATGTTGCCAAGTAAGCTGTATATGGCATGATAGACACGAATGGTTGTTATTCTCTTCACACAGTTGACATACTGGCAGGGGTCTAAAACACAAATCTTAATCAATTCAGTTCTACTCATCCTATTCCATTACATTTTGTTCATTGATGATTACTAACTTATCGATTTATTGATTTATTCAGTTTCCATACTTCACTATGTGATTACTCCATTCTGAATGATCTCATTGAACTAAATAAAGTATGATCATATTTCAATGTGATTGGTTATTCTAACTATACTAGTTTGTAAACAGCTGATGAAGACCATCGAAATACTCGAATGGATCTATATCATATATTTGTTCCCCCTTTACATTTATGTAGTCTATCCATGTATTCATTGTTTATTCAATAGGAAACTTAAACAAACTTTAACAAATTTGGCTAGAGAAACATTGATCAACCTTTACAAAACTCGTATCCCATTAATACCTGATCAGCACACAATAACAAAGGAATATACAGGTGACTTATATTCAATTGTTTTTTTTTCTTTCATATTATTTTAATCAATCACTTCCACCAATGTTCTAGCTTGTAAACTGTGATGTTCATTGCCTATTATTGGAATAGAAGGACCAGTTCGAATGGCTCGATATTACCGGCATTTCCAAGGAGTTATTATCATGATTTAACAGCCTAGTGAGTAAATTTTTAATGTTTAGAGCGGCTGCCCTGTAGGTTTAGGTGTCTTAGTGGGAATAACATCACCCATATAAAGGCAAAAACATCCAGCTGATGAGTCCTAAACAAGACGAAACGTGAATTGTGGGTTCCATTGCTATCCATTATATATCATTTGTTCCCTTGACAACTTTGGAGAATTTGCGCTGGTTAACTCTGTATACATTCCATTTCATGAGTTGTTCATCTATGCTGTGCTCAGGAGGATCTTACCTTGCTGAAGGAAACATTTAAGCTTCAAACCCTATTAAAAATCATCGAATGCATAGACATCAATGAAAACGTTTCCTAGACTTTTTTAATGTTACTGATATTTGGTGATAAGTAGTATAGTTTTATTTACAAAATTTTCACCGTGACATATGTATCACTGACAAGGTGAAGGCATCCTTCATGTCTGTGATGACGTCTACATCTGATCAGCAGTCAGCATTGTCGATAAGGGGAGGAACTAGTAACCTGATCCTCGGTATTTTCTCTCATCTTCAATAGTCATCCTTGAGGAATACGATTCGTGCAAAACACTGTTGAACTACTAAATAAATGAATTACTAATGCATCCAGCGGAAGAATTCCTCGTAATAAAACAATATGCTGACTAAATTTTATTGATCATGTGTTCATGTGGTCACCACTATGGGAGACTCATCATTATGAGGCAATTTGAGCGATTTTGGATGGTTGATGTCAGTTGTCCAGAAGCGTTGAACTCAAGTTTCATTTTTCTACCCAATTCTCAGTAAAATTTGACAGTAACATTATGGAAACTGATGTGCTGGGAGAGGTACGAACCCTCATCAACCAATACTGAAGTCAGAGATATCACCATTAAAGTAGTCAGGCAGCGATTGCACAAGGTACATTCATTGATAACTCCAGACTAAGCTATTTCGTGTTGTGTAGTCCTCAGTGGAGAATATTTGTACCTCAGGTGGATGGCCTTGGTTGTATTGTGTTCTCTGAGGAGCTGGGTTGTTTAATCGCGGAGATTCCATCGTTCTTCTAGACAGTGACATCATCAACACTAACTTCAGTATGAATTGACCTGTCAATATCTCTCTATGACTGATTCAGCAGCTTGCCCTGACTAACTGGATCGTGTGTGATTGCTTGTTTCCTTCGATTGTTGTGTCATTGTTTGTATAGACTTTCCTGTTGGCTGTCCCTTTACTTGACCTCTGACCTGTCTGTCGCTTATCATTCCTCTCATTGGTTGACAGATTGGGTCAGTGTCTACACATCTACTAATTGCTGACTGACTGACGTAAATGCCAAGTATCTAGGGATCCTCTAATGATATTCTTTGTGTTTCCTCTCTCCGTCCAACATTTCTACATTGTCAAAAGTGAATGTACGCCCATAGTTGTTATCCGCATATGACTGAATCAAAAATTTGTATTCGCTATGTGGATGACACTTTTGTCATCATTCAACAAGATGATATAGAAAACACTCACAGTTTCATCAACAACCTCTTCATTGACATCAAATTCACAATGGAGAAGGACTTAAACAACCAACCAACATTCCTCGATGTTTTAGTCAGTAGGACAAACACCTGACAACTGGAAACTCAAGTGTACAGCAAGCCAACACACACTGACCAAATCATCAACTACAGTGACAATAACGCACAAGATCAGTTGGCTGCAGACTCTATTGGAAAGGGCCAGAACACACTGCAGTACAACAACTTCACTGAGGAACGAAGAAAATTACTTAATGTCCATCCACCCTGAAGAAGAACGGCTACCCACAAAACTTTATCAAAACATGCCTATCCCCCACATCATCAATTACAAAGTCATCGACAGAAGTCAACAAACGCATCATCCTATTATACATACAGAAGATATATCAGAAATCATGACAAGATTACTGAGACCACTTGTTGGAATCGGTGTGGTGCCTCATAAACCAACAAATCCCCTGCAAACAGTATCATGCAGACTGACCATAGGACGCAAGAAGCAATGAAGACAAACTGAATATCATTTACAAAATCAATTGGAATAAGTGTAGTCAACAGCACACATTGGAGAGAGTGGTCGCCGTCTTTACCTCCTTCGTTTACATGAACAATTGGCTATTAAACATCGCACACGACATCCCATCACTCATTTCAATCCACATGGATAACAACTATGGAGATGAATTGAATTTTGACAATGTGTAGATGTTGGACGGAGAGAGGAAACACAAAGAATATCATCAGAGAATTCCTAGAAGCTTGGCATTCAGTTCGGTCAGTCAGTCAGTCAGCAATTAACAGAGGTGTAGACCCGAATCTATTAACTAATGAGAAAAGTGATAAACGACAGAAAGGTGATAGGTGAAGCAGAGGAACGGTCAACAGGAAAGTCTATACAGTCAGTCAATGACACAACAACCAAAGGAGACAACCATTCACATACTAACCAGTTGGTCAGGGCAGGCTGCTGAATCACTCATGGAGAGTTATTGACAGGTCAATTCATACTGAAGTTAGTGGTAATGATGTCGCTGTCTAGAAGGACGATGAAATCTCCGCGATTATGCAACCCAGCTCCTCAGAGAACATAATACAACGAAGTCCTCAGTCCTAACCAAATTCTATCGATTATTTTGCCATGTGGTCATCAATCTAGGAAGTTCAGCATCACAGGGCACTTTAATGGGTGTTAGTTGGATGGAGTTTCAATTTTGGTCTCCTCCGTATAACTACTCATCAGTTTATCCTAACAGTTCGGTTTCATTTCTTTGACGAGAAGACTTTCAGTTAAGTCGTATACTAACTGATCAAAGTCGAAGAAGCATATTACACACCCCACCTTCATCAGTAGGTAGGTGAGAAAGGATCTGTGTGTGTGTGTGTCGAATTAAGTTTATCACTGAGTATGAAACAGGATATACCGTCGAAAATTTAACTCTGATGCGGTGACTGAATGATTCCTGATGGGGTTATGGGGGTACCTAATTGTACTACTCTATAGTGACTATTAGTGACGTGCTTCGAGATGGATATCCCAAAGTTCTAATAGGAAAACTGTCACCTGGGATTACGATTAACCAGTCAGAAGTGAAGACGTTAGATGTTATTCACGCTATATCGTGAATTGCCATGAGGTAGGAGAAAACTGTAGACCAGTGATTGAATGGTTGGTGCTTTCTCCCTTAGACCTAAATGTTGTTAATCCGATCCCTGGTGACATCTTGAATATCTACTGATGAGAAGTTCAACGTTAGAACGAAGTAGCTTCCCACTAGTTCCACGTTTTAAATGGTTCTGAAGTTGATATCATCCTGTCGTGAATATTAACTTAACTATTATTCATTCAGAGTTATTGAGGCTATGATGTTTTATCCATTCGAGTCTCTTGAAGAACACTAAAAATTCGACTACATAGTATCGATGACATGACACAAAATCGATTAGTAAACAAAGCGTAATACAATGGTACTTGTAATTTCTCGTTTCTATACGGGGCTGAATAGCTCGACCTCTGTTGGTAGATGGGTTCCTTAGTGGATGCCTTGACACTGCTGGGAATTCATCATGTTATAATTATCCTGGTGACTAGCAGAGGAATTCATGATGCACGTTTCGTCCTCTTCGAGACTTGTCAGCTGGATGTACTTACACCTGAGTGCCGAATGATATTGTTCCAACTGAAGTTCCGAACTCAGTACCTGGGATGCAGATACATCCAGCTGACTCCCCATTAGTCACTAGGATCAATGAAGTGTAATACTAATTTGCCTCAGAATCGTGACTTTCCTACTTGTTTTACCAACTGGACTGATAATACGATTAAAATCAGTAGAGAGAAATAATTCTGTTTTGAAAGAAGACAGATCTGGTCTCACTGTCAGAATAGGTAGTCCACTCACACAGCTGACGGAAATCTAGATGATTTAAACAATTCGGTTGTCTGAGCTGAATCAGTTTGCGTACACCACTGATGAGTTAAACCCTGAACAAGTGAAACCGCTATTGAGTGATTGCATGAGTTTGATTTAACTAGCCTATACTACCGGAAGGGGCTGGCTGGCTTCAGGAAGAATAAATCATGTGCGGATCGAATTGCAACGCTACGCTTCGCATCATCATAGGACAGAGTATAGAATGGCAGTCAACTCAACCCTACCTCAAATTTATCGACTTCGAAAGGGCCTTTGACAGCGTCGACTAACAAGTAATTTGGCAGCTACTGCTTCAACACTATGAAATACCACAAACCTTTATCAGCCTCATTCAACAACTATATGAAGATGCCACATACCAAGTAATTCACAACGGGAAGCTCAGTGATGCCTTTGAAATGAAGACAGGAATAAGCCAAGGCTGTCTACTATCACCGATGATGATCTTCCTGATTGTGGTCGACTGGACTGGAACATGCAGCAAACTGTGAGGAGCGAGAAGATGGGCATATGCTGACTGGACTGATGAAAAGAGCCTAGAAGATTTGGATTTCGACCATGATGACTTGTGTCTAATGTCGCACAAACTTGAAAACCTACAGGGAAAAACTAACAAGTTGACAGAAGAGGCAGGGCAGATCAGCGAAGACGGGATTTCAAGGGAACGTAGAGAAGACAGAGGTGATGAAGATATCCAACCAACCAACAACAGCATCAACAACAAGTACCAATGACCATTAGGAGGCGAAATCTGATGGAAATCGTCTCTTTCACCTACCTAGATAGTATTGTTTCAACTACAGACGGCACAGGCACAGAAGAGGATGTCAAATCCAGGATCGGAAAGACAGCAACACAGGCTTCCATTAATTTGGAATGACTGTGGAGATCTACTGTACTCAACACAAAGTGTGAACAACATCTGGATTTTTAACACCAATTCAATCAAGTCAGTGCTTCTGTGTAATGATTTAGAGACTTGGCGCACCACGAAAAGCACTTCCAACAAACTACAGACATTCATCAACGGCTGCCGCTTACGCTGGCTCGATACTAAAGATAGGATAGATGGTCAGAATAATGAGAACAAGCAACAAGCAACTCTGGGAACGAACCAACCAACAATCACAATCACAAATGTGCATAAGAAGTGAATGGAGATGGATTGAGCATACACTGAGAAGATTTTTCGTGGACATCAAGCGCCAGACAAGGCTGTGAAGTGGAATCTAAAGGCGAAACGACGAGTTCGGTGTCCGGGGTAAGAGTAACATGTAGGAGATGATGTGAGAAGGAAATGAAAGGTTGTGGGCTGTCGTGGATCCAGGGGAAAAAGACTGCAGAGAACACGGTGGAATGGAGGCGTGCTAGTGAAGCGGTATGTTCCACTAGGAACCCAAAGGAAAAATAATAATGATAATACTAGTGAGGACTACGCATGTATCAGTCAGTAGTATGTTTTGTAAAGCCTTTATATTTTCCGTCATATAACATTCCGCCTTAGACTCTTTCAAACAAGTGAAGTGTGAATGAGACATTAGACTGAGGAGGATTTTGATGGCATTATGCTCTAGACAACATTATCAGTAGCAGAAACTTCATGAAGGCGTGATCTATACGGTTTTCGTCATAAGTTGTTTAATTATTCATCTTTGTGACCTTGTACCTGATTGGTTGTTTCTGTTAAATCCCATCACCTATCTCTATGCTTATTTTGATTGGTTGTCCTATCGACATGAACCTTGATATTCTTGTTGCTTACTGGCTAATAGATTAGATCAATGCCAATATGTGTTCGTTAATGGTTGACTGACCTGAACACCCAGTTTCTAAGAGTTCTCTGGTATGCTTTGAATTTCCTCCATCCAAACACGATTTACATATTCTCCCGATCGAATTCATGTATGTATTGTTATGAGTGAAGATACGTCATGACACTTCACTGCCAGTCAATTTTCATGTAGATGGATACGTTTGTCTTGTCTTCCTTTCTTGTTATATCTTTGTGAAATTTAAATTGATGATGGTAGTATTCATCATGGAATGAGATCACTTGAAGAACCAACGAAAAGCTTGAAGGGCTGGACAGATATTTTGTCCCAATGCGAGACTCCTCAACCGTTCTTGTGTAAAAGATACCTTACATTATTTCTCTTCATTCCTTCGTAAAACTAGTGTTACACATTTTATCTTCACATTTTTCCATATAATATTCTTCTACAGAAATAATTTTGTAGTTGATAATGTGATCCATAAAAAGCTGGTTTTCTTGAGTTTTCAACTTTTCCATTCATTTTCTGTTGAGTTTTGTATGTTGTCGGAGCTAGTCACTTCAAGTATAAGTGATTGTATTGATGCTCCCTTTGTCTATTTGTAATGCTCACTGTTGGACAACAAATTTCCTGTTAGTAGTATGATTCTTTTCAAATCACACCGTCGTTGATTAGATCGAATTGATCGATGTCTATTGGCATATAGGCTCTTGTGCGGATGCCTCGATATTACCAGTGCTCTAATGGTAGTAATGATGGATAGTGGCTAGCAGTGGAATCCAGCTTGGTGTGCATTTCTTGCTATTTGGGACTCCCTGGTCGGCTGGATGTACCTCCATCCCAGTGCCGAGTGATGTTGTTCCCACCACAATCGCTCCCGAGTCCGAATCCCGGTGGAAACAACATCACTCAGCACTAGGAAGCAGGTACATCCAGCTGACCAAGGAGTCCCAAATAGGGCGAAATGTCCATCCTGGATTCCTCTGTTACCCACTACTGCCCATCACTACTATCATAAGAGCATCCGCACAGGATCTCATATGCCAATAGAGACCAATCAGTTGAGTCCAATCAACGATGGTGTAATACAAGCAATAACACTAAAGCTATACCCATCGCACAAGAAGTGGCTATCTTGACTCCATGTTGTAGTGGATAACGCCCTGACATTTGAAACGATCACTTCCGAGTCCGAATTCCCATGGGAACAATATCACATCATGAAGGAAGGTCTGTGTTGCTGTCTTTCCGATCCTGATTTTGACGTCCTCATCTGAACCTGTTCCGCCGCCTGTAGCTGAAACGATGCTACCTCCTAGGTAGGTAGGTGAAAGAGACTACTTCCTATAGGTTTCTCCTATTCATAGTGATTGGTGCTTGTTATTGTAGTACATCTCTAGTGCATTCTGTTCTCTGCAATCCTTTGAACTCGGGGCCCCAAGACTGGCAATATCATCTTCTCTATATCATCCTCGTATTGAACGCCAATCTCGTAGTTTCCTATGCCAGTTCTACTCGATGGCCTAACCTGGCCTTCTCAGTGTATGCCCAATCCATCTCCATTTCCTTCAAGTGGATATTTGTTGGCTGATAGGTTCTTACCTCATTGGTTCGTTGTCAGTCAGATTTACTTGTAATACAGTTGAGTATTTCAGGTTTACTTGATCATTTAATTATCGATTGATTATTGAAGTTAATTATCCTTTATATTATCTCTTTATAGATAATAATAATAATAATGGAATATCACGTGATTTCTTATCACCTGAATTAAAAATCAATAATTTCCATGGATTGAAATCATATTCTTCTTCTCCTACTGAAAGATTATTACCATGGAATAATCAATTTGATAAAAAGTTATTAAGGAATTCAACCACCATTTTGTATAATAAAGATGATGATGATGCGATCAATACATTTGAAACTGTGGTCAAGGTCATTCGTTTGTTAGAAAAATCAATCGAATTTAAAACTATACAATTGGATGAAGATGATGAGAATAGTATACATGAGAATTCAAGCAGGTAAATAAATCGTTTCATGTAAAGGTGTTTATTGTTACTTATTATTTATCCTTTTAGTTCCTAATGGTATATTGAACTTCAGCAGCATGTCTCCAGTGAACTATGTTCTCTTTTCAACCTAGCTCTACGACCACCTACAACCTCTTGTTTCATCCTCGGACGATCTTACCAATGTTATCCTCACCTCAGACGACGATCTGGGTGCTACTCAAGGGACTACCCTAGTGCATGATGTCCCCAGTTAGCCTTCTCAGTTGAGTGATAGATTCATGCCAGCCAGCCACAGTTCCTTGTTGCTTATTCTTTTCTGGCAATTCATCTTGTTCTTTGTGCTGAGTACAGAAGATCTCCACACTGATTTCAGGCTAATGAACGCCTGTTTTGCTTTTCCGATCTTGGCTGACTCTGACGTCCTCGTGTGTGCCGCCTATAGTTGAAGCGATGCTGCCTAGATAGGTTGAAGAGACTACTTTCTTGAAGTTTCTCCCGTCCATGCTGATTGGAGCTTGTTGTTGGTCGTGCTGGTGTTGGTTGAGTATCTTCATTACTTCCGTCTTCTCTACATTCACCTGAACTCTCGTCTTCTCTGCCTCTTCTGTCAACTTGTTGGATTTTCATCTGTAGATCTTCAAGTTTATTTGACAGTATTATTCCATAGAGTTAAACAGTTAACTAATCAAATTTTGAGGGGTTGTGGAGATTTGGAATTATTTCAAGTTGTTATTCATCGAAGACTGACATCTGCGCTATATGTCGTGAGCTAACAGAAGTTGGAAATATGGAGCATTGGATTCTGACCCAGTGGCTCAATGGTAACGCGCTGGTCGCGGAACCTGAAGGTCGCGGGTTTGATCGCTGGTGGTGTGGGGTCGGGGGCGCGCACTGCTGAGGAGTCCCATACTAGGACGAAACAGCTGTCCAGTGCTCCCAGGTTTCCTTTGTTCCTCCAACTGATGTCAGTCTACAATGAATAACAACTTGAGTTAACTAATCGATTTTTTTTTCTTTTATAATTTTCTTTTAGTACATCAAATTCGAATTCAGATAGTGAACCAGAAATGATATTTACTACTGAAAATTATTTAAATTATAAATTCAATTTTCGTGGTGATTACATATTACATAATCAAACAGAAAAAGAAATAAATAATGAAATAAATCAAATGGATCATTTAACAGTAGATAAAACAAATGAAATGAATAAATTGAAAAAGAGACGAAGAAGAAAAACTCATCATCATCATTTTCGTCGCCGTCGTCGTCATCACCAGCAGCAGCAGAAGTCTTCATTTCAACAAAACTCTAAGAATGATATTTCATATCATACACCAATACCATTATCATCATCAACTTCATCATCATTAGCAGCTCCATCAGTTCAACAACTTGACCATAATCATACTCATACTCATAATAATAATAATAATAATAAACATTATCAAAAGGAAACAGGTGTGAAAATCAATACTCAGGTATTGATTAACTAAATTATACTATACTATATATAATAATAATGATACTAATTATTAATGTTAGAAATGTAATTATTGATTAATTTATTGATTTATAATTTTGAATGAAATAAAGTCCATCATTGCTTATTGTATAGTCAATATTGAAGATAATTTATTGATTTATTCTGATTGAATATTTGTCTGTGTGTATATCCAATCTGATGATATTATAGTCTAATGAAGATTGATTAATCATCTAGTCTATTCATTTCATCATCGATATGTATCATTAATGATTGGAAGCCGATGAAATCGAGATGATCTTAGATACTTTCAAAAATCACCTGATCTATGAATATATCCTTCATGTTTCTCTTTAATACTAAGTGAATTCTTGGTTGTATTTTGTGTTCTCTAAGAAGTTGGATTGTTTCATTATGGAGATGCTTTCATCGTCTTCCTAGACAGTAACATCATCATCACTAACTTCAGTATGAAGTGAGCTATCTGTCAATATCTCTCCGTGAGTGATTTAGTGATTTGCTCTGACGATGTGCTCTGTGATTGGTTGTTTCATTCCGTTGTTGTGTCATTGATTGACTGTATAGACTTTCCTGTTGGCCGTTCCTCTGCTTCACCTATCACCTTTCTGTCGTTTATCACTTTTCTCATTGGTTAATAGATTTGGGTCTACACCTCTGTTAATTGCTGACTGACTGACTGACCGAACTGAATGCCAAACTTCTAGGAATTCTCTGATGATATTCTTTGTGTTTCCTCTCTCCGTCGAAAATTTCTACATTATCGAAATTCAATTCATCTCCATCGTTGTTATCCATGTGGATTGAAATGAGTGATGGGATGTCGTGTGCGATGTTTAATAGCCAATTGTTCATGTAAACGAAGGAGGTAAAGACGGCGACCACTCTCTCCAATGTGTGGTGTTGACTACAGTTATTCCAATTGATTTTGTAAATGATATTCAGTTTGTCTCTATTGCTTGTTGCATCCTATGGTCTTCATAATAGTGTTTGCAGGGGATTTGCTGGTTTATGAGGCACCACACCAATCCCACCAAGTGGTCTCAGTAATCTTGTCATGATTTCTAATACATCTTCTGTATGTATTGTAGGATGATGCGTTTGTTGATGATGTGGGGGATAGGCATGTTTTGGTGAAGTTTTGTGGGTCACCGTTCTTCTTCAGGGTGGATGGACATTAAGTAATTTTCTTCGTTTCTCTGTGAAGTTGTTGTACTGCAGTGTATTCTCGCTCTTCTGAATAGAGTCTACAGCCAACTGATCTTGTGCGTTATTGTCACTGTAGTTGATGATTTGGTCAGTGTGTGTTGGCTTCCTGTACACTTGAGTTTCCAGTTGTCAGGTGTTTGTCCTACTGACTAAAACATCGAGGAATGTTGGTTGGTTGTTTAAGTCCTTCTCCATTGTGAATTTGATGTCATTGAAGAGGCTGTTGATGAAACTGTGAGTGTTTTCTATATCATCTTGTTGAATGATGACAAAAGTGTCGTCCACATAACGAATCCACAATCTCGGTTTGATAATAGGTAGAATAATGGCTTCCAGTCTCTGCATCACTGCTTCCGCAATTAATTCGGATATCGGTGATCCCATTGGAGTTCCTTTCTTCTGTTTATATATCTTGCTGTTGAATTGGAAGTATGTTATCAGACAAAGGTCAATGAGTTCCATCAGACTTGAACATGTAAATTTTGTGCGTTCTGTAACGTTTATGTCTTCATTCAGCAGAAGGGACGTAGTTTTCTTGGTCAACTGAAGTTTGATCAATGTGTATACTGCTGTGTCTATCGATATTAACGATGAACGGTTGAATTCAGGACGAAGGTTTCCTCTTGGATACATCTGTTATTCTATTGGGAGGTAACAATGCAAACATTGATCTTTCCGAAGTATGATGGATTACACAATGTCACGTTATTCCACTTAGCTTTCCAGCCGTATCTTCCATGTAAAGGGGAAGTTTTGTATCCAAATGTTTTTACACTGAAAAATTTGTTTGTCTTAATATGAGATGTCATTGTGAATAATGGTCATATTTTAGGCCTAAGCTGAGCGTGAATAGACTGGCAGAGATTCGTGTACATTATGAAGTTTTCTCGAAAGGTTACTATTGGTCATCAAAAGTTCACTTGGAAAATCTCTAACTCTGAGTGATGTAGGTAGGAATATCCAAAAACGTATAAGTTTCCTCAAAGCTGTGGAACTCACGTTTACCAAGAAACACAATAACCATCTATCTGTAACAGAGAAGATATCCTGGAGATTGACTACTGACATGTACCGTCACTGGTCATATTTTTTTATGCTTGATTGATCGGCTTTCAGCACTTGAGATCTCACATCTTCTGGGGTTACTATTCAGTGATCCACTACACTATGACTAGTTCATATGACAGAAAGTATACCATTGTAGGCCAGACAGACAGACCCTTATCTGAGAGATAAGTAAATATCCACAATGGTGTAATTAGTAAACAGTCAGTGGACACTGGAAATATCAAGAAAATATCTTGGAATTGTTCAACATTATCAACAAATAGAGTAATTGGAATAATTTCCTCTTCAGTGAAACCCTTAAACGTCTACCCTGGCCGACCTAATTTTCTAAACTTCCACTTATCTAATCATATCCTTATCCTTGACACATAGATGCACTGACTTACTTGACTGACATTAGTAGTGTTGAAAATGCGGATCTTTTTCTTTATACTGAATGTAGTACAGTGCAGTAGATCTTCACTTTGATTTCACATCAGTGAAGGAAGGCCTCTCTTGCTTTTTTCGATCCAGCCACTGACGTCCTCATCTGTGCCACCTGTAGTTTAAACGGTGCTGTCTCCTAGGTAGATGAAAGAGACAACTTCGCTTAGGTTCCTCCCGTTAATGGTGATCGGTGCTTGTTATTGTTGTTGGTTTAGTATCTTCATCACCTATGTCTTTCGTATATATTCCCTTGAAGTCCCATCTTCCCTGAATGTTTTGCCAACTTGTCGGTTTTTTCTTGTAGATCTTCCAGTTTATGCGATATCAGACACAAATCATTAGGGCAATCCAAATCTTCTAGGGTCTCTTTATCGGTTCAGCCAGCGTATGCTCATCTTCTCGCTCCTTACAGGTTTTTTGCATAATCCAGTCACCAACAATCACGAAGATCATGGGTGATAGTAGGCGGGCAGCCTTGTCTCACTCCTGTCTTCACATCACTTCATAGGCATCACTCAGCAGCTTTCCATTGTGACATCATTTGGCATATAGGACCATCCTAAAGCACATAGCTGTTGAATGAGGTTCATACTCCTTAGTGTTTAAGCAGCAGCTGCCGAATTATTTCTCAGTCAACGCTGTCGAAGCCCTTTCCAAAATCGATGAAGTTGAGGTAGAGAGTTGACTAGCATTTGTATACTCTGTTCTGTGATGATGCGCGTAACATTGTGATAATGCGATTATGAACCATTTTCTCTTTGGTATATTTTGTCACATTAGAACAACAGAGAAATACAAAACAGAGGATTGTACTTTGTAAGCAGATATGCTGGACAATCGAATCGAGGTATACCGTGTTTTGTTGAAAAGAGGCTGTTTCATCGTTCATGTCAGGTAAGCAAGGAAAGGTATCAATGTTTTATTGATTAGATTATCTCTATAGGCCTCAGTTATTGATCGGTTTTTATGCACAGTGGGTCAAGTTTTTGTTAAACTTCAGTTATTCTAATGGCTTTCAACTACTCAAATGGCACATTAGTAGTATATTTCGCTAGTTTATAACACTTCTCTGTCAGAGATAACACATATTCTGTCATCTTGGCTGACTGACGATGGTCTCCAACGGGAACCTCGTTAACACTACGGTTGAGCAGTAACTAGAAAATGTGTCAACGTCAACCCTACAATTTTTAAATCATTTATAAGCTGACCAATGCAAATCAGCTAGCCAGGTCCAGGCTATATAAAGAATTCTACTGAGTGAGCTTAAGTTATCGTAGTACACTGCTAATGATCTGGCTGCGTCTCAAATCAACGAAATCACCGTCCGGTGTTTAGATCCTTCTGATGCGGTTGGATAGCGAAATATACAAATCAGTCTGAGTGTGGTTTCAATTCTACAGTTTTTGGTTAAAACTTAGAATAAGTATTGATTAGCTAGTTCTCAAGAATGAGATTTGTGTCATGAATAACTACTGGCTAGCAATGGATTATTTCCAACTACGATTCGATCGAATCCTGAACACGTTCAGTCTGATCATCTTATCCAAGATATCCAAGATTATTTCGTGGACATGTAAATAATATATTTTGATGAAAGAGCTTAGTAGAGGGGATTAAGTTAGAACAAAACAGTTTTACGTTTGGTGAAACTTGATGTACATTTCAGAGTTACTTCAACATTTGCAACACCTTTCTGAGTCTGATATACGTTTGATATCTCTCTTAAAAGTATAATAATTTGGCATCTCCAATTGACTAAGCAGAAGCAACTCTGACTCTGTATACAGGCTTGTGGAAGTGGGGTATTACGGGTAGAGTGTAGCTACATACAACTGTGAGCTTTCATATAGCCTCATTGGATATTAACAAATACAAGGAGAACCGCGGTTAACTAGATCCATATGCCTAAGGTCAGTGGTATCAGTCTGTTAGGATCTCACCGAGTGTGATGTGAGCGGTGCAACCTAAACGTAAAGTGGATCTAATTAGCTTCTTAGTTCTCATAGACACTGGTGTTGAAGCAAACCCCCAAAGATGGATATGGTCTTAACATTACGAAAGCCAATGCTGTTAGCCTAAGTAGTATGAACGGAGTCACTGCTGTAAATCTCTCAGAAACTATGGTTCATGAATCAGGCCCCCTACATGAATGTCTTTTCGGTAAGATGACCTGCACTTAGATTCGTAAAGTTTTAAGACGTGTACTACTCACCTCCTCTGATAAGAAGGTGAATATAGTCAACGAAGCCTAATAATTGGTTGATCTCAAGGAGGTGGTGTTAACCGAATGCTCCTTGTCTTTGTGTTACTTAGGTGTATCCTGCTTGGCAAGGGAACTGATCCAGCAGGTTTGTGTTAGAATGTCTACAGATCGAAAGATTGATGTGGGACTTCAAGATGAGCTGAAAATTGAAGGTGAAACCTCAATTATTATCCCTATCACTCTGCATTTTCTCCTACATATTTCCCTGATGGGGAGTTCTGTTTGCTCGTAATGATGATTTGTAGCACTATAACTTTGATATTGTTTTCAAAGTATGTAGTTGTAGTACTTTTCATCTTTTAATATAATGACAGAATGAGTTCTGTTTTTGAACTTCCCCATTTCAGTGTGTAAAAATATTTAACCAATTAATACTCAAAATATTATTCTTGTTTAATGAATTAAGTTGTTACAGTAGAATTTTAAGTGATACCATAAATTAGCTAAAATATTTTCTAGAAATATCGATTCAACAGGCTTATTCTGATGTTATGGCGTCATTTCAAGGTCAACTATTGATGCCTTAATTAAAAAAAGCCACTGCTTTAGTGTAAATAATATCACATGATGTACAATTGATGTACAAGTTAATCAAGAATGCAGTGCTACAACACGATATATGTATATATATATGAAACTGAAGTGACTTTCAAGGTCACCCAGTCAACCAATTAAATTTCTCTATTTTTTCTAAATCACAGAAACCTTATTGGTTACTTCAGTACCTGTTCGGATAGATTTTAGAACCATTCAAGGACTGCAGTACGATATTTATCAATATATATATGTATGCCTGTCTGCCCACCCACTTGTCTGCCCTGTATGTTTGTAAATATGCTAACTATGTTGTGAGTGACCAATCAGAAAAACGTGATGAAATACATCACCATTCTGCGCAACCAATCAAGTATAAGTTAGGATGAAGTAAAAAAAATCAATACGTCATCTATTCAGCAGTTTCCAATTAACCAATCACTTTCATCTGAATGATATTATCTTGCTTTTTTAATGATAACAAAGTATGAATGAATGTTTTCTCCAGGATATCATGCATCAGGCGTGATCGTCGAATGGAAACCAAAATGGAAACAATGAGTTGGGTATCTGAGGATGGTATGGAGGAGATCATGTGACGAAGAAATGAAAGCTTGTGGGGAGTAGTGAAGCCAAGTTAAGTGGAATGTAAAGAAGAGAGTGAAATAGTGACGTGCTACTGAAGCTATGTGTTCCACTAGGAACTAAAGAGACAAATAATAATAGTAGGGATCTACGATACTTATCTCATCCTATTTGGGACTCGCTGGTCATTTGGGTTTACCTGCACCTGAGTGAGTGATGATGTTGTTCCCATAGGCTATAGATATCAAGCGCCCTTTACATAAGCTTTCCAAAGTGCATCGTTTTCCCTCCTGAATCCGCACCAGTCAATTGTTATTAAGTCAGTTTGTTTCCCGATACGGTGATCTATACAACTGATATAGGTCGTGTTAAATAACATTCATCACATCTGGTTTATAGAAGTTGAAACGGCTTTCAGTCGTTTATCCAGTTATTCGAGAATGAAATTGGGCCTGGCTTCTGATATTTTCTTTTCCCTGGGTTCCTATTGTAACATATGACTTCAGTAACACGCTTCTATTGCGCTCTTTTCTCTCCAGTCTTTTCAACCTGGCTCCACGACTGCCCACAACCTTTCATTCCTTCCTCACATGATCTCCTCCATGTCACCCTCGTCTCGAACGCCCAACTTGTCGTTTCTCCTTTGTGTTCCACTCGACGGACTGGCATGGCGCATGATGTTCCCAGCCGGCCTTCCCAGTGTATGCCAAATCCATCTCCACTCTATTCTTATTCACATTTGTTGGGATATAGATTCTTGGTTGGTTCGTACCCAGAATTCCTTTTTGCGGATTCTTTCTGGCCATTTGATCTTTAGTATCGAGTCAGCGTACGCAGCTGTTGATGAACATCTGCAGTTTGTTGGAAATGCTTTTCGTGACACGCCAAGTTTCTGAGCTATCACATAGAAGCACTGACTTCACATTGGTGTTGAAAATCCGGATGTTGTTCACGCTATGTGCTGAGTGTAGTGGATCTCCCACTGATTTCAGATTAGCGAAAGCCTGTATTGCTTTTCCGATCCTGACCGACTTCGACGTCCTCGCCTGTACGTGTACCCCATGTAGTTAAAACAATGCTGCCCTTCCTAGATAGGTGAAGGAGACATGTTCCTTCAGATTTAGCCCCTTAATGGTGATTGGTGCTTGTTCTTGATGCTGTTGTTGGTTGGTTGGGTATCTTCATCACCTTCGTCTTCGCTACATTCATATGAAGTCTCGTTTTCGTTGCCCTGCCTCTTCGGTCAACTTGTTATTTTTCGCCTGTACATCTTCGAGTTTGCGCAACATTAAACATAAATCATCTTTAGCGAAATCCAAATCTTCTAGGCTCTTTCCATCGGTCTAGCGTATGCGAAAAACTGTATGGCGGTGAATCTGTTGGGCATTCAGTTACTGAGTCGTATTTCAGTTGTCCAAAGTAACTTATTTTTGTCAGTTGACGACATAAGTGTGATTAGACATTTTCGACATCCGATTTTTATAATCCCACGCCCACCTCGTAACCTAAGATTTATTTGGTAACAAAATTTTCCATATCAACGGTATAGGAAGGTGTTGCGTTGTTCCTATTATATGTGTTAGCTGAGTGTTGATTCCATGAACAAAGATTCAGTAATCAATACCCCAACTCTCTCCACCTTATCATTATCGGACTTGATGACAATCGTTTCATCCCCACTATACTGGGTGTCGTTGTGTATTAATCTATCCATTATAATGACCGACTACTTTTCTACATTATCGATCTTATTGCGACCTGTTATTCCATATTTAGCTAACATTCCTATGTCCCCTTAATCTAACTGACTCCGATCGGATAGTTTCACCTATGTACTTGATCTGACTCACAGTGATTATGTAGAGTTTGATAGATAAGATTATGTTGTTGAATTCGTTCTATCGGATTGTTGAACCAGCCGAAAAAGCTTATCTCTGAGTGAATTTGTAGGTTCTTATCCCACCCCAACTAATTCTAGCTTTGTTGAGAGGATGTTACACAAAGTTTCTGATGTCCTTTCCTTATAGGGTAACACAATGGAGGCTGTGAACTCGTTTCTACTCATGTTGTCATTATTTGTACTCATGTTACTGGTAATATTTCGTTTCTTATATCTTCATACGAACGTCTAAGTAAACTGTGCAGGATAATTATTAAGTATTAGTGCTTTGTTTACATGTTTCAGTTTATTGTTTAGCTCATTGCACCGACTAGTTAGTTTTCTAACTGTATCATTTCGACATTTTGACTAGACCTGCCTTAACTGAATACCTGACGTTGAATGAGATAACTTAAAGTTTAGATCTGCTTTGGAATTTGTCAGTATCCTGAAGATGGTAGTGTCCAAACCACCGACATCTATCCTTCGTTTTATTCTCCAATCCAATATACCTATTTCTCCTTGTTCTTTTTTTTTGTGTTGTGAGTGAGTTGGACTACGTCTACTTACCAAGTTTATATGTGTGGAAAAACGATAGACATTTTCCAATTTTAAGACAATAAATGAGCCATTCATATATTCCCAGTATATCTTAGGTGTAAAGAAAATTTATAAATTAGTAGTTTACTAAAAAAAATTATTCAGTTATAAGAGTACTACTAATAATGACAAGACGAGTAGAAAGGAGTTCACAGCCTCCATTGTATTACCCTATAAGGAAAGGACATCAGAAACTTTGTGTAAGATCCCCTCAACAAAGCTAGAATTAGTTGGGGTGGGATAAGAACCTACAAACTCACTCAGAGATAAGCTTTTTCGGCTGGTTCAACAATCCGATAGAACAAATTCAACAACATAATCTTATCTATCAAATTCCACATAATCACTGTGAGTCAGATCAAGTACATAGGTGAAACTATCCGATTGGAGTCAGTTAGATTAAGGGGACATAGGAATGTTAGTTAAATATGGAATGATAGGTCGTAATAAGATCGATAATGTAGAAAAGTAGTCAGTCATTATAATGGATAGATTAATACACAACGACACCCAGTATAGTGGGGATGAAACGATTGTCATCAAGTCCGATAATGATAAGGTGGAGAGAGTTGGGGTATTGATTACTGAATCTTTGTTCATGGAATCAACACTCAGCTAACACATGTAATAGGAACAACGCAATACCTACTCCGCATATGTGGAAGATTTTGCTGGAAAATAAATCAAAGGATATGAGGTGGGTGACAGCACTATGCAAGGTAGATGACGAAAGTCAGTTGATGAGGTTATGAACCTTTATCGACTAAGATGATTCGGACACGTGTTACCTATGCGTAGTCACCATCCGCCTTGACCTAAGTAGGTCCAGGCTGGATAAAGCCCAGAGTTGACCCGACTAAAACATGACATCAATGCATGAAGTCTCTGAATATTGGGTTGAGCCATGTGGGGTTATGCAGACTAAACGGTTGAGGTCCGTGGGACAAGGCGAACCAGTGGTTGGAGACTCTTGGAGATGATATGGCTGAGAACCAATGTCAGTAGTGCAGATGTATCTTCACGTACACATTATCCTCATCTTAACGACGTTATACCGAATCTCACCATCTCATTTTTCTTTCTCCCTTTTAGTACTTTACATCTCATCTGACTAAATTTTCTTTTCTGCTTCCTCTTCCACTTTACTGTTATCATTATTATTATTATTTGTCCCTTATGTTCCTAGTGGAACATATCGCTTCAGTAGAACGTCTCCGTTCCAATCTGTTCTCTGCAATCTTTTGAACTTGGCTCCACGACACACCACAAGCTCTCATTTCTTCCTCACACCATCTCCTCCATGTCACCCTCACTTCCAACGCCCTACTCGTCGTTTCCCACTTTGGCTTCCACTCGACGATCTGGTCCGACGCGTGATGTCCCCAATCGGCCTTCTTAGTGTATGACCAATCCATCTCCACTTCCTTTTGTATAGTTGTTGGATAATAGGTTCTTGGTTGATTCGTTACCAGCCAACCAGAGTTTACTCCTTGCTTATTGTTTCTGGACATCCGAGGTTCAGTAATGAGCCAACGTAGGCAGTTGTTTGTGAATATCTCTACTTTGTTGGAAGTGCCTTTCGTAACGCGCCAAGTCTCTGAACCATATCGAAGCACTGACTTGACATTAGTGTTGAAAATCCGGATCTTGTTCCACATGCTGAGTGTAGAAGACCTCCACACTGATTTTAGGTTAATGAACACCTGTCTTGCTGTCTTTCCGATCCTGGCTGATTTTGACATCCTCATCTGTACTTGCACGACCTCTAGTTGAAACGATGCTGCCTGGGTAGGTGAAAGAGGCTACTTCCTTTGAGTTCCTCCCGTTGATGGTGATTGCAGCTTGTTGGTGGTGGTGGTGGCGTTGGTTGCGTATCATCATCATCATCTCTGTCTTCTCTACATTCACTTGAAGTCCCGTCTTCGCTGCCCTGCGTCTTTTGCCAACTTGTTAGTTTTTGCCTGTAGATCTTCGAGTTTGTGCCACATTAGACAAGTCATCGGCGAAATCCAAATCTTCTAGGATCTTTTCCCTGGTCCAGAGTATCCCCCTCTTCTCACTCCTCACTGTTTGTTGTATGATCCAGTCCATTACAATCAGGAAGATCATGGGTGATAGTAGACAGCTTTGTCTTACTCCTGCCTTCACTTCAAAGGCGTCACTGAGCTTCCCATTGTGAATTACTTGGCATGTGGCGTCTTCATATAGTTGTTGAATGAGGTTGATAAAAGTTTGTGGTAGTTGCCTGGCGAATTACTTCTCGGTCGACGCTATCGAAGGTCTTTTCAAGGTCGATGAAGTTGAGGTACAGGTACAGGTACAGTTGACTGCCATTCTATACTCTGTTCTATGATGATGCGAAGCGTTGCAATTTGGTCCGCACATGATTTGTACTTCCTGAATTTAGCCTGTTCCGATCGTAGTTTTGAATCCAGTGCATCCTTTAGTCTCTCCATGATGATGCGGCCTAATATTTTGCTTGGGATGGACAGCAGTATGATTCCACGCCAGTTCTTGCAAAGACTTAGGTCACCCCTTCTTCAGGAGTTGGACTACTTATCCTTATTCAATTGATGTACCGATATATAAGGTGAGAAGTGGCGGCAATTTGGACCGTTACACAGTAATCTCTAGTCCTATGTTGACTTGGATAATGATGAGATGTTGAAAGTTGTCTGTGATTACATTCTATGTGATTACGACCAATGATAATTTATGCTGGAAATGCCATCCGTTAGCTAATACTGTACGACTGTACCCAAGCTTTAGACTTATATTACTTCAGTTTCTTTTTTTGTTTGTCTGTTTTCATTACAACGTTTTACTGGATTCCTTTCATTACTGAGGATTTCATAATTAAGCCAATTCGCTTTGTTTTCATTGTGTTGTAGAAAATTCGATCAGTATGGAAGAAGATCGATTTAACCAATCCACAAACACTTCATGCTCAACAAGTAAGCTAATTAATTAGAAGGTTGATCAAGGATTTATTGATTGATTTCTGATTATAGTAATTCATCAACACGAGTTGACATCAGTTAGAGAACTATTGAACACCGAAGAGAATTGGGCAGGTGTTCCGTTTTACTAGGGGACTCTGTGACCCCTCCCTCTATGAATCGAATCCCCGATCTTTAGGTTCGGTGTGCGGCATTTAACCATTAAGCCACTGGCTCGAAAGTCATAAGTGATCGGGCCAAGCAAATCAAACATGAAGACAGTTAATCAAAGCTGATATATTGAATGGAGGTCGGCTTATATGATGGAACTGACGAAACAGCTATCCAGTTCTCTTGTTTTCAATGGATCATCAACTGATGTCAATCTATGGTGATGAATACCTCATGGAGATCGGAAAACAAGCAAATGTAGTGTGTTTGTCTAAGGATTCAACTTTTAACCGCTGAGTCGTAGGTTCTGACCATAACTCACCTACAAAGGTTTTATAAGCCGAGTGGTATCATTCAATGTTAACTGAAAAAACTTAGACTTCCCAAGGGAACTATATTAATATCACAGTTTTTCAGTTATTAACCTACGACCAGGTAATATCTCCTCCAGAATTACTGAATTCCAAGGAACTCAGCTGTTGTGACCTAGCTAAGGACTTTATCAATTTTCAGGTAATTGTTTTCAATATTGATTTCATTGTGTTGTGAACTATTGAGTTCCAAGTTATCATTTATATAACACAGTTCTTTGCCAAGAGACGTAGGGTTTCGTTAGCTACATTCCTGAACACATTCATGACTGCAAAATACATGTATCATCTTGACACATTCGTTCGATAGACGATGTTGTGGATGGCATATAAGATTGTAATTTGTTTGTAACTATCTAAAGCGTAAGGCTGACAAGCTGTTGTAATGAGCATATCCGATACGATCGAAAATTCCTGCATTTCGTCTTGTAGACAATTATTCATTTCCTCATCATCAGACAATGAAATAGCTAATTCAGGTAAGTATTAAACATTCTATGATTACTGGTAGGAATTGATTGCGGCCGTTAGTAGGAAACAGGAGTTAGTGCTGTTTAAGTATAAGTAAGTAAAGAAACCTGACGGACAATCATCAGTCATCTGTTTATTAGGCTAAACCCTTACCAACCTCATTCCACAGCTATATGACGACGCTACATGCCAAGTGATTGACAATGGAAAGCCAGTGACACCTTTGAAGTGAAGACAAGTTGACAAGTTAGACAAGGTTACCGCCTACAATCACCGATAATCTTCCTGATTGTAGTCGACGACATCATGCAAGAAACTGTGAGGAGCAAGAAGACGGGCATATGCTGGCTCGAGCGATTAAAACACCCTACACAATTTGGATTTCGCCGACGATGATTTTTGTCTACTGTCTTATGTCGCACAAACTAGAAGATCTACAGGCGAAAACTAACAAGTTGACAGAAGAGACAACGAAGATAGGACTTCCTTCAGGCAGTATCGTTTGAACTACAAGCGATGCAGGCACATATGACGGTGTGGAAGCCAACCAGGATCGGGAAGACACCAAGACAGACCTTCGTACATTAATCTGAAATCAGTGTGGAGATCTACTGCACTCACCAGATAGAACAAAATCCAGATTTTCAACACTACGTCAGTCAAGTCATTCAGTGCTTCTATGTGAGTGTTGAGACTTGGCGCATTAAAAAAGCATTTCCAAAAAACTACTGGCATATGTGAACAGCTGCCGCCTACGCTCTCTCTGGATACTGAAGATGGAGATGAGATGGTCAGAATAATAAGAATAAGCAAGGGGGAACTCTGGCCTGGCAACGAACCAACCAAGAACCTATCACCCTACGAATATGCAGAAGAAGGAACTGGAGATCACGCGTCAGGCCTGATCGTACAATGGAAGTCAAAGGGGAAACGATGAGTTAGGCATACGAGGCAAGGATGACATGGAAAAGATAGTGTGTATGAGGAAGAAATGAAAGCAGCTTTGTGAGCAGTGATGGAGTCAAGTTAAGTGGAATGCAGAGTGAGATGGCGATTTCATTATACTAATAAAATTGGTCAATACTTACAGATTCATAGAATTGAACTTTTACTAGATTCATAAAAGTGTTTAAAAGGTGATAATTATGTATAAAAGTGGATTTAAGATGAAGAAAACCATCAGTAAATGGTAACTATAGTAAAAACGTCAAGGTTATTGAAAATTTTATTCATTACCAAAAATGTTTCTGAAGTGAACATGAAAATTATAAAGTTTCCTAAGTGTTCTACCTGAATTACTCAAAACACCCGTAGTTTAAGAATATTTACAATAAACAGTTAGACATACATATATATTTTTGAGATGAATGGGGATTTCTTTTTCAATTTAGAAGTAGTATTCATCATAGACTGACACCAGTTAGGGAACCATTGAAGATCTAGGAGCACTGAACAGCTGTTTCATCCTAGTATGCGACTCCTCAGCAGCAGGCATACACAACCCGCCTAGGGATCTAACTTAGGACACCTTCAGGTTTCATAGCGAACGCGTTAACCATTCAGCCACTGAGTCACTGGTTAACGCGTTCGCCGTGAAACCTGAAGGTGTCCTGAGTTCGATCCCTAGGCGGGTTGTGTATGCCTGCTGCTGAGGAGTCCTATACTAGGACAAAACGGCTGTCCAGTGCTCCTAGATCTTCAATGGTTCCCCAACTGATATCAGTCCATGATGAATACTATATATATATATATATATATATATATATATATATATATATATATATATATATATATATATATATATATATATATATATATATATATATATATATATATAATGATGGATATATTGTTCATGTGTTCTTACCGGTTGTGTTTGTATACAAGAAATCCATGAAATGGATTCACGTTAGGCAAACGAACACTGTCCTATATATTTCAAGGATTCTTTAAGTGTAACAGCACAGTAGAAAACATCAAGTTTCTTTCTACAAGTTATCACTACGTTTTTTTTTTCAATTATATTTTAGAAATTCGTGGAACGATTTACTGCCAGTGTAAGTTGTTCATCTTCTCTACTTATTTCTATTCAATAATCATAGTTTATAACAATCAGTCCCTTTTATCAATTTCGATAGTGTAATTAGAAGATAAAGTTTATCTGAACACTGTGTGTGTGTGTGGTGTGTACTTGCACAATACACATTTCCAACAGTCTGATCACACATTTACTTGTCTCAGATCAATTTATATTAAACCAAGGACTGAAGGGGAAGGGGGGACAAATACAACAATTAAGATAAGCAGGAGGATTAAAATTAAGAAAGATGAGAACAACTAGGAAGAAGAGTGACATACTTGATCTTAATCTTGATAAGAAGGTAAAGTTTACTAAGCAAGGTAGATGTAGTGTACACAAACAAATTGTTTCTATACACACACCAAGGTGATTTCAACTTATCCACGCCTATTGCTTCCTCAAATCTCAGAATACATCTCTAACTGCTTTTATATGAAACTTTGAAGTCTGTCTGAATATCGATTTTGTGGCCTGTTTCTATGATATGTTTAGGTATAGATGAAGAGGGTCGTCTCCCACCAGCGTTTATCACGGCTTCACATTCTCTTTGTTTTTGAAGCCATTTAGGTAGATATTCTCCCACCGTCAACTGCATGACCAGATTACTGTACCCTATGTATGTGTGAACACACACAAACACATACATACATAAATGTATTGACTTGCCGTACACTTGAGTTCCCTATTGGCATCCACATAGACGTCAAGGTATAATACACATCAGTTGAGCTACAACTGGCTATGGTTACTATGTCACTGCTTCTCAGTGATGATGCAAAGCTGTTCTAGTATACAAGTCTAATGGAATTCATTCACATTTGTCTGACAACATACTTCCGCTCCACTGGTAAACTATGCAAACAGAGGAATAGGACTCCAATGCGATGAGTAATGCAGAGATCAGAAGCCATCAATTTACCAATGATCAAACCATAAATCTGCATCAACTACATGAACGATACTTTTGTTATAATTGAAACGGATGAGTAAGAAAACATAGTGACTGATTAATCAACAACGTTTTCAACGATGAAGAAGGAGTTGAACAACCAATCAACTGCTATTCTTGGGTGTTTAAGTCAGTAGAATCAATCCTGGAAACACTAATCGAATTCTCAACTACAGTAACAAGAACCCACAAATTTAGTTGCGTACAGACTCTATTCAAAAGAGTCAGAACACACATGAGTAAAACAAATTAGCGTAGAAACGTAGAAAATTACTCGATGTCTATCCTAAAGAAGAACCGTCACCCATGAAAATTCATTAGAAGATGTTCATTCTGTTCATCATCAACTAAAAGGTCAAGTCATCTACACAAATCAGCAAACAGATTAGAGATGATGACAAGACTATTGAGACCACTTGGAATTGATATACTCCCCACAAAACAATAAGTTCCCTTCAAACCGTAATATTATGCAGATCAAATGATGTAACAACTTAACAAAACAAACCGAATATCATTTACACAAGCAACAGGAATTATGGTGATGAACACTATATTCATTGGACAGAGTGGTCGCCTTATTCACCTTCATTTATATGAACATCAGTTGGTTATTTGATATCACGACATCTCGTTGCTCATCGGTCAATCCACTTGAACAAGTACGAAAATGAGTTCAATTTTGAAAGTGTGTGTAGAGAGAGATATTGGATAGAGGCTTGGCATTCAGATCAGTCAGCAATTACCATATGTAGAGAGATATGGAACGAAATTGTCATGCGAGAAGAGAAATGACGAATGTTTGTGAGTTCAAAGATCTGGGAGTGAAATAGCCAATAGGAAAATGTATGCAGTCAGTCAGGTAGTCAGTGACGCAGTATTGAGAGGAATCAACCAATCAGAGATGGGTTGGTCAGTGTAAGCCAGTGAATCACTGACGGAAAGATAATCACATCTCCGAATTCATATTGAAGAAGTAATTGATGATGATGATGTTGTACAGGAAGATTATGTAGATTTCTTGATGTAGCCATTCAATACAATCAAGATCATCCACCTGAGTTATAAATATTCGCCAAACACCTTTCTGGCACTAAGGTTCCTAGGAGTTGTTTCCCAACAGTGAATGATAGACAGCACACATCTTCTAAACCTAGAAGTATGTCAGAACGAGAATGGTAACATAATAAATATTCAGACAGTATCGAAGCGTTCGTAAACGAAACCATCTGGTAACACAGTGGTCGAGAAATTCTACTCAGTTTAGCAATGGAGAATTGCTCGGACGAATGGGAATGACCAAATATTAATCAAGTTTGTCACAAGTGTATTTTGTTGGTTCATGACACTTTTGTTGGCACTCAGCATGAAGAACAAGATCCGGATTTAAAACACCAATTCAGTCAAGTCAGTGCTGCTATATGGTTCAGAAGTTTGGCGCGTCACGAAATGCTCTTCCAACAAACTACAGACATTCATCGACACCTTCCACCTACGCTGACTCGACATTGAAGATCAGATAGCCAGAATAATAAGAATAAGCAAGGAGGAACTCTGGGGACGAACCAACCAACAACCTATTACCCAACACATGTGTATAAGAAGAAAGTGGAGATACACTGGGCATACACTGAGAAGGCCGACTGGGGACGTAACGCGTCAGGCCAGACGATCGAGGGGAATCCAAAGGGGAAACAACGAGTTGGTCGTCCGAAGCGAGAGTGACATACAGGAGATTGTGTGAGGAAGAAATGAAAGCTTGTGGGTAGTCGTGTAGCCAGGTTAAGGAGATTACAGAGGAGAGAGTGCAATGAGAGATTTGTAACTGAAGTCATATTTTCCACTAGGAACGCACAAGGGACAAATAATAAAATGGTGATAATGATACTTTTGTATCAGAGATGAGATTTTATGATTTTGGATAGGCGGTTTCTGTTATGTGTTGTAAACCTGTTGATATGGTCATTGTCACTGATATTAGCCTCAGTTGATTTTGTCCAGCATTATCACAATGGGCTATGCATATTTATACGTATCTTACTACCACTAACGCTGCATAACATCATTTAGCTGAGAGGGAACATAAATGTATTCCACTATCCCAAGATGAATAATAATGGAATCGATAAAATACCAATTTATTTAATATACAACCAGTGATTGAGAACAACAAATTCCAGGAAACAAGTGAACACCTTCCAATGAATTTATTCTCAAGCTGAACATTCATATATATACACATATACAATATCTCAAGACTGTAATCTGTGAGCAAGATTTAACTTAGCTAGTGAGAGGTTGGAATAACAATAACAATGTTTATGATCATCATCATCATCATCATCATCACCGTCATCCATCAACGCAGGACCAGGCATTACTGTGTAACGGTCTATTTCGTCGCCACACGTCACCTCATATCATCAAGTAAACAATGATAAGCAGTGAAGTGGAAGATGAAGAAGCGAAGAAAATTCAGTCAAAAGAAACATTAACATCTCATGTTTCCTCGATGTTTTCAACTTCTGAAAAAAACAGAGGCATTGGCTATCCATGAACTGAAGCCTGACATTTGTATATAATAGAAGTATGTACGATCTTTGTCTCTACCTTAACTTACTACTTTAGACTTGGTGTGCTTCATTCCCTTTTTGTTTTTTCAACCTCTCCTTCACCCGGCTTTTGTCAGATTAGTATTTGTACTCTTGTATTGCCAGTGCTATTATTATTATTATTATTACATCTTATACTTTCCTATGTTGCTTCCTTCAATAATCCCAATAATTACGACATCGTCCTCATGACCACCAGATTTGCCTCACCGATGACGAGTTCTCATTGAAACATGAGGAATCACCTTTCGAAGCTAGTCATAAATGAACACTGACAAGTTCATCAGCGCACACTGCTGAAGAATTCCATACTGGGACGAAACAGTTTGTGTTCAGCGCTCCAAGATTTCTCCAACTGATTTCAGTCTACGATGGATAACAACTTTGAAATTGCTACTTTGACTAAAATATTTTCATTTTATCGCAAATAACGTTGACTCTGACAACATGCAGAGTTTTCTGAACACTGAGTGACAAGTTGTGAATGTTTGGGATGCATTTCTCACCACCCAAATGCAAATTGTTGCTACACAACTGGTCTCCAACGGTGCCCCACCATCGCTAACAATAGACAGTCAGTCAGTCAGTGTTGTGCAGTGCTCGAGTGTGTCGACTACTTACTTCACTTACCTGGGAAGTAAGTAGGATCAGTCGTGACCTAGTGACTCAGTGACCGATGAAAGTTCTGCACGAATACAAAAGACTTCGTTGGCTTTTGCCGACTCATGCCACCTGTGGCGCCGCCACCTTGGTATCCGATTGTCTATTAAGGGTTGAGTATACTGTACAGCAGTCCTCTCTGTTCCACTGTATACCTATAAAACATGACCATTCAAGGTGGAAGATATGAGAAAGCTGGCTTCAGGTCTTTCACCACCACCGCCTTCGTAGTATAGGCCGTATTCCGTGGTGTCACCACACCACACCACGTGAGTAACGCAGAAGTCAAGTGTTGAGTTTAAGGGAGGTAGAAGAGGTAAGTCAGTTGACACGGTTATGAACCTTGATCGACTAAGATGGCTGGGACACGTGCTGCGTATGACTAGTCGCCGATTGCTTCGTTACGCAATGTTGGTTGAAGTAGGTTCACGGTGGAAAAATGCTCGGCTGGCCGGGCTCAACACTTGTCATCAGTGGATGAAGTAGCTGACTGTTGGTTTGAGCCAAGTTGGTGGTGATGCAGACTAGCCAGCCAGTTGGTGTCCCCGGGGCAAGAAAAACAAGTAGTTGGAGACTGACTATAGGCGATATGGCTCAGAATCGATGTCAGTGACGCAGATTATCCTCATCTTAACGCTATGCTGACTTTCACCATTTTCTCATTCTTCCTTTCTCTCCTTTGACTTAATTTTCTCATTTTCATCGCTCACCTCACTTCCTTTTTATTTGATGTACTGATAATGAGCTGTGGCAACTCGGCGAGGGTTACGCAGTAATGCCTGGTACCGTGTTGATGTTGATGACTAAGAAATCATCACCTACAGGACTAACCCAGTGGACATTAGGACAAATACTCAACGATATCATTAGATGATTGTCATGCTATATAGCGAACTGACAGAAGTTGGAAATATGGACGATTGAATCCTTCCGATGTAAATGGCAAGCTCAATTGTAACGTACTGTTCATGGAAGTTGAAAGTTCTGGGTTTGACACGTGGATAGTGGGGGTCACTGGTGTGCAGTGCTAAGGAACCCCATACTAGGAAGAAATAGATGTTGTCTAGTGCTCCCATGGTACCAATGTTCTTCCAACTGATGTCGATCCATGATGTGCATGTATGCTGAGTTATAATGCTTGGCTAATTGATTCACTCAACATGTAACTAACTGATTGAATGAATAAATGGCAAGAAAAGTAAGCGAACACCTAACCAAGTGACTGAATTTTTTTCTTATTCAACAACAATCCATATCCAAGTTGTTTTGATAAAGTTTAAAGGAAAAGTATAATATGACCTTGAAATAACTAGAAATAATGGGGAAAAAAAGAAATTTTTTTTTTCAATATCATATGTCCATCAATAGTTTAATTGATTCATGGAACTATTAGGATTTCACAAAACTGTTACGTAGTATGGTCGTTAACATTGTACAGATGTCGATTGTCAGTCACCAACGTTCAATAATTCATTTTATTTAGTTGATTCCTGACTCGACTAATTCATGAAGAAGACACAATGGACGTGTAGTAACGGGTTCAAAGACTGAAGGTATGAACAAAGGAAAATATCTCTAATATATATATATATATATATATATATATATATATATATATATATATATATATATATATATATATATATATATATAGATATATATATATATATATATATATATACAGTTTGCTGCTTAAAATAATCCTATTGGCTAATCCACCGTCTATCTGTCTGTCTATCTAATTAACTATAGACGTGATAACATAAAGTACATTCTGATTGGTCGCTTTTCAGACTAGTCTTTTCTGTCTATCCTTATATTAACAAGGTCATGAAAAAAGGTCAATAAAGTCACAAGGTGATGATATAACTGGAAGGTCAACAAAGGGTTATCGAAGGTTGTTTCTTTATGGGATCAAAAAATATATATATATAAATGAATAATGAATATATCAGGGAGATTATGTTTAAGATTGTATTAGAGGTTGGATGTATGTCTTTTGACTGTTGATGAATTGCCAAAGGTAGTAGTGTGTTCAGATGGTGAATCTACACTCCATTCAGAAAGATTCTGATGGAATAGAGTGGACGGAGTTAGCCATCCATCATGCATCTAAATCAACATAGGACCAGGTATTACAGTATAACACCCCGAGTTGTCACACCGCTACATCAAGTAAAAAAAACCAGTGAAATGGAAGATGAAGATGAGGAAATTCAGTCTCAAGAAATATAAAGCACTCAACGAGAGAAAGGGAAGAATGAGAAAATGGTGAGATTCGGCATAGCATCATTAAGATAATGTGTGCGTGGGGATACATCTGCGCCACTGACATCGATTCTCAACCATGATACATCACCTACAGTCAGTCTCCAACCACCACTGGTTTCTCTTGTCCCGCCGATCCCAACCACCCAGTCTGCATCGCAGCCCATACACGGCTCAAACCAATAGTCAGCCACTTCATACATTTATTCCTTGCTTTACTCCGGCCGACAGACAAGATTCCTTTTCCAGGCTAAACCTATTTCGGTCAACACTGTATAGTGAGGCGCCTAGGCATGCGTAACACATGTCCCAGCCACACAAACAACCAGCCAGCCATCTCAGTCCATCAAGGTTCACAACTGCGTCAACTGACTTACCTCTTCTCCCTCCCTAAAATCCTACGCCTGACTTCTGCATTACTCACGTGATGTGGTGACACCATGAAATACGGTGTATACTACGAAGGCGGCGGTGGTTAAACACCTGAAGCCTTCTCATGTTTATCTTTTCAACTGATGAATTGTCAAGGGTAGTGGTGTGTTCAGATGGTGAGTCTACACTCTATTCAGGAAGATTCTGATAGAATAGAGTGAACGGAGTTAGCCATCCATCATGCATCTAAATCAACATAGGACCAGGTATTAGTAGGTAACGGTCCGAGTAGCCACAGCTCATATCACCACATCAAGTAAACAGTCAGTGAAGTGGAAGGAAAGAAAATTCAGAAATATGATATGCTTTTTTGCCTTGAAAAGTCCATTTCCACTTTTTTTTTCTCTCTTTTATTATTCACTCGATTAGAAACGGAGAGTTGAAAACGTCTTAACAATGTTCTAGAGTACTTGATCCGTTCAAAGGACATACTGAAATGGCTACTTCATATTATTGCCTTGAACGAAGCATATCTAGGAGCACTGGATAGCTAGCTGTTTCGCCCTAGTATGGGACTCCTCAGCAGTGCGCGCCCGCGAAAAGAATCCCACAATGTCATAAGCATTGTTCGAAATAAAGAGATTATTATTATGATTATTTATTCATTCACTTGCTTGTTTAGTAGTTATTCATTTAATTAACCAATCATTCACTTATTTATCTATTCAATGATTCATTTGTTGGTTTATTCATTTATTTCTTGAGTCATTCACTTATCTATTCATCCACTCATTGATTCATTCAATTATTCATTGATTTATTAAAATTATTTATTTAACCATTCCTTCATTTATGATTTCATTCATCTACTTCACTCACTCAGTCATTTATTTATTTGAATTTTGAGTGAGTTGTGGAGATTCGGGAACATTTCAAGTTGTTATTCATCGTAGACTAACTGGCATCAGTTGGAGGAACAAACAAAACTTGGGAAGCGGGGGCAAAGCCCGATGGTCATGAGGACAGTTAGTCAACGATGACATTGGGTGGTGGTGAGCTAACTGAAGTTGGAAATGTGGACCATTAGATTCCGCTGACCCAGTGGCTAGCTGAATGATAACATGCTGGCCACAGAAGCTGAAGATCGTGGGTGAGCACTGCTGAGAAGTCCCATACTAGTCAGACGAAAAAGGTGTCCAGTGTTCCCAGATTTACTTTGTTCCTCCAAATGACGTCAGTCTATGATGAATAACAACTTAAAATATTTTTAAATCCCTACAACTCCCTCTAAACAGAATTATTTATGTTGAAGACAACCTAGCCTGGTTAACTAGTTCACTAGGCCATCTCAAGCCCGGATAAGCAGGGAAAGTCCTGTATACGGCTAACTACCCTCCCCTAAAAACCTGTAGTTCCTGAGTTCGATCCCTTGCCGGATCGTGCGTGCATAGTGCTGAGGAGCTCCACACCAGGACGAAACAGCTGTCCAGTGCTCTCAGACTTCCTTTGTTCCACCAACTGACGTCAGTTAGTCTACGATGAATAACAACTTGAAATATTCCCGGATCCCCACAACTCCCTCAAAATTCAAATAAATAAATGACTGAGTGAGTGAAGTAGATGAATGAAAGAATAAGTGAATAACTACTAAACAAATGAGTAAATGACTAAATAATAACAATCTCTTTATTTCAAACAATGCATAAGACACCGTCGTTGATTGGCAGTGTAGTGGGTAACGCGCTGGCGTTTGAAGCGATCGCTCCCGTGTCCAAATCCCGGTAGGAACAACATCACTCACTGGGAAGCAGGTACATCCAGCTGACCAGTGAGTCCCGAATAAGAGGAAATGTACATTCTGGATTCCACTGCTACCCACGATCCATTATTAATACATATGACAGTATGAAGAATCAACAGAAGTATAATCAGAAGTTCACCTGATGGAGATGGTTCATTCAGACGATACAATAATCTTCAATTCAAGCTAAGATGATGATGATGTAGATTTGTCCATTGAAAAATCTATTTCGTCTCGATTAGAAATGTAGAGTTGAAAACAGTTTAAAAATGCATCCAAAGTATATGATAACATTCAAAGGATGTATTGAAAGGAAAGATCATCATCATTATCAACATAGGACCAGGTATTACTGCGTAACCCTCGCCGACTTGCCACACCTCACGTCAGTTCATCAAGTAGAAAGGTAGTGAGGCATAGGATGAAGATAAGTGAATGCAGTCAAAAGAAATATAAAGTACGAGAAGAAAGGAAAGAGGAGTGACAAAATAGTGAGATTCGGTATAGCATCCTTAAGATGAGGATAATGTGTGTATACATCTGCACCACTTACATCGGTTCTCAGCCATATCATCTAGGGTCTCCAACCAATGGTTCCTCTTATCCCGTGGACCCCAACCACCTAGTCTGCATCGTCCTACATGGCTTAAACCAACAGTCAGAGACTTCATACATTGGTACCATGTTTTAGTCTGGCCACCTCGGGCCTTTTTCCACCCTGGACCCACCTCAGCCAACATTGTGTGACGAGGCAATCAGTGACGACTAGGCATACGTAGTACGTGTCACAACCTCGTCGACTGACTTACCTCTTCTCCGCAAAACTCTACACCTAACTTCTACATTAGGAAAGGAAAGAATTCAATGAAAAATGTTCCATAGATAAATTTACTAGCCCAAGTGAATCAATAATAGACTTTTTTCTTTTCTTCTTTTTCAGTTAGAAACAAGAATAAATCAATTACAAAAGGATGGAACGTTAAGTATCGATATCTTGAAGTATTTAAAACAAATCCACTTTGAAGCACAACAACAAATACAATTTATTCATAATCATTTACAAATAACAAACAGAAACACTTATAAATCATTATCAATTAATAGTAATGGGATTGGTCTACCTCCTCCACCTTTACCAGTTTTTACTACAGGTTATCATATGAAAACATATTCCCCTATTATAGGTGGTGGTGGTGGTGGTGGCGGCGGTGACAACAAAAGATCCTATTCAATAGGTGTAATGAATAATCCTCAAAGTAAATCATGTAATTTATTTATTCGTCATCATAAACATCTCATTGATACTACTAACAGTCTATCTATCATTAAATTGCCTAAAATTAATGATACTAACACACCTGAAAACTGATCAGATCTGTTCAATATTCAGTATAAACATATCACAATTGAAAATTGAATCAATGTTCAACTTATATTACTAGAGTGTAAATTGTTTTATTTCTGCTTTCAAGGTTGGGATTATATATATATATTGCTCGATTAATTTGTGACTTGTCAGATAGACAATATCCACATAGAACTTTGGGTACACTTCATAGTTGAATATAAAGAATTGGTGGATAGAAAAAGAGATGGATATGAGAGAATAAATAATCCCCCCCCCCCAAACTAGTCCAACTTCGTCAAGTATGACATGTAGAGATGGACAGCGGGTGGCTGTCGATGAAGGTTCACATTGTACAGTAAGTTCAGCTCATTGCCGACTAAGCGAACGTGCATAACTGACTGATAGTTACCTTAACTGATCCTCTGCGCCTTACTTATATCAACACAGGACCTTTACTTTTTACAGAGACAATTGGCACACTAAAGTCGTATGGAATTGAGTAATAACGTCTGTGTTACCCTTAGATGCCCACGGTTACATGTGCGCTAGATATCACAGTGTCAGCAAGTCTGGGGAACCTCACGCGAAATGATTGGGCAAACTATTGCATCACCCTCGTGACTAGGATCATAGCTTACAATTATTTCTCGTGAACAAGGAATTCCTGGTAATCGAAGGGCATAAGTTTGCTCTGATTACGTCTCTGTCCTTTGTTCACACCGTCCGCCCCCACTACAGACTGAGTGGTTTAGTAAAGTCGTTGAAGTGGCTCTGACGCTCAACTGATGATTAGAAGACGACCTAATTTAACTATTGAGACGAAGGTAAAAGTAGTAACAAGGATTCCGTAAGTGGACTTGCGTAGGCATCACTACTAGATATCCTGAATACATAAACGAACCAAGCTGAAATGATTGGCGTGTGCGAAATGTGCAAACTGCAAGTTCAATCTCATGCTGATGGTATATAAATACGGTGTGCTGAAACATGCCGTAGAATCCCTATCATTATATTATTTGTCCCTTGGGTTCCTAGTCAAACCTAGGGCTTCAGTAGCACCTCTCCAGTGAACTGTTATCTGAAATCTTTTCAACCTGGCTCCACGACAGCCCACTAGCTCTTATTCTTCATCTCACGATCTCCTCCATATCATCCTCGCCTCGGACACCCAACTCGTCGCTTTACATCTGGGTTCCACTCGAGGGTTTGGCGCGTGATGTCCCCGAATGGTCAACTCAGTGTATACCAATTCAATCCATCTCCACTTCCTTCCAGTGCATATTTGTTCAGCGATAGGTTCTTGCCTCGTTGCCAGAGTGAGTTCCTTGTTGCTTATTCTCATTATTTTGGCTATCTGATCTTCAGTAACGAGCGCAGGCAGTCGTTGATGTATGTCTGTAGTTTGTTGGAAATGCATTTCGTAAAGCGCCAAGTCTCTGAGGCATGCAGAAGCACTGACTTGACATTGGTGTTGAAAATTCCGATCTTTTCCCGGGTTCAACGTACCCCACTCTTCTCGCTCCTCAGTGTTTATTGCATGATCCAGTCCACTACAATCAGGAAGATCATGGGTGACAGTAGACAGCCTTGTCATACTCCTGTCTTCACTTCAAAAGCATCCCTGAGCTCCTCATTGTGAATTACCTGGCATGTGAGTAAAATCCTTACGCCAAAAAGGAAATTCGATCCTAACCTCGTTAGGTGGAGCATGGTTCGAACTATTTCCAGGCAAGCCCCCACCTAAGCAACACTGGTCTTGTATAGATTTCCATTTTGTTGCCAATGAAATCGCAGGGAAGGAATTACAAAAACTCTAACCATCTTGAATGAAATACTAACAGACAAGAAATAGGGACCAGCACTACATAGGTCAAACATGAGTATAATTCCACCTCATCGTTCAAAAGCTATTCCAACCTCTACCAGAAATTGTAAACGTCCAGTTCATAGAAGAAGTTGACCACTGACGAGGATATTTCAAATTTAATCCCAGAGTGTTCAGATAACCGAAACAAGATTACTTCTGAATGTTGCGCTACCTAAGTCACAGCTTCTTCAGCAGAATGTATATCTTATTGAAATCTTTGTATATAACTATTCACAGAAAGTTCTTTCATGCATAGAAAACGAGTTTCCGCAAGTTTGTTTATCGTATCGTACCTTCGTTTTTATTGATTTTTTAATCTTTTGTTTGTGCTTTAAAGTTTCTTTAGCGGTTAAACTGATTTTACGCGGTAGGGTTACTAGCCCTACACCCAACCTGCCCTCTTTACCCAGGCTTAAGACCGGCTAGTGAACTGGTTAATCAGGCAAGGTAAAAGTTCGTTGTGGTGTACCCTGAAAACCCTTAGATATACTACACAATTTAGAACATTTTGAGCATCAGTTGGATGCATACATTGTAATAACCTCAATTGGAACAGTAACCAATTCTTTTACTCTACAGTTAATCATCAATAAACGTTTAAAGACATAGCCACATTACTTATGTATACTTTCATATATATTATAGATTACACAGATTCAACTGAACTGACGTCCACACATATCCAGTAAACACACTTGACCATCATAAAAATGTTTACGAGTTATCATTATCATCATCGGGAGAAAACAACCGACTATTCAGAAAATTTGTAATCCGCTTAGTTAATGGCGGAGGAAAACAAATAGAGAAAAAAGAAAACAACACACCAAATCACAAAGAAATAAAGTTGTAATTTTACGATCCTTTTTTGATGTTGTTGTTGTTGTTGAAAAACAGCTCAAAACTGACAAAAGCAGAAAAGACTAAAAAGGAAGGTGCGTGTGCGTGTGTGCACAACGTGACACAAAAGAAGGTAGGCAGAATACACGGCACACAAACTGTCCTAACAAGCATAAAAGTGAAGAGAGAGGCAGGGGGAGAGGTGCTTTGCATATTTGTCTAGCGTAAAACAAAACCCACAAGTACACAATCCTACAGGATATGACTGCTAACGCACTCACACACACACACACACACACCATGAGAACTGTGATAGCAGATATGACCTAAGAAGAAGTAGGCAGATGTTGTCATAAGTCTACTGTTTCAAAATCATCGTTTATTCACACCCTTAACTAAAAATTCAATTGGAAATATAAGTGTTGCAGATTGATCGGTCAGTCAGTTAGTCAAGATACTCCCGTTATCTTGACTGATTAAAATGCAACAGTCTATCAATAGCTGCATTGACATCTCCGAATGTGGCAGTCAGTGCTAAAGACACGAAATAAACATAAAAATTGAAGAGTATATATATATATAAATGATTAAACTTTTTATTATGTTTTATATGTATAAAATGACTTGAATCAGTGCAGATCTGACAATTTTAACGCATCTAGATCATATAAGGATATCGATCAATTCATTGACTAGAACAATTCCCGCTGAACGGACAGGGAGTTGACAGAAGATCTTAGCTTGACCCATTTAACATTTGTCAATTTGCGTTAAGTGTAGCTGTATTCCTTTATATCATGATACACCGCTGTGAGACATGACGGTTTAAAGGTAGAAGAAACAAAGTGATTACAGATGCCTACGTAACATTGCTCGCGTCTAATGGAATCATTGTGTGCGAGTAATGTTGACGTCATGCGACGGGTTCTAGACAAAATAGGCAAGTTGATTGATGTAGTTATGAACCTTTATGGACATGTACAGAGTGGTGAGAGCAAGAAGTGGCACCAGTCAATGAAGTTCACCACTTGGCTGAGATCCCGAGAAGAAAGAAATCAATGGTTGGTGACGTCTTCTAAAGCTTGAATATTCGCACTAGTCCAGATTGTTTATTGTCTCAAACAATATGGTCTACTTTGATATCGCTCCTTTTCTATCCACCTGCTCTTTATATGATACTACTATGAAGTCTGGCAGTATGAAGTAATACAGTTCACCAGTTCACTAGTTTACTACTCGGTTCAAAGCCCGCATGAAGAGGGAAAGTTGGGCATAGGACTAGCAACCCTACCACGTAAAACAAATGCAATCGCTAAAGAAACTTCAAAGGCGGAGAGACGACAGGGGTGATGAACATACCCAAAAACAACAAGCAGCAATCACCCCCAATGGCAGAGATCTGAAGGAAGTTGTCTCTTCCACCTACCTACCTAGGAGGTAGCATTGTTGCAACTACAGGTAGCGGCACATGCACGGATGACGATGTCAAAGCCAACCGGGATCAGAAAGACAACAACACAGACCTTCCTGCAGATGTACTCCACAGCATACAGAACAAGATCTGGATTTTCAACACCACTAACGTTAATTGAGAGACTTGGCACGCCACGAAAAGCACTTCCAATAAACGACAGGCATACATGAACTGCTGCCACCTACGTTCGCTCGATACTGAAGATTAGATAGCCAGAATAATAAGAATAAGCAACGAGGAACTCTAGCCGGTTGGCAATGAACCAAGCAAGAACCATCGCCCAACAAATATGCATGAGAAGAGAGTGGAGATGGATTGGGCATACACTGAGAAAACCATTCTGGGACATCACGCGCCAGGTCATGCCCCGATTGCAATCTAAAGGGGAAACGATGAGTTGGGCATCCGAGGGTGACATGGAGGAGATGGTATGAGAAAGAAATGAAAGGTTAAGGGCAATCGTGGTGCCAGGTTAAGAGGAGTGAAGAGAAGAGAGTGTTCCACTAGGAACCTAATAAAGTTGTGTATGAGATTTTCCTGTTGACTTTGCCGGTCAGTCGCCAACTTGTAAGTGCAGCCATGAAGTAACTTTACAACTCAACAGTCAAAGGTGGGGCAAAAAGTGGAGGTGAGATAATCTCCCAATGAAGAAACAAATTAACATCCCGAAACATTAGGGACATACACTACCCCATAGTCAAGCCATATTTTACTTATGTTGAAAAAGACAGTAGCCAGGTAGGCCTCAGAAATTCCAAAGACACTTCAGTCGATACAATGCATCTTCAACATCGAATACACCCAGTAGTACACAACGAAGTGACTCCAACTGACTGACAAATCCATATAGAACCTGGCACACAAGTGATGAATCCATTCAAGTAGTAGCATACAAGGAGCAGGTGAATAAAAAGTAGTGTAAGAGAATAAATAATCTGAGGATAAAGTTAATTGCGAATATTCAAGCCTTAGAAGATGTCAAGGAATGAATAGATCTGTGCCACTGTGACTAATTTTCCGCCTCCACGACTCAGAACAAGAAGAAGAGACTTCATCCACTGGTAGCCAGGTCTGGCCACCTTCATCCCTCTTTCAACTCCCCCTAGTATCGCACTTCGACGGAGGAGTTGGCTCAGCATCCGCAACTTCACCAATCGACTTGACTAATACACCCTGTCTGAGCTCAACATTGCTCACATGGTAATGCGACCAAAGTCATGTAATCGCTTCGAGTTTTCTACTTTTAACGATCATGTCCCACAGCCATACAACAGGACAAAACGGACTGTGATGCAGTATCCTTACGCTCTTTCATAGATAGTTGGATATTTCGTTTACCCAACAGTTGACGCAAGTGTTTGTAAATGCCAAATGGATGAAAGTTACTTTAAACGTGCTATCTACATTATATGCTAATATGAACAAGTTCACGTATACACCTTTGCACTATGAAATCTCATACTATAAGGCTGCTGAAACTCTCACAAGACAGGCTAATAACACTGAATCACTATCAGGAATTTGAATGACTGAAACTATACCAAATCACAATTTCATGAGCATAAGAAACTGACGAAAGACGTACAGGCTTGTTCAACAAGTTGTAGCTGTAACGCAAACATCCTTCAACAACCATAGTTGGATCAATTTATTTCAAACGTCTACATCATCTTGTTGCAGTTTCAATGCATATTAACCTAATATTCTTAGAAAGAGTTGATAAGTTGAATAGTTTTGTAACATGATCTTGTGCACATTCGCTTGGTAGTAGACAATAAACAGGTACACTTATTGTATATGAGACCTCCATAAGTGGAGTAGGGGGTTCGAACCTACGACCTAGGCTAGTGAGTCATAACTTTACGGATAATGATTTTCTACCGATTTATTTAAAAGTGAATAACCGGAGACCGATGATGATGATGCTGGTTAACAATCTAGACAAAGTAGTAAGCATAAGGGGGTTGTGCATACACAGTCCTGAAAAGACGATAATCAGGCATACTGATACCCAACACATTTTTACGAAAGAAATGTGTTTTTTTTCCAGTTCCCTTTACGATTTTATTGGTCAATCAGCTGTTCACCGTTACATTCTCTGAGTATAGGTGGGGACAATGGCGCCAACATTGACTGCCTCCATTTTAAAACTATGAATCAGTCATATATAGAAGGGGTGGGGCGGCAGGAGGCAAGGCTTACTTCAAAAACATTATCAACTTATTTCTTGTAAAACTGATGAAACATTTCATTGATGAGACAGATATGTATCCCCGTTAGCTTAACGATATATTCATTAGCCTGGTTGATTAGAACGTGAATACAAAAAGGGGTGTTAACAAAATTGAATGAGGTGTATATATACTTCATCATTCGATTCCACTTGTGTAGAAGAAGATACGAGTAAAATTACACTTCTTGGATGTCTTGTTAACCAGAAGAGAAGATGAATTTATTCAGCGCATGTGTTTACATGTACACCATATCACCAGTACAGAGATTCTCTTAGCCCCATAACCATTTCTGTACTGAACTGAGTTGCTTAGTCGTGTTTTCGTCGTCTTTCTAGACGACATCTTCAGCACTAACTTCAGTATGATGTAGACTGTCAATATTTCTCCGTAAGTGATTTAATAGCTTGCCCTGACAAAGTGGTCTGTCATTGGTTGTTTCCTTCGATTGTTGTGTCATTGACTGATTGTATAGATTTTCCTGTGGGCCGTACCTCTTACTTGGCGCCTCTGGCCTTTCTGTCGTTGATCATTTTTCTCATTGGTTGATATATTGGGTCTATGCCTATACATCTATTGGATTTGTGACTGACTGACTGACTGACTTGAATGCCAAGCTTCTAGGAATTCTGTGATATTCTCTGTGTCTCCTCTCTCCGTCCAAGATTTTTACATAATCGAGACTGAATTCATGTGTATAGTTGTTATCCAGGTGAAATATAAAACTGGATTTATTATCATTTATAAGCCAAGCCCCCTGTTCAGGAAATTGTAATTTTGTGTAGATGTAGCCAGAGAAGTTTCATATCAGACTGTCTTTAGAGCCAATAATAACAGGACCCTTTAACAGTGTACAACTCTGTCTACCATTTTCCAGTTGACCAATTGTTATTGCTAAGACAAAAAGATAAGCCATCTTAGTTTTACCATTTACAAGTTTAGTTACTTCTGTAGAGAAAGCTATACAAATCGTACTAATAGACAACTTAACCGATGTGTTACTGAGCATCTACCTTCATGGTTGACAAAAGCATAGACAAAATCCATCAGAAGTTCGATTTTATCTCGTTGACAGTGTGGTCACTTGGTAGAGAAGAACAATCCTTTCAAGATCATTCACTGCATGTTAGCTGGTATTTCGAAGGCTATTCTAAATCGCCTTTTTACAATACATTCCAGAAGCTGTAGGAATTCCAGCTAGCAATCCTAGTCTTTGTATCCAGAAGAAGTTTGCACACCCGTTATCTCTCTCCCTTGGCCAGGAAATACTTAATAAACAATTTTATCGTTTGGATTTTTCTTTTCTTTCCCTACTCCCGTACCTAAGTCAAGGACTCCAGGCGAATGTCCAAAATTACGTTCGATTGCACTTGAGAAGTTAATAATACCTGTGCTCGAACCCTCATTGAAAGCCTTCGGAGATCCTAACCAATTTGCAATTAGGTAGATGAAGCATTTTGGATGCCACCACTGTCTTATATCACGATTATTGCTAATAATCTTGTTAAAAATATGTCAATCATGTCAGGTGTGCCTTTCTACATTGTACGTTGGCATTTGATTCTGTCCCAAGACCTCTTTTGCTGGATACGCTACACGGGACAAATACTGAGTCCTGGATAACTAGCTGGCTACATTCCTACTTCTCTGAAAGGAAACAATATACTGGTCACAGAAGGGAAGAGCTCCACCCCACTGCTTACTGTGAGTGGTGTTCCCCAAGGAGGCATCCTTTCCATTTGTCTTTTCGGGTTCTTTCTTCATAACCTACCATCTTCAACAAATACGCTGATGTCCTGACAGTTTGCATACCTGACCTGTCTCCTCTTCAACTGATTGTCCCCAACTTCATGATTTCCTACCTACTGTTAGACGATGGTCCTCCGTCATTGGTCTTATGCTTAATTCTTCAAAATGTCAGACCATAAACTTAAGTTATACACATGAACACAACCTATGTAAACTGCTTAGGTCTCATAATCCCTGTTCGATTGATAGTTGTGCATTAGAGGATGCTACAAGTGTGATTTATTTGGGATTGTATTGTTTTTCTTTGGACCTTTCCTGATCCTTCCACATCATACTAACTACCAGAAAAATCTTCCGCTCAACTTTCAATGTTAGAAAGCTGACAGTATCTGGTATAACTCAGCCTCTCCTCTTCTGTTTTATAAACTCCTGGATTTTGTCTATTCCCCTTTATTTTTTCCTGGGTTATTGACAAAAGACTATGCTACACTGTGGAGAATTTTGATGATGGTCAGTAGAACTTTTGGTGTACCTACCTCTAAACCTTTTAACTGACACTGTTGTGGACAACTATCTTAACTGATGTTAAAATCTGGCAGAAGTTAATTTATCGGATGACAGGCATTGTCTTCACTCAAATCCCTGTGAGTGTCGGTCATCTGGAAAGACAAGGAGCAAGTGTATATAAGACTTAATGTACAAACTACAACGTATAAAAACTCTACAATACGGTAAGTGTTTAGCTCATTCTGTATGTGATGAGAGCATCAGAAATGAATTAACTTGTGTTTTCCAAGGCAAAGTAATTGAAGATGAGCGTGTTACTTTTTAGTTATTACGAAATGGTGAGGAATATTTATACCTCAGATGGATGATCTTGCTTGTATTGTGTTCTCTCAACTGACTTGTTTAATCATGATTATCCATCTCATTCGACAGTTCATCGGTGGTCTATATCTCACACTCTTCATCACAACATCGTGATGTAGACACTCATCGAGAAAGAATAGTTGTTCTTTTGTGCAGCCTTGCCGCCTAGAGAAGTTCTCCCATCTTCCAACAACCTGAAGCGTGTTACGCTCGTATCATTTTCAAATAGTCGAGAATATTTATACCTCAGATATATGGTCTTGGTTGTATTGTGTTCTCTCAACTGACTTGTTTAATCATGATTATCCATCTCATTCGACAGTTCATTGGTGCTCTGTATCTCACACTCTTCATCACAACATCTTGATTTGATGTAGACACTCATCGAGAAAGAATAGTTGTTCTTTTGTGCAACCTTGCCTCCTAGAGAAGTTCTCCCATCTTCCAACAACCTGAAGCGTGTTACGCTCGTATCATTTTCAAATAGTCGAGAATATTTGTACCTCAGATATATGGTCTTGGTTGTATTGTGTTCTCTCAGCTGAGCTATTCAATCGTATTATGAATCTAATTGCTAATGGGATTGTCTACCTTAATTGACTGCACAGGGTAATTTCTACTCATGTTCTCTTCCCTATGTATACATATAAACTGATGCTGAAAACTCTGTACAGTATTCCTCTAAATAGCTTTCAGAATAAAGCCATCATTGTGATTATTATTACATAATCTTAAAGGAAATTGACATTTTGTACGAGATTCATGACTGTTGCTTAGCCAGAAATGAAAATCATACTCGCAATTGTATTCTGGGTCCATATGGCAACATGAGGAAAACTACATTATAAAAACACATAGGTTCACATGATTGCCCCTTGTTTTTATAGATTTACTTTCATTCTTTTACCTGTTTGGTGTATGTTTAATGCACTATATCATTTCATTGATATGTTATCATAATGACCATACCCTTCTATATAGGTGGAATTGATAAAATACATAGTAAAATTTGATCATACGGAATAAGACAAGATGTGGCTTAAACGAAGTCATTTACTGCTAAGCCGTTATATTATTATTATTTATCCCTTGCGTCACCAGTGGAACATAGGACTTCAGTAGCACGTTTCCAGTGAACTCTCTTCTCTGCAATCTTCTGAACCTGGTTCCACGACAGCTGACAAGCTCTCTTTTCTTCCTCACATCATCTCCTCCATGTCATCCCCAGCTGGGACGCTCAACTCGTCGTTCCCCCTTTGGATTCCACTCAAGGAACTGGCCTGATGCGTGATGTCCCCAGTCGGTCTTCTCACTGTATGCCCAATCCATCTCCACTCTCTTCTCCTGCATACTTGTTGAGCGATGTACTCTTGGTTGGTTCGTTACCAGCCAACCACAGTTCCTTGTTGCTTATTCATGTTATTCTAGCAATCTGATCTTCAGTATGGAGTGAGAGCTGGCGGCAGCTGTTGATGAATGTCTGTAGTTTGTTGGAAATGCATTTCGTAACACGCCAAGTCTCTGAACCATCACACAGAAGCACTGACTTGACTGATGTTGGTGTTGAAAATCCGCATGTTGTTCCACATGCTGAGTGCAGAAGATCTCCACACTGGTTTCAGGCTAATGAACGTCTGTCTTGCTTTTCCGATCCTGGCTGGCTTTGACATCTTCGTCTGTGCCTGTAGTTGAAACAGCGTTGCCTGGATAGGTGAAGGAGGTTATTTCCTTTAATTATCTCCCGTTTATGGTGGTGTTGGTTGGGTATCATTATCACCTCCGTCTTTTTTACGTTCACTTGAAGTCGCGTCCTCGCTGCCTCTTCCGCCAACTTGTTAGTTTTCGCCTGTAGATCTTCAAGTTTGTGTCACATTAGACACAAGTCATGCCACCGTCGTTATTTTTGAAATACTTACCACATTTACCGACAAATCTACACATATAACCAGTTTACTATTATATATATAATATACCTATTGTTCGTTTACATTTTCTTTTTAGTAATTATCAACTTTATTGACCCGAGGAGTTATGTCTACTTTACAGATCTTAGCAAGGGTATAGGGAGTAAATTTTGCAGATGTTGTCCCGTGTTAACCAAACATCGATTTATGTGCAGTTGAGAATCAGTAGTCTACATATCTCAGTCTGATTTGCTTGATATGCCATATGTCTATATGCATACTCTTTACTGTTTATCTTGGTCACTGGATAGTATTATACACTGGCATAATAATATACAGGTGTGTTCACCTACAACATGACGGCATGGAATAAAAGTGGAACACTAGTCAGACAATCAAGTAACCTCTAAGAAATGCAATCAAACAATGAAATGGTAATACGGTGATCAAGTAAACAAGTCCAATTACCCTGTAAATTAGCTTCACGATCAACGAAACCCATACTAGCCAGAACTTCAAGTTGAGCTTGATATCGTTGTTCAGGTGGCTGGATAACAAATTGAAAAATAAGCAAAAAAAAGTTACACACAACTAATTGATTAAAGGGGATTGAGAGAGTACCCGACCGATAGCTGCTACCTTGATGTGATGGTCGGGCTTGCATATCACAGTGACCCAGCGAGCTATCCTGATGAAACGCTTGTTCCCTCGAGGTCCTACCATACAAGAAAGGTCTGTTGGATAGTGGTTAGATGAAAAGCAGTTACCGTTGTGCTATAAATTGCTACACTATGATAGGGGTCTTAGGGCGAAGTCGTACTGCTGCTAGCTAGATGGGATGTGACAGCAGTAAGGGGTTTCCCTTCGAATGACCAGCAGTGCCATGCTGATGCTGCCCGCCTTCTCAGTGGGAGGGGAAGGGGTTAGAAAAGGTCGGCTCCAAAAATAACACACTTCGCCGTGGCCCCACGGTCTGCCTGTCCGGCGGTGTTGGTTCATTTGTCGTTTCCTTTCAACCATCTGGCCCCAAAAATACAAAAGTTCAAAATAATCATACTCAAAAGGCTACGTGTGATAGGCGTCAAGCAGATGTCCGATGGGCTCTGCGGTCACACAAATCTCTTTCAGGTACCTTAAGAAGAAATAGCCTTCCGGCAAGTGTCAATCGCCCTCACAACTCTGTCATTGACAGAGTGAAGAAAATATTTAGTAAGCATTTTGGAAACTAATTTATACAATAAGAGATGAGATGAAAATATCACAAAGACCGCTTACCACATTGGTTGAAGCAGCCAGTCCATTATTATTAGTAGTAGTCGACATCATATTCAACATACTGGATAAAAGTGTAGTCAATTCAGCTTGGCTTGGGGCGTTAGCTGTGCTGTCTGTGGTACGCTCAGATGCTGCAGTAGAATCAGAGGTATTACCAGGACTTGCGACTGTTGAAGTGTTTGTTGTGGGAGAAGTGGCAGCAGCAGTAGTAGTAGTAGATGGAACTGATCCAGGACCAGTCGAAGGTGCAGACATACCCAGACCGGTTAGTACACCCGGTGCTTCTTGCTGAAGTGTTTGCAGTCCTTGCTGGATTTGCATCATAGCCTTCAAAGAGAGAAGTGTATTTAACAATCATAAATGCTTACAACTTAGACACAAGTGGAACCATGCCAGCGCAAACCTCAAAGATGCTATTTGAGTTACAAAACACAAAATAAACACAAAGACAAGGTTTCCTACAAGTTGAATATTATGCAAACTGCTACATTTCACACACACACATGCACAAGGTCTACTTGAATGAAGTAAATGTAGGCAGGCAGCTCTAACTGTAATCCTCAACATGGTTTTCTAAAATAAAAGGCTTTCACAAATGCGATTTATCGAAGAACCACATCTAAACATGGTGAATACCCGCACACAATGAAGTATAGACAAGGTGGATGAATGATAAAGTGAAAATCATTCTTCTACTTCCATTTCCTTCTTCATAAATACATAGTCCTAAATATAAGGCTATGTTGTGATAAGTTTTATTACATCATGCACCAACTAAAGAGGCATTATGGATGGATTAGGTCTTTTATAGTCCTGGAAACGAGCAGGTGATTGACACTTCCCGGTTGCCAACACCTGGAAGAGATCTGTGTAACCACAGAGCTCATGCAACATGTGCTTGAGACCTGCCATGCACAGCCTTTTCAGGATTGTTGTTAAGAGATTTGACTATCCTAATGTCAAATAGAGAAAAGCCATATTATTGGTATCGGAAAATTACAGGGCAGGGGAAGCGTGGTATTTCTGCGGGTCAACACCCGGCTGACGAGTCTCAAACAGGACGAAATGTGCATCCTCGATTCCATTGCTGGCCACTATCCACCATTACTATATGTAATTAAGGCATAGGCAATATCGAGGCCTTCACCCAAGAGCCTATATGCCAATAGAGACTGATCAGCTGAGTCCAATCAACGATGGTGTAATACAAGCGATAACACTAAAACTGTACCCGTCGCATATGCACTGGCTATCGTGGCTCGATGGTGTGGTGGATAACGCTCTGTGGAGTTTGAAGTGATCGCTCCTCAGTCCCGGTGGGAACAACATCGCTCACTGGGATGCATGTACATCCAGCTGACGAGTCTCAAATAGGACGAAATGCGCATCCTCGATTCCATTGCTAGCCACTATCCATCTTCATTATAACTAGAACACAGGCAATATCAAGGCATCCTCACAGAAGCCTATATACCAATAGAGACTGATCAATTCAGTCCAATCAACGACGGTATAATACTAGTAATAACAGCATTACTGTTAATGTTTATCTTGTTTATTTATAAACAGAACTACTCTGCATGTCGTCTGTTGGAATTCGCCCATATATATTGAGCTTCGACAGTCAATTTGTCCTCGTTTGCAATAAAACCTTTTTGTAAAACTTTGGTTTCATGTAAAACAAATTTGTGTTACGTTTCTACTGAATGTTGTACAATCTCTGAAGGTCTGCTGACAGAATTAACCCTAACACACTCTTCTGTTGGTTTTCGATCGAAACTACATCTTTGACTTTTGAACGAAGCAGAATCAATCAATCAATATCAACATAGGACTAGGCATTACTGCGTAACCCTCGCCGAGTTGCCACACCTCATATCACTACATCAAGTGGAAAGGTAGTGAGGTGCAAGATGAAAATAAGAGAATACAGTCAAAAGAAATATGAAGTATGAGAAGAAAGAAAGGAAGAATGAGAAAGCGGTAAGATCCGATATAGCGTCTTTAAGATGAGGATAATGTGTGTGGGGATACATCTGCGTCACTGACATCAGTTCTGAGCCATATCACCTAGAGTCGGTCTCCGACCACTTGTTTTTCTTGTCCCGTGGACCCCAACCACCTAGTCTGCATCGCCCCCCATACACGGCTCAAACCAACAGTCAGAGCCTTCATACACTGGTGCCATATTTTAGTCTAGCCACCTCGGGCTTTTTTCCAGCCTGGACCTACTTCACGCAGGATGAATAGCGTCCATCGTAAGTAGATAACTCCTAATATTATGATGCCATATGGGAATTGTAACTTGTTCCAATATGGAATTTTTATCATAATGCCGACCCACTTCTTCATTTTGGGCTCATGATTCCTTCATTTAACTTTTTACGGTTAGTTATCTGCTACAAGTGAAGAATGAACTCGAACTCATCAGATGATTTAATAAGAAGCGAGAAGAGGGGAATACGCTAGACCGGGGAAAAGAACCTAGAAGATTTGGATTTTGTCGATGACTTGTGTCTGATGTCGCACAAACTTGAAGATCTACAGGTAAAAACTAACAAGTTGACAGAAGAGACGAGGCAGCGAAGATGGGACTTCAAATGAATGTAGAGAAGACAGAGGTGATGAAGGTATCCAACCAACATCATTAACAATAAGTACCAATCACCATCAACGGGAGAAACTTAAAGGAAGTAGCCTCTTTCATCTATCAAGGCAGCATCGCTTCAACTACAGGCGGCACAGACACACATGACGATGTCAAAACCAGGATCGGAAAGACAGCAAGACAGGCTTTCCTTCAACAATCTGAAATCAGTGTGGAGATCTACTGCACTGCACTCAGCACAAAGGGTGAACAACATCCGGATTTCCAACACCAATTCAGTCAAGTCAGTTCTGCCAGGTGATGGTTCAGAAACTCGGCGTGTTACGAAATGCATTTCCAACACTCATCAACAGCTGCCGCCTACTCTCACTCCATACTGAATGAAGATCAGATTGCTAGAATAACATGAATAAGCAACAAGGAACTGTGGTTGGCTGGTAACGAACCAACCAAGAGTACATCGCTCAACAAGTATGCAGGAGAAGAGAGTGGAGATGGATTGGGCATGCACTGAGAAGACCATTCGGGGACATCACGCGCCAGTTCCTTGAGTGGAATCCAAAGGGGGAACGACGAGTTGAGCGTCCCAGCTGGGGATGACATGTAGGAGATCGTGAGAGGAAGAAATGAGAGCTTGTGGACAGTCGTGGCGCCAGGTTTTGAAGATTGAAGAGAAGAGAGCGCAATGGAGGCGCCCTACTGAAGCCCAGAAAGTTGAACTGTGGTGTACCTGGTCCATGAAGAGTTCGAAACATTTCTCAACCATCCAAGAAGAGTATAAACAAACCGAGAAAAAAAAACAACAATTAGATAATACCATCCCATAATCAATTACAAGTAATAAGGTTATATTAGACTTCTTAGAAGTAAACATGCATTCTTACTTGTAGTGCACGAGGATTGGACAACATACTCATAAATGATGGTTGATTAATTTGATTAGCTAATTGAGGTAGCATTTGACGCATTTGATCACGTACATTTGGATTTACACTGGAAATCATCGGATTATTCATAATTAAATTCTCCATCACTGATGGATTTGCACTCATTGCTTCAAGCATTGCTTGTACATATGGGACCTAGTCAGAAGAACACATAAAGATTGAAAGTAGAATACTTTGAGGATAACTAAAAGTAAGTAATGACTTAATAGTCAAATGCTGTATCATAATTGTGAGCAATGACATATTGTTACGTTGGAAAACATATACAACTACTCAAATAGAATTGGTTGGATTGATGGGTCAGTTGTCCAACAACATGGAAACAAAACGTATAATGTTCGAGTGGGACGCATTACCAGAACCAACTGCATCGACGAGAAACAAACGAACCAATGAATAATCTATCATCAAATTTACTATCGGATACATTCAGACTACCAGCGGCATCAATGGGCAATCCACTTACATCAAAATCTCTTGAGAAGGTCGATCTACTCCTACGACAATTGAATGGTTGTCACCACCAACCGAGCATAGTCACTACAGGTCAACCCACACAAACAACGTTGCTGATTTCTTCAAAAGGGAAGGTGTTAGGGATTGTCGATATCCCTAATACTACACACTTAAAATTTTGAATATATTTCAGCTGCTTATTCGCTCTTTTTTCCCGCGCATGGGTCATATTTTGTATGACCCGTTATTGTTTTGATTAGCTCCTGACTTTTTAAATGTACTAATGATTCCTTGTCTTTCAGGGTTATCGTAAACTCTAATAAATAGGGTCAGTTTTCACTCATAAACGCTTCAGTCTCAGATACTATAAACTCATCTGGTTCTCAGTCTTTTGATTTCTCTTTGCGAATCCAATCGGGTTGCATCGTCTCGACCCTCGACTACCAATCGCTAAGTATTTCCGTTCGTTCTCACAACTCCACAACATAACAGATATATATTGGGAATCTATTCACCACCTACCATGAAATCATTGATCCTCCATCTCATCTATCTCGATGCAACTGAAAACCACAGCAGACTAAGCTGTTGCACTTTTGTCACTTCCTTGAGTGATTTAAGTCAAACTGACTAGAATGCGAAAACAAATATAGGGAAGTATGATCTATTTAGGCAAAACCACGTGCAACCTTAATGACTGCACTATGCCGACCTTATACACTTGAGATTCTGTAGGCTTTATAATTCACCATCACAGAGTGAAACTGCAGTTAAGTGAACTTATCACATAAAAATCTCCTACATATAGTGTTGAATGGTCTCATTTTAGAAGGAAACAGTTCTTCAGTGTTCTCAGGATTTCAATGGTTTCCCAACTGATGTCATTTTGTGACAAATACTGTCTTAAAAGTAAATTCTCCATAACTGTTGTGCTGAGTAGTGTAGTGACATGTTTCGAGATGAATATCCTGAAGTTCTAACGAGAAGCCGTGACCTGTCAGGTTAATCAGTAGGAAGTGAGGCGGATATCAACTAAAGATCTTGGATAATAGTCACGCTACATCACGAAATGATAGAAGTACAAAAAACTATAGACCATTGAACCCTAACCCAATGGCTGAATGGTTAACGCGTTCACCTTAAAACTTGAAGGTCCTGAATTGCATCTCTGGATGAAGAAGTGGCGTCGCGGATGCGTACTGTTGGAGAGTTGTATACTACCACAAAAACGTTATCCAGTGCTCCCAGATAGGTTTTCAATGGTTCTCCAAATGATTTCAGTCTGTGATGAATACTACTGTAAGAATTTTCATCAATCTCGAAATACAATACGTGCAATCAATGACTTCTCGCCTATAATCAACAACACTAACAACTTATTTTATGACATCTTACCGTAAAAAGGGAGATAGATGTTTTTAAATACTTAGGAAAAATGAATAGCATAAAAGACCACGCTCTGTAGACAATACACCCTCATTCTCCTCTTATGAATATCTAAGAAGTAAAATACCTATATATGTCAATGTAGTAACAAAGGGTGCTATCAATCTTTACTGAAAAATTCCCACTACTCATCATTGTATATAGATTAGACTCACTTGGAAAGCATTGGATACTAGCTCCGGACTAGAAGATAACTGACTTAGCATAGTTTGGACAAGATCACTATTACGATTCGGATTTACTGTACCAGTTGCTGACGACCCTGTATCATTATTTCCAGTAGAATTGTTTGTAGCTGGTGCCCAAGGATTTGGCATAGGTTCAGTAGCAGGAGCACCTTGTCTTACACCACCTACATAGTCAAGGATTAGCATAATACAATATATTTAGGCGGTATAATAATACATAAGATATTCACAATGAGGTGAATTACACTTTTCAAGTTGAAAAGATTGATTATTATTGTTAACCATCTAAATGGTCACGTTGTACATCTTCACATGTTTACTACAAGTTTCAAAAAAATTTACCTGCTAAATTTGCAAACGGATTCTGATCCGAATTATCACTCGATTGATTACCGCCGCCACCACCACCACCACCACTCAAACTGGAACCAATACTGGAAGCTGCATCCATAATTGGTTCTTGAATATCTCGAAATATCCGCTGCAAATGATTCATTCCACCAGGTACTGATTCTAAATTGGAAATTGCTCGATCATAATTACGGACCATTTCTTGCATCATAGCAGGATTGCGAGCAATTTCCATAGACTGTCGAAGAAGATCTGGATTGTTAAGCATATGTCCTAACTCTGGATTACGCTACAAGAGTAAAATAATATTATTTTTATATCGATATCAAGTTAAGTGATCAAAGAGTAAACAAAACAAAAAAAAGATTATAAGTTCATACTTACTTCAATCAAATCACGCATTTGGGGGTTAGCTTGAAATAAACTTCGTATAACCTCCGGATTACTCATCAAAGACTGAACTAATGGACTGTCTAGCATATTACGAAGGAGTTCAGGATTCTGCATCACTTGTGCCTGCATAGCTTGTTGCATACCAGCAAAACTGTTCACTACAAAAAATTAAACAAAAATTTTAATCAGTAAATTACTGAAAATTTCATGAGTTACAATTTGAGTTTTATTTCTTCCCGTATAAACGATAGTCAGGTAGAAATAAGAGAAAATCAACGTAGACCCCCGCACACAAACATAAATGCATCGATTTGCTTTGTCACAGTAGTATACATAAAACAGATAGATAGATAATGATGGAGGTGGATAGCAGTCTAAGGAAACTTGAGTACTGGTTGAGTTGTCAGGGCGGTTAACACTTCCCGGCTGCCCATACCATGGAAGGCTATTTCTTCCTAAGGTACCTGAAAGAGATTTGTGTGACCACACAGCCCATCGGACATCTGCTCGACGCCTATCACACGTAGCCTTTTGAGTATAATTATTTTGAACTTTTGTAATTTTGGGGCCGGATGGTCTAAAGGAAACGACGAATGAACCAACACCGACGGGCAGGCAGACTGTGGGGCATAGTGGAGCGTGTTATTTTTGGAGCCGACCTTTTCTAACCCCTCCCCCCCCTCCGCTGAGAAGACAGCATCAGCATGGCACTGCTGTCACACCCCATCTAGCTAACAGCAGTACGACTTCGCCCTCAGACCCCTATCATAGTGTAGCAATTTATAGCACAACGGTAACTGCTTTTCATCTAACCACTATCCAACAGACCTTTCTTGTATGGTAGGACCTCGAGGGAACAAGCGTTTCATCAGGATAGCTCGTTGGGTCATTGTGATATACAAATCCGACCACCACGTCAAGTTAGCAGCTATCGGTCGAGTAGCAGCTGTTGGTTTGAGCCGTGTGGAACGATGCAGACTAAGTTGTTGGGGTCGGTGGGACAAGAAGAATCAGTGGTTGGAGACTCTCGGAGATATGGTTCACAACCGACGTCAGTGACGTAGATGTATCTCCACACACATTATCCTCATCTTAAAGACGCTATATCGAATCTTACCACTTTCTCATACTTCATATTTCTTTTGACTGAATTTTCTTATTTTCATCTTGCACCTCACTACCTTTCTACTTGATGTAGTGATACGAGGCGTGGCAACTTGGACCGTTACTCAGTAATGCCTGGTCCTATGTTAATATTGATTGATTGGTTGGTAGATAGATAAGGAGTGATATCAAAGTACACCAACATAAGGATAGTATGAATATCCAAGCCTTAGATGTCAAGGAGTGAATAAAACTGTGCCAGTGACCGATTTTCAGCCATGTCTCCGATACTCCTCAACCACTGATTCATTTCGCCTTGGGACCCCAGTCCGTCAGTCTGTACCTCCCCACGCAGTTAGGACCAACAGTCAGAGACTTCATTGACTGGTGTTACATCTTTTTTTGACTACTCTGAACTACCCTTCCAACTTAATACAGCTCCCCCTAGCATGTCACCTCGCGGTAGGCGGTGGGTGACTCAGCATCTGCAACACACCTCCAAGCCACCTCAGTCGACTAAAGTCAGCAGCCTCATCAGTCGATTTGCTTGTCTTGGCTAGTACCCGTCGCCTGACTTCTAAACTGTTTACACCAAACACAACCAATGATACAGAGACGTCTGTATTGAAGCTCAGTAATCGGCCCGTATCTTTTACTTTTAACGGCAATGTCTCAGCCGTATGACAGGACGGAAAGAAATGCAGAGCCATATACTTGTCCTTTGACAAATGGTTGGATATCTCGCTAGTCAGCACCACAGGTGACGCAAGATGACAAATGCCAAACGGGCCTTCTGTGTCAGAGCTGAGATTTTGTCAACAACCAGCCCGTTCGAGTTGCTGCAACTCCCCAAGTGAAGTGGTCGACACATTCCAAGACTTCAGTGCCTGTCAGTAAACTGGAAGTGGTCACAGAGCAATCTTGGAGCACTATGTTACATTTGACAGGTGTGAAATCTATGCCAAACATACTCAGTGGTAAGAACAAACCTGTTGTCATTCCCACATACTTAAATATGCTCTAGAATTATTATTATTATTATTATTAGTCCCTTGGGTTCCTAATGGAACATAGGGCTTCAGTAGCACGTCTCCAGTGAACTCTGTTCTCTGAGATCTTTTGAACCTGGTTCCACAACAGCCCACAAGCTCTCATTTCCTCCTCGAACAATCTCCTCCATGTCACCCTCGGACGTCCAACTCGTCGCTTCCCATGGGGATTCCACTCGAGGGCCTGACGCGTGATGTCCCCAGTCGGCCTTCTCAGTGCATGCCCAATCCATCTCCATTTCCTCCTGCATATTTGTTGCGTGATAGGTTCTTGGTTATGCTCTAGAATGCTAGTTACAATTTTTTGTGCAAACATTAACCTTATTTGTGAGAGAAACTTTGTGCTACCACTTTTCGGTTTGAAAGAAATATAATAATGTAACGTGAGCCATAACGGATGGTACAGACGTCAAACAAGGAAAGCTAGGAACAGAATTACTAATACAGCAAGCTCCACAAGTGATAGGCACCCGGGGATAAGAAGTCTACAAATCATCTGAACTGCTTTTACAACATGCTGTCTCACCAAGCCTAGTATGCGACTTTTACTATTATCATCTGGAGGTTAGAGGTACCATCTATGCTACATACCACAGTAAACACATTTCACAAAGAAACAAAATAAAACCTACTCGGACACCTTGTGAGGTAGGCAATGAGCTACACTTATTGTGTGAGGGTTAGTGACACTACCTGGCTTCCCAAACCTCGATAGATGGAGTGGGACTCCAAACGGTGATCCAGTGGTTGACAGATCACCATCTTCATAAACCACTGGTTCACAGCTCACAATGAATATCAGGTGGAATGGCTGGGAAAACAAATCGCTATCAATCCAACCCATTTTTAAACTACTATTTCTTCAGCTATGCATTAGATGCTGTAAAGTACAACTTTCACCATCAGTATAGCAGTTAACGAAGTCCAGGTGGGCAAAAGATGAAACTAACCGCTGCAATGAACGTGAGACGCATTGGCGTGTGGTTACTAGATGGCACTTTTCACACTAACGCCACGACAAAGAAGTCAAGATAGTATCGCCTACTCTATTAAAAAGCCATGAGGATTAGGAAGCCATACGACAATGTACCACTGTGCAGTGAAATGTGTGACCAGTTCTGAATTTTTCTACTTGTACACGTTAGAGAAAATTTTGCGTTATAGTATTCTTGGGACTTAAAAATCAGTGTAAAAAGTTTAAAATATAGAACTTAAACAGTCTACAGCGGAATCAGTCTTGTTATAACGTGATCTAAGAAGCCTATACACTCAGAGCAGCTTAACAAATAGTTATGAGCCACACCCTAGTTTAACGGTTGGTGTTATCACACGAGTGTTCAGACCTTCGTAGCCCAAGCATGAGTTGGGTGCCTTAAACAATGAGCCACACTCCCACCACATACTAAGCAGCTGGGAATGAGAATATTACTGATAATTATCGAACAAAATCTTATTACTGTAGTCAGATATCAATCCAATTCGAAGTGACCAATGAAACACACACACACACAAAATCAAACCATCGTGAGAATGAAGAGTGAGTCCTGTGTCAATGTGCTGAACAGGGTCTCTTAGCGAAGAGTATGGTGACAAGTGGATTTTTAATTCATTGGGACAGAAACTCCACTTTCATTCTTTGAGTTACAGATCAGGACTCTGTTCCACCTATCGGGATTTAGTAGTAGTCTGTGGGTACCTATTAGCACTCAAGAAGTGGTCTAGTGCATGGTACATGAAACTGATGGCTACCTTATACATTACAACGCAGAATCTCGTACATAAGTCCATCGGTTCAAGTTCTCACAGTTCAGTTGTGTGCAGGTAGAAAGAAAAGGACTGGTATCAAAGAACACAAAGTTGTGTGAGAGGTTAGTGCAAATATTTAAGCTTTAGAAGACGTCAAAGAGTAAATACATCTAGTGGTTGCCTGATTAAATGGTTAGTATAAGAAAATTCTGGATGTTATCAACAGAATGCCAACTTCTTAAAAGTTTCCCACACTTGCAGTTCTCCAGAAAACTCCTATGCTTAACCGATTTAAGGAAATCAATTATACACCCTATAATAGATGTATAGTTTACTAACCCTTGATAGTTAAAAGGCCATACCAACCAGAGCTAACGAAGACAAGTAAACACTAGCACTTCTCATGAATGTAAATTGTTGCTTTAGGATTGGTCTTCAGTGGTGCCACGGCTGACAATAGAGTGAAGTGGTTGAGCGCGTCGACCACTTCACTTACCTGGGAAGTAAGTAGGATCAGTCGTGACCTGGTGGCTCAGTTGCCGACGAAATCTCTGCACCCATACAAAAGGTTTGGTTGGCTTTTGCCAGCTCACGCCACCTGTGGCGCCGCCACCGTGACATTCAATTGTCTATTAAGAGTCGAGTTTACCACACAATAGTCCACTCTCTCCTATTGTAAGGTTGTGAAACATGGCTATTGAAGGTGGAAGACATGAGGAAGCTGGCTTCAAGTGTTTGACCACCGTTGCCTTCGTAGTATACGCCGTATTCCGTGGTGTCACCACACCACACCACGTGAGTAATGCAGAAGTCAGGTGTAGAGTCTTAGGGAGGGAGAAGACGTAAGTCGGTTGACGAGGTTATGAACCTTGATCGACTGAGATGGCTGGGACACGTATTACGTATACTTAGTCACCGATTGCCTCGTCACACAATGTTGGCCGAAGTACGTTCAGGCTGGAAAAAGGCTGTTGGCCCTCAACCAGACTAAAACATAACATCAATACATGAAGTCTTTGACTGTTGGTTTGAGTCATGTAGGGCAATGCAGACTGGGTGGTTGGGGTCCGCCGGACAAGAGGAACCAGCGGGGATATGGATGAGAACCGATGTCAGTGGCGCAGATGTATCTCCATACGTTATCCTCATCTTAACGTCTTTCTTTCGACTGAATTCTGTTGTCTTCATCCTTTACCTCACTATCTACGTGATGTACTGTACTGGGCTGTGGCAACTCGGACCGTTACGCAGTAATCCCTAGTCCTATGTTGATATTGATGATGATGAGCACTTTTTATGTGTACATGGGTAACATCTTATCCAGAGTTTTTACGCGTTTACCACGCTGAAAAATCCAACTAATGAGAAACATGCTAACGGTCATACTACTGTGATTTATAGAGGTATCGGCGATCTGAGATGTGGTGAAGTCTCTTGTCGATGTTCTATTGTAGCCTGAAAATTCCGTAGATCAGTGAATATTCAAGTCTGATAAGTAGAAGTATGTTTTAAGCTTCTGAACACAGAGCTTCCAAACTTCAGGCTGAATTTTGATAAACTTTGCAACACGAAATTCCTTGAAAACTCACAAATTCAATAAATCCCCTCCCCTATCATGTAGGATGGATCAGCTATTCCGACGAAATCTTAATCACAAAATGAATTGAGACACGCTCATAAAACAGCTTCAACCTAAACCATGTATATCATGTTCTACTAACAGAAGAGGGTTTGTGGGACATATAAAATCAACACCAGTAAAACGAAACTTACTTCCAGTATTGGCTTGTGTGTTACTACTTGGCGGGCGCTGATTTTCCCTTTGACTTTCTCTCGTATCTGGTACAACAGAAGATGTACCAGTTGGATTAATCTGTGAAGGCTGAAATTCAATCAGAACACAATCGCAACAAACCTGTTGTTGTTTCTAAAAAAAAAGAATGAGTTATGTGAACTGAAAACCTACCGAGATCACCAAATGGATAATAAATCCATCGTTTATATTGTGCTGCTTAATAGTATCTCCATCCTTTAGAATTTTCCCTCCAAATATAAGAATTAATCTCTCTGGTGAAGTCTGAAATGCTTTGGACGCTTCATCTCGTAACTACACAGAAAAGTTCAAAGCAGTTAAGATAGATTTTGTCATTTACCTGTTCAACTGAACATGAACTAGGCACAGAAACAGTTTTCTCTTCCTTAAGGCCTTTTATTCGCAAACTTAAGTTAGACATCACACTAATCTGACGTTTTGAGAAACGCGCTACTTAACTCGTACGAGCTTGTTTTAACAAGCATTCGGTTGACAATGCATGTTGAAAATCTGTATTTCTTGTGCCTCTCACAAAAAAATTATGATCATATGTGTGTTTAACTTTCATTGACAAGAAGTAGGTTGGGATAAAAGCTTGTAAATCATGTTATTTGTCTATGTTTTGCATCAGGAATATGAGTGAAATGATTAATAATGGATGCTTGTTCTAACCTCACTGAACACTTCTTACAAGCTGCTACTAATATTACTTGTGGATCATATGTGCTAAGGCTGTAGAAGCAGTCTATGAGGACTTACATGCTCAATGCTCACCACATTATTGACCACTATCTTAATCACAGTAACAGCAGAGAATTAAACGTACGAGGGCTATACTGGAGACTGCGTTTGCAACGTTTTGTGCTTCCATCTTCTGTTTGACACCTACCACTCTGATGTCACAAAACTTATTGCTTTAACTGAAATACAAACTGATGGATACCTGTATGGGAGTGCATTATCTGAATCCATTCATTGATTCTTTCAAGGCAAGATAGCTTCCAACCTGGTTAGACTTGCAAATCCACAACACTTCGTGGCCAAGTCAACAGAGCCGACTATTCCTTTAAGTCCTAACCAACTGGTTTTCCCGGAAAACCGACAGATTTGCCGTTATTTTTTGAAACAGTTTACTTGATGATTTTGGTACGATAATCGAGTCCTACAGCCGACTTGACACGGTGACACAGAGAGCAGAAGTTTCTCGTAGGTAACCAGCAGCTTATCCTGACCACATTTCGTCCATCGTAAGCAGAGAAGGAAAGCTTTTGCCCAGAAACTATCACGACTGAAAGGCTTACAGCGCAGTTAAAATGGGTTTCGATGGTTCAATGAAAACAAAATAAAATGTCCATAAAAAACCAAGAAATCTTAGCAACTGAACGTCTTTAGGCGGTGCATCCTAGGTTCTTGATCGACACAAATCACCCTCCTTCAAAAACACCGCGTAAAAAATTCCACGTGCCGGCAGGTGGAGAGTGCCAACTATGCGCTTACACCCAGCAGCACACAAATCCCAATTAGCCATAGACCACCTCCCACATCTCCGTAACCTCCTACATCAGTGACTTCTGGTATCACCGTTATATCCTAATGTTTTCTCGGCTTCTTAGTCTGAGGACACTTCTAACGACTAACCTAATGAAAAAACAAAAATATACGTACATATCGTCATCCGAAGTACACTAGAACGACTCTTTGAATTTCACATCAGGGCCGTCAGCATCTGTACTACATAGCGAACCGAACAAATGCCATCGCTTGCAAGATATCGAGCACCGGATGTGAGAAATTCGTGCAAGATCCAGGTGTCGTTATTCATCTGACCTCACGTAGCCAGAGTGGTGAGTATCCGAAGATGACATGCCCGTTATCCGAGTCATGGTAAGTGATATTTACCGATGACTCCAAAGTATGGATTGCCATCCTTAGAGATGACCAAGATGGGTTCGTAGTCTTAGCCAAAATTACTGAAGTCGTTGGACGCTGTAAAAGATGGAGCCTTGAAATCAGTCCCCGTATGAGTGTGGTAATGTTCTTCGGGAGTGACTTTATGGTGGCCAATCAGTTAACGGGCGATTGACACTTTTGGATTCGGAATGAAAAGACGTAGAGGTTATCGCGTGTCATGACTTGAGAACAACATGTGGTGGTACTGCTTCTGCAGCTGAATCTATTGGCTTATTCTGGTCGCTTTGCGGAGCATTCAAATGTTTTGATCAGGCGTTTATGATCCTATGCCGCACGTATAAAAGGACTTATTCAGATCGTTAAATCCAGTGGGCCGGTCTTTGCTTCAAGAATAAAGCCGATATTCTGGAACGGATGCACAGTTACCATCAAGCTAGTTAAAGGTTATTCCCACCTGCCTTACAAAAGGTCACTAGCATGGATGAACTTTTTCTCCTTATCCTATTGTAGGAAAACACGCAGCCCCATTTCAGTTTCGTATTCTGGATGACAACTTCGGCGTGGATTCATTCAACTCCGTAACAATCTGTGGGACGAATCACCTTCGACGACACCAAAAGCAGATCCAAAAGCCGCAGTCGAATTCCATACTGGCGGACGACCGGCCGTCACGTAGTCAGTGGCTGGGATGAGCCAGTGAGAAAATTGGTGCCGGCTACTCTACTGACCACCTTCAAGAAAAGCTGAACAATCACTGAGTTAATTACTGCAAAGAATAACACGGGACAATAGTTACCGACCCTTTTCGCAGGGGACGTGAGCATACCGTTTGTGCTTATAAAATCACCTTCTTCACTGTCAGCCCTAGGCTACTAAAGCTTCGTGGGTCCAGAATGCGGGGTGGCGGAATTCTTAGCTCAACTTCGGCATAATACGGGTCAGGTGCCCGCACCACACCCTCAACTTTCTCATAGTTAGCGAACGTTGACGTTAAAAATCTTGGTCTTCCTGTGTTAGCTGCATGCGAACCGCAGGAAGCCCAGTTTCTGCGACTGGTTTGAATTTTCACGCCCTGGTTGACGACAGATTTCATACAGCAACCTGTTATCCTCATCCTGAGGGCTATGTAGAATCCGAGGACAGTTCATCGAATTCATGAAAATGACAAATTTTCGCGGGCGTGATACGACTGCCTGTCCAGTCATTAGGCTTAGTTAACTGTTAGACATCTTTAAGCCTCCTAACTGCATGTTTCTGAAATTATGGATCCCAGTCACTGTGTTACCAAGCTTGGGTATTTCTTCCGAGTCCCTCTCATTTGACTAGGCCCTATGTCTGACTGTCCCGGACCTTTGTTTGACAGGTTTGGGTGGGGATGTGTAGGCTTTGGGCCCTTCAGTACTGTCGATACCGTAGGCTCGATTGGGGTGTAAATAATAATGGCGATTTGTAGTTGAAAATAAGGGATATACTGCAAACTACTAAAGGATAACTGTTATCCGAAATTTCGAAGGTGAGGAAGGGAATATGAGGAGAACGAGTGGTGAGATGATTAGTGTGATATGCCTCCGGAAAAGGAAGCCGCAAAGAAAGGATGCAGTGCTCTCAATCAGAATGAAATTCTGTAGTTGGCCGGTTGCGTATTATATAAATGGGCCTGGGAAAGCAGAATACCTACACCATGGAGGTGATTTTACAAAATTTTGTGGTGAGTGGAATTTAGCTGAGCTATAACTAAGTACATATGAGGTAGTAATGAAGTATGAAGGCAAAGTGAAAGGGATCACTAAGTGGTTAAACTCTCAGAACTCAGCATGCGTTAAAGAAGGGCAGGTGACTGGTTGATACGCCAGTACCTAAATCTGGAACCTCGTCAGCAAAAATTCACACTGGCATCGCAGAGACTACGATGGGCTTCCATGTGCTTTCTTTACGTCACGTAGCGTCTTTTAGAGGTGTCCACTCCGCTTTTATTTAACCGAATCCCACATGCTCCTATGCACTTCTTTCTCTCCTTGTCTGACTTCATAGTCCTGACTTTATTACACGATTCCACTGTGTAGACCTGGACTGCGAATGCGACAATCTCTGTAGATGAGGACCGTAGCAAAATGCAGTCATTTGGATACCTCGAGCGGCAATTTGATAGGGTTTGGAACGCACTTTCCACCGCCTAAATGCAAGTTGTTGCTCGGGGCTTGTGTGCCTTGGTGCTTTTTGTAACGATGGAGAGTGAGGTAGTTGATCCTGTTGACCACCACACTCGTTAGAGAAACTGAATTGGCCCTAGTGGGCCAGCGACCGGCTATATTTTAGGGCGGTAACAAAAGGCTTACTTGACCTTCCCTAACGTGCGTCATTTGTGACGTCACCGTGGTGATGGATTGCCTATGGAGGGTCCACTGCATTGCACTGCATTTCCCCTTCTTTTAAGATTCTGCTGTCAAAAATGGCTCTTAAGGTAGGGGATATGAGAAAGCTCTAGTCATTTGATCACCTTACCATTCATGGCGTAAATATTTTTCTGCTGCCGATCATCAGTTATGTCTATGTGATCGTTAAAATAAAGTTATAATGTTGGGCAGTGGGAAAGTATGTTCAAGAGAGGGGGGCCAAATCTCTGTACATGTAAGTGTGCAGCGTGATGGTTGGGATGGCTGGTGTAGAGATGCACACACAGACAGGACCCGAAAAAGCCATTAATCATGGGTCTAAGTGACGCTGCAGGACTGGCGAATAGAAAGATTTGATCATCCCTAGAGAAGTCGTCAACCTGCTGATGGCAGTAGAAAAAACTACCGGCCACCCCGCGGGAAAGAGCCTTGAAATCACTTCACGGAGTGTGGAGACTGCCGGAAGTCTACTTCTTATTTGCTTGGCTAACTTCTGGCATTCTCCGATGTCTACCGAAACCGTTCCAAACATTCATTTCTAAGGATAATTTCACCAAGAAAGTCAAACCCAAACATAAGATTCTGTAAACAATGCCTGTCTCCGACACATTAAATATTCATTACCTGTAAACTTGTTGTAAGTCAGAATTTTTGGTGGATTGTGGAGTGCTGCTGGCTATGGTTGCCATGAGTGCGTGCCGGCGTGACAGTTTACCGCATTTGTGTCCATGTTGAGACCACATGGCTTCCGGCATTTTCTGGCTTCGTCCCCGTAGTTACTGTGAACCCAGCACCATTTAGCGTTTTCTGCCCTGTCAAGTTTAGTTCTCGGATAACCACGCAAATTACTGCGATGGGCTGAGACGCGTTTCTGTGACGTGCTACGTAGCCTAGGGCTTAGAGTTCATAACGGCTATCTAACCGAGTTGCGTAGCTTGGTTACTTCTGAATCCTGTCTCTCGGGTCTATCGCATACTGACTATACGTTGGAGACGGGTCCGCTAGAGATCTCCGGTATTTTATCCGCTGGGGCCGCAAGGTCGTCGAGTGAAGCTGACTGAAGTGTCACTAAAACGGTTTGCGCCGGTTGTGGTAGGTTCGAGAGAAACAGTTCTCA